GATTTGTCAGATGATAATGTAGAGTTGACAGATCCTTATCTAAATTTACTTTCAAGACTTAAAATATAATAATATGTTGTGAACTGGATATGGAAACAATGTCATGTTGAGCTTTAAATAATAAGACCCGACGAGTTGACATTATTAGTCAACAAGTTGTAGTACTTAGAAATATTTAATAAACAAGAGGCCCAGGGGCCACGGCGCTCATCTGAGCTCATCGGTTAGGAAAAAGCACAGATCAGATCAGAAATGAAAGTTTACTGGGGGGGGGGGGGGGCTTGAATTTTAACCACCCAGGGGATAATGATTTGAACAAACTAGAATCTAGACTACCTGAAGATGATTCCATATAAATATCACTAACCATGGCTTTGAAGTACTTGAAAAGAAGATTTTAAAAGGTTTCCCTATCTATTCCTATGTAAAACTTTGATCGGCCATTTGGCCCCACCCTAGCCCGGGGATCATGATTTGAACAAATTTGAATCTACACTACATGAGTTTAATTTTTCCTTGCCCAGTTGTTCTGGAGAAGAAGATTTTTAAAGATTTTTTCTATATATTCCTATATAAAACATTGATCGGCCATTTTGGCCCCACCCTACCCCCGGGGGTCATGATTTGAACAAACTTGAATCTACACTACCTGAGGATGATTCCACATGAGTTTCCTCTTTCCTGGCCTAGTGGTTCTTGAGAAGAAGATTTTTTAAAAATGCCATTAATTTTTCTCTAATTCATAATTATCTCCCCTTGCAAAAGGGCGTAGCCCTTCATTTGAACAATCTTGAATCTCCTTTACCCAAGGATACTTTGTAGCAAGTTTGGTTGAAATTGGCCCAGTGGTTCTTGAGAAGAAGATGGAAATGTGAAAAGTTTACAACGAATACGACGACGACGACGACAACGACGACGACGACAACGACAGACAACGGACAAATTTTGATCAGAAAAGCTCACTTGAGCCTTCGGCTCAGGTGAGCTAAAAAAGCATTCACAGTACCTTGCGGGGAGAAGAAAAATTTGCTTATCATTGGGCTGTTGCTGTCTTTCTGATATGCTGTAAATGCCTGGGCATCCAGAAATGCCTCCTCCCAGTTCGTGTCCTTTTTCTTGACTCTCTGGACGGCGTAACCGGAAGTATACCCATACTCCTCATCATCCAGATCCTCCATTCGTCTGTTGGAAGAGACATGTTGTAGCGGCAGGTCCACGATCGTATCTTTGTTGAATATCTTTCCCGTGGTTGTGCTCTTTCTAGGTAGTTTTGGGATTGGCGTATCCGGTAATAGAGGCGTATATCTTGAAGAACTAATGTTGGATTTTGGATCGATGACATCATAGTTTGTTTCGCTGGTAAGTGAAGTTGGATCTGGATAAAAACTACAGTTATGAATCTAATGACAGGCACGTAGCATCGATTTTGAAAGTGGGGGGGGGGGCAGCCAGAGAAATTTTTTTTTTTTACTTACCTGAAAAAGTTGACAAGCAAAAAAAAAAAAAAAAAAAAAAAAAAAAAAAAAAAGGAAAATTGCCCAAATTCGAAAATCCTATTTCGTGGGGGTTGGGGGGGGGGAGGGGGGTTATGGGTAAAGTCTTTTTTTACCCCCAATTCCTTTCAATATCCATTTTTTAAGCTTACAATACCATATTTCCTTCATCTTACTTTACTTTAGTATAAAGTGGGGGGGGGGGGGGCAACCAGCCTTTCAATAAACATTTTCAATAGTAAAAGTATTGTTTCAAAAAAAGTGGGGGGGGGGGGGGTCAGGCCCCCCCTGTTGCTACGTGCCTGAATGAAATGAAATAGCTAGGGATTTACATCTCTCATTATCATTGTCATTGCCCATGTTGTCTGCCTTAGTTTTAACTGTGTAATTTTTTTTTTCAGCTTTTATTACTGAATCAAGGAAGCTCTAAACACTAACAGAAACTTGGTGTTTTTTTTTGGACTCTGAGAAAAATGTATTATTAAATATGCGCATATTGAGACGTTTTCATTGATTTAGAACATAGGGTACGTGCCTTATTTCCGCAGAAAAAATGTCCAAAGACAGTGGTTTATTTGTGAGCTGCTGTTTACTTACATTGGGAAAATTTATGAGAATAATTAATCAAATTTTTTAATCTTGGTCTTATATGATGCGAGAAATATTTTATTCTATTACAAATCATGTAATAAACTTTAAATAACATTTTTAACATCTTAAATCTAAGGGCAAATCACTCTAACCGCATAAAACTATTAAGTGGATTAATAATCGAGGACCTCTTAGGCAAACGTGAAAAAAGAGGACACTTATTGTAGAAAATTGCCGATGCGGTCCATCGAAACTCAGACGAAACGATGAACAAAAAATTAAAGAGGAATCAGGGCAGAAACAGAGATAGAATCATCAAATTTTGAAAAGAAAAATCGTCAAGTTAAATAAATGAAATGCCAGTTTCTTACATTGTCATTGAAATTTACACCGCAACATTAGAAACTCAAATTGAAGAAAAAAATGAGAGAAAAGAAGACATTTCATAACGCAGAAGCCCAAATGAAATTGAGTAATAGAGGAAAGCGACACTATATATTGTTGTTTGATAAAAGAAAATATAGATGGGTTTATTTAAGTTTATTTAATAGCTTCGAAGGCAACGGAAAAAGTACTAGAAAGCAATTGAATAGTTGGTGATTTCTAGTGTATTCCTTGAGTATTGTGTAAACTAACTCCAGATTTGGAAAAACCACCTTTAGGTCATTTAAAATTAATAAACAAGGTATCGACTAGTTAATTCCACCGGGCACTATTTCAAAGAAGATAATACTCCCTATATGATTCGTGAGTTAACATGACATACATAGAGATCCCATCGTATCCACTTACCAGTGTGTTCCGAAATTAGTTTTTAATATCATACTTTCATGTAAATTAGTTGAATCTGATTGGTCTAGAAACATTTGTTAAAAAACACTATTACCCACTGAATAATGAAGCCACGCCCTCCAGTGTTGCTTCATGATTGCTTCACCCCTCGAAAACCATTGTCAACCTCGGTTGACAATGGTTTTCTTGGGGTGAAAATTTTCAATGTTACACTCAGCTAAATGCAATATTTATATAATGTGCATAATTGAGTCGGGGATTCATTTGTACATTAATTAATAAAATCAAAACAAAAAATTACAGCAATTTTTAATCTTTTAAATCTATTTGACTATCATATCATATTGTACATGTAGTGGCGCATAAGTATCAGTAGTTTTAGGAACAAAAATGGCTAAATGATAATTTGTTAAAATTCTATAATTCTAATGGTAGAGATGATAGTTACAAGAGTTAAAAGTGCATAAATACGATTTAAAATCAAAGTTTATAACTTTGTAAAACATGATGCAATGATACAAACATCCTAATAGATTAAAACTTTCTGATACAATTCTATCATTTCTATATAAAGGTCCTTTTGATAACAATTCATGTTAACGACAAATACGTTCTATAGGGCATACAAATCTTGACCTAGATTTGTTTTTATATACACAATGGATGATAAATGGACAATACTCCATAAGCATGACAAGAAATGAAAAAGTATACATACCCTCGCTTTTGTCCACCTTTGGTTTCGGTTTCTTCTTGAAAAATTTGTTTTTAAACATTTCTGAAAATGAAGGATAAAACTGAGTCAAATTTGTGCAATTTCAAAATAACTTTTCGTGTCAAGTGACAGTGCACGTTTTTTTTAAACTGTTTAACAAACAAAAATGCATACAAATAAGATGATAAGATGTCAAAAGGTGGACTTACCAAAATTGTTCGTACCTCCGCTATGAAGGGTTTCTTTCAGGGTAAGTTTTAGGTCATAAATAAACTCCGGGAATTCCAATGTGTCACATAATCCTAATATTTCTGCTTAAAGTGAAGTCGAGCGTTGCTCTCTACAGCGTATCAAGCACAGCCACTCGATTAAATGCAAGTAAGTTTCGTTGCTTATTCATGTGGAAATCGCTTGAGATACCAACCAACTTTACACAAACACACAAAAACCCCACCCCAATCATTATTGAAAAAAGTTATCTGTCCAGTAAAATAATTAAATTGAGTCAAATGCTGACTGACGTTTTTCATACTAGTTTTTGGTCCATTATTTATACACTGAATTGACGACGAGTTTTCCCGTTATTTCTCGATCATGACAAGGCTTTCTTATACACCCATACTAATGTGTTCGGAACCTTTTATTTTTCGGTTCCATAACTTCTTGGGATCAATCTTACAAAATGTAGGGTTGCAGAAACACTTGCTTGCCAAAAGTTATTCCTTTTTAAGTGTATTGATGCGGATTTATGATATTTATTGCCAAAATAAAATTTTCATTTTTTACTCTTTAAATCTTAATTCTCATTCAGCTGATTTGTCAGTTAAAGTGTTCTGCACATTCTAAAACCCGATGAGTTCAGAGTAGCTCTGGCGAGAGTTAGCGAGACTACAGCGAGATAGGGTAAATTATTCACGGAAATGTGGCTAGGAAGTGACTTGCACGTGGAGACATGGTAAACAGAAAAATTATGTTGCGTTTCAGTTTAAATTTATATCCCATTTGGGATATTTTATCCCAAACTGACTATCATATCCCATTTGGGCGAGTGGTCCCAACTTGTATAAGGTTAATTTTTTAAGAATCTATTTGTGCAATGTAAAGATGACAATAGCATTTAATATAGCAATCTCATTCATTTGTATTCTTATAAAGTCCTGAAAGGATTCTCAAACAATATGATATTTAAGTATTTGTTTTTTAATGAAGAAAATGCATCCCAATTTTTTTTATACAAGTTACAGTACAACAACAGCAATGATTATAAAACAAAAATGAGACATTTTTACATCATGTTCAATTTACTGATAGCACAGTATAATTAGTAGTATCACCTTAAGTAAAATTTGCAGTGGGCTCTCAAGGCTATTTTTAGTATCAAGAATTTAAAAATAGACATATTACAGAAAAATTCTAATAAATCAAATTTGGACAGAGTTTAAGATGCCATAGCTAGGTAATTAGGAAATATACAGTAAAAGCTAATATACTAATGACAGAAACTGGTGACACCAATTACTCCTATGCAATATGCATATTATTTGATGAAGTTCCATTTTCTAATTATACCTTTAAATGCCTAAAATAGGACATTTTTCATAATATGTCAAAATTGACTATTTTCTATCACTAAAACATAAGTGATGAACATACTGATGACTCTCGTTTCTATAAATAATACAAATGTCAAAAATTAGATACATAGGTAATTAAAACAAGTAAGACTTATTTTTGAAAAGAAAAATGAAATAAGAATAATGCAATTAAAATACAGTAAATACCTTTAATTACAATTTTCCAACTAGGCTAAAAAAAAGGCTAAAAATTATTTTTAGCTTTTGGTAACTTCCAATGTAAGTAAAGATTTGAACATAAGATCAGTCAGCCGTTTTTTTAAAAGTAAATAATACAAACTTTTTGTATCATTTTGCATCTTTTTATAATTACGTTACCATGTGTAAAAATAAGAAAGCTTTTAATATAAGAGAATTATATAAAAATATCCTTTAAAATTTAGAATGACCGGGGAAAATCGATTTGGCTGATATTTATATCATATGATAGACCCGATATGGCTTAATCTTTAATACAAAACAAAAACATTTAATCTTTGAAAATACTAGTAGAAGTATGCATCTCATGATTAGCCAACTACATTTTTATGATATTTATATCATATGATAGACCCGATATGGCTTATTCTTTAATACAAAATAAAAACATTTCATCTTTGAAAATAGAAGTACGCATTTCATGATTAGCAAACATTTTTTTTTATTCTTAATGTCAAGAAAAAAAGATGAACTTGGCATGACCTTACTTTTAAAATAAAACGTCAAATTTTAAAACAATAAATATGACTAAAAATGTAAAAAGAACACTTCTTTAATTCCTTAAAACGGGATATGGTGATGTTTGTTTAATTTATTAATTTCTTGAGAGGCTTTCTTGGTGGTACTGCTGGTTTAGTGTCAGGGAATGCTTCATTGACGTAAATTGGCTCTGTGTTAGCTTCAGCTTCGCAAACAACTCTTTCCTTCTCATTCTTTGCATCACATTTTGTTTCTTGTTTCATTTCTTCCCTCCAGACTGGCATATTTTTCACTTTCTGCTTTGGCTTCGGAGGGGGTTTTGGCTTTCTTCTTTTAGAATTTTTCTCAGAAAGGTCTAAACTTCTTTCGGTTTCCATTACATTTTTGATAGTGCAGTCTACTGGTCCAGGAAATTCGTATATGTCGGATGATTTTTCTATATCTTCTGGGTTTTCGATATACCGTCTGTTCCGAGAAGTGTAAGTGTTTACATCAGACGTTTCTATCAGCTTTTGGTGATTTTCTGATAAATCAGATACCTCTGCAACGTTCATTATACTGGTATCTGTGCCGTTTCCCGTGTTTTCTGTAATAGTCCCATAATAGTCCGATCCTTTATAAGTATCCCTAACACGCCTCTGCGGGAAATCTGTCACAGACATATCGAAATCTGTGCTAAAGTTAACGGAATCTCTGGGGTCAAGTAAATCTCCTTTGCCAGTTGTCGAGGAGTTTTTTGAATCTGGTTGGTGATTACTCGGTTGCGACGGAGGAGAAGGTAGATTTGGCGCTGTTTTGTAATATTTATGGGCTTTGCTTATAGGGGGTCTACGACGTAAAGAATCCAAATTATGAATTTGTTCCATACTTTCCTCTTTTTTTTTTTTATTGATTTCTGGGACTTTGTCTTCAAATATTGCCTTGGTTTCGTTGGGTGAATAAAATTTTACTTTAGATTTTATTTCGTTTACATTTTGTTGGAAAATTTGTTTTGATTTTGATGGCGGAGCAATTGTATCTTCATTATGAACATCCAGCGGTACTTTAGGTAGAGGTAGTACTTTGCAAGTGTTTACATCAGATGTCTTTATCGACCTTTGATGATTTTCCTCTAAACCAGATACCTGTGCTACATCCAACATACTAGTATTATTGCCATTTTTAAAACTTTCAATTTTATTAACTCTTGGTTTTGAACGAGGAGGGGGTGGTGGTATACTGGTCTTCTTGGCTCCTTGATCATTATTTCCTGTGTTGTAATAAGAAGCTTGAGATGTGGGTAGAAGCCTTCCCTTTTCAAGAGGGGGAGCAGTAGTGTTTGAAGCAGATTTGCATTTCTCCTTGGTCTTAATTGATTCCTCCAAATCGGAATCTGAGCTATATAGATTTGTTTCTACATCGTCATAGTCACTAGAATCATTGATATCATTGATGTCTTCATATTCATCCACCTCTTTGGATTTCATCCGAGATCCTTGCTGTCCAGATTGTTCAATACTTAGATTTTGTTTAGGAAGAGACATCCCTAGGCTAAAAGAGAGATGTTCTTGCGTTAGAATAAAGTAACAAGTTAGCTACGAAAATCTTAGAGTAAATGTAATGAGTACCGTATTTTGAGGATTTGCAGGATCATTTTCATGGATGGTCTGTCAATTTTCTGATGTAGGAGACAAGGCCTGGTGATTTCCTGGTAAAACCAGTCAGGACACTTAATAGGTTTCTCTGGGATATATCCCTCTATTAAATGCTGAAGAATCTGAAAAATGGATGTAGTTTTTCATAGATGTATAGCATTACAAACAAAGGAGATGTATTACTCTATTTTGTTTAGAAGAGGTTCAAAGACTTAAACGGTTACCTGAGATAAAACAAAAATAATTTAATAGATGAAACTTTAATGCTCAAAGCCATAATAAGATTTCAAATTACTTCCCCTGGAACTCATTTACTACTCATTAAGTAATTCTACTCCCCCTTTATCACTATTACAAAGTAGAGGCTATAAAGGAACATTTAGTGTTTCAGCACTTCTTTAAAATCCCATATTATCACCACTCACATTGGCATCTTTTGAAAAACATCTAATAACCCCTGATATTTTTTTGTCTCATTTTTATTTATTACAAGTCTATCTGATTTCTAAAACTAAGGAAGTGCTTTTTGTATTGTATTATAAAGGATCTTGCATGTAATAAAATTAATAGAATTAAATTCTCTTATTCATTTTATCTTTTGAAAACATTATTGACAGATATCAATATCCATAGTTGATAGGCAAAGGATAATTTCCTCTCAAAGTAGAATAAAAATTTAAAGAGTCCTGTTCAGCATTAGTTGGTATACTTGACCAAATGGTCCAAAATTTCAAAAATCTGGTACACTATCCTTGCTTATAAAAAGGTTTACCCTGTTTGCCTCCGAGTTACCTATTTCATTATAATATACTATGAACAATTTCTGAAACGAGGTAAATTATTGACAGGCGGGTTGATGGAGCAAGCATGTCGGTGGTCTCGTTTGGAGTCATCATTTCGTGAGTTCTAAGGTCGATACAATGACCTTGTCAGCAAATACAATTTATCATTGAGTCAAATGCTGACTGACGTTTTTCATACTAGTTTTTGGTCCATTATTTATACACTGAATTGATGACGAGTTTTCCCGTTATTTCCCGATCATGACAAGGAGCACATGGCGGGTGTGACCGGTCAGCAGGGGATGCTCACTCCTCCATGGCACCTGATCCCACCTCTGATGTTTCGGAGGTCCGTGTTGCTCTGCTCCTATTTTGTATTGTTTTATGGACTTTGATATTGAATACTGTTCGTTATCTCCATATCCTTCGTCAACAAGGATGCTTGAACCTGGGACGAAAAGATCTTAAGCACACAAGTTTACTAGTATTAAAAAGAATTAATGTATTTTTATTGATCGTCAATAAAGCTTCACCCGAACATCATCTTATCCAGGGACCATGGCACTCATTCATTCACGATTTTGGAAGAGGCATCTTGCTCATGAACTTAGTTTCTCTACTTTATAACCAGGAGAAGAAATCTATATTTTTAAAGAAGTTATGCATTTTTACTATCTTATCAATAGAGCCCCTTTTTTCAATAGAATTTATAACAACTTTGCATTTAGTTTGTTCCCTATATGGTATCTATAGCCAATAAGTAGAACCCTTAAACCTGGGATCATGTTTTGTTTTATATTTTGGTAGAGGACTTAATGCTTATTATGTTCCCCAAACGAAGTTGGGGAACATATTGTTTTTACTCTGTTTCTTAAATTATTAAGGTCTTCCGTCTTCAGCGGAAGACCTTCTTGTTATTCGTTTGTTTCTTTTCCACTGTTTTTCTTATTATTTTTTTTCTCCCCGATATTGTGCACGCGATTTCTCGAAAACGGCTCGTTAGATTTTTATGAATCTTTCAGGTCTGATAGAACATATTAAAAACTTGATGCATTTTTTTTCATTTTGATGACGTCACTTCCGGTTCGAAAATTTTCGCAATATTGTGATTTTTAAGGGTCATTTTGTCCGTCGCTCTTCTTAAAAATCGCTCATCACAGGAAGATGAAACCTTGTCAGGAAGATAGAGCAACAAATGTAGATTTGCATTGTGTTGTTAACTTTCACCGGAACTACTGTACGTTAACGCTCGGTATTGTCTGAAAAAAGTCATATTGAGCGTTTCAAAATTTTTTACACTTTTTCTATTATATCTTTTTACTTGTAAATATTTTGTTAAAAGATATAGAACGAAAATTGTGAAGAATTCTAAGATCTTTCAAATGATATCTCGAAAAAAGGGCTGACCCCTAAAATTAGGGATCTAGAGGGGCCAAAAAATTTTACTTGATATCTCGAAAATTATTGAGAATTTGTAATACTTCAAAGAGGCAAAGTTGTTCAAAATGACAAGCTTAATCTATCTGAGTCGTCAAAATACGTCCGGCGTCGTCACTTCCGGCCAAACCGGAAGTAGTCAAAAACGGGTATTTTTGCCGTTCTTTTCAAGTTTTTTGGTAACATATGTCTCTTGGAGCATAAACATTAATTTTCCGTCCGTCATCGTCACTTCCGGTTAAACCGGAAGTAGCAAAAATTGCTTATTTTTGCATAAATTAACATAGCTTTAGAGGATTCAAACCATTTCTAGGCGTTATTTCTCATATTTGTTGAAAATGAAAGCTACTTCCGGTCAAACAGGACGGAAGACCTACTCGTTGCTTTGCAACGAATTTTGCTCTAGTTATTATTATTATTAAAAATTTTGTCCTTGAGTGATCTTGTAAACTACACATCCGACTAAGGTAAAATGTTTTTATATATATGTTATGTAGATTTGCCAGGTGAAAACAAAGGTCATTTTGTGCTTTTGATGCAAAATAGCGCGCACGTGCAACACGTGAAATGACCGATTTAATTGATATAGGCGTAACTTTTTTAATTTCTGATGAAATGCTTTGAAACTCATAATGTAAGGATATATTAGTAATATAGACAAGATGACATGGTCAAAATAACAAGATCTCACGCGCATGCACGTGCGCTTTGCTCTGATTGGCTGAAACTAAAGTCTCAATATCTTTCTTGTTTTTTAACGAAATACTTTGAAATTTTGAACATAGCCATGCATTAGGGTATCCTACAACATATTATATAGAAATTATCATGAACACACGTGCATGCACGTGCGCTGCAATCTGATTGGCTGAAATTTTAAATAGCTATAACTCCCTTGGTTTTCAACCAAACAGGATGGGATTTGGAACATAGATATATAAAATGGACTTCTACAAGAAGATATGGTCACCATGCACATGCATACACGTGCGTGTACGTGAGCTGCAATCTGATTGGCTGAAACTTTAAACAGTTATAACTCCCTTGGTTTTCAACCAAACAGGATGGGATTTGGAACATAGATAGATGTAATGGACTACTACAAGAAGGTATGGTCACCATGCACATGCATACACATGCGCTGCAATCTGGTTGGCTGAAACTTTAAACAGCTATAACTCCCTTGATTTTCAACCAAACGGGATGGGATTTGGAACATAGATAGATGTAATGGACTTCTACAAGAAGGTATGGTCACCATGCTAATGTATGCACGTGCGTGTACGTGAAATGAGCAAAATCAAAAATACACTTGAATGAGCGAATTTTTTTAATACTTTTAGATTAAATACTTTAATATTTAGTATATTAAAATATATAGATTGTGTAAACAAGATGATATGGTCATTACGTACATGATTCACATGCGCACACATGCAATGCTAAAATTTGAATAAACATGGTACATTTCTGGGTAAACGTTGTTAAAGTCTCAAATGCATAGAGTTTGTGTTATTTAATGAAGCTTACAGGGAATATGGCACCAAAAGGGAGTTGGGGAGCGTTTGGGGAACATCTGTAACGGTCCCCGTTACAATTAGCACTAGTTATACTTATGCCATCAGTTTGAGCTCTTGATGTTTAGAATTAAAGAAGAAGGCATTTTAAGACAGCATTTTAAAACGGATAACGCCCAATCCCTCAGGCCCGGGAGGGGACACTGACCTGAAATTTCCAACTTATTCGTAAATATATGCTGTATTAGCTGAAATGGGCTCGACTGTTTCAGTTAGAAAAACTAAAAATATTCAAGTGTTACTGAATGACGAACGAAAGACTGATTGATTGATTATATGTTGCTTTCATTCCTACTTGAGAAATTTTAACCTATTCAAATGTAACAAAAAGTTACAAAAAAAGTACCAACATACAGGTAAAGGGCTACAAATTTAAACCTATACTAAACACGCAGGGACACTGAGCAGCGAAGGCTCTTTATAGTGCCTACGCTTTTGGTTTTCAAGTCTCATCAAAAAGACCACTGGCTTTCACTTCTAGTGCCTGGCGCTTAGCAAAGGAACATAGACTATTTATGTTTTCGTCCTAGGTTGACTCGGCGCAGCGAATGATAATCGACCCCCGACCACACCTCCACCCCCGGTAAGGATGCAAACTTTCTACTGTAACCGTTAGATCGAGGACAGACAATAATGGATGACAATTAGGTCACCTGAGTGACTCAAGCGACTTATAAAAAAATTTTCTTACATTTTCAGACTGTTTGTAGTTGAACGGGATGCATGTAAGTTCTCGCTCTTCATCCTGGTCATAAACAACTCCTTCTTGTCCAAAAGCAGACATGACCTCCCACGTTATCATTCCAAATGCATACACGTCACTTTCTTTAGAATATAGACCAGCTTTTATTGCCTCAATTGGTAGCCTGAAAAGCAATTGATTTCAATGGAAGATGTACTACCGGCATGCCACATGCAAATAGCAAATAATTTCTGTATACTTTCAAATAATTCTTACTATTTGCTTTATATAAAAATATACTTCTTTTTCGTGTACAATTGAAGGACACATGACAATATTATATCAAATTTTATATATATGTTTATGTCATCACAGGTGAAAACAATCAGGTATTTAACCTTTTGATAACAAAATATCTTTCTATTTAGCATGACAGACCATTGTATTCCTTCGGTGTCTTCCGATGTCTGAACTTTTATTTGCTCTAGGTGGATATCAGACTCGGACGACGCTATCAACCGATATTTACCGAATTTTGGCACAACGATAGTTTGTTCTCGCTTCTGCAATATATAAATGCCAGGCAAAATAAGAAACTTCATTGAGTAATCATTAGGCAATATTGAATGTTCTTTCATCTTCATAAAAAATATTTCAAATAAATGATTACTAATTTGTATGTCATATACTTTTGATTCCAAAATCCACACATTCTTTGCTCTTAGACATCGGAAAATCCATCCAGCTGAATGAAAAGAGTCGATGTGATTGGCCAATTCATAGAGAAGTGCAATATAAGGACCAATACTAAGGTCGAGCTCTTTGTGGAGGACTTTTTCGAGGAGATTTGTTGACCGTGGGAATTTATAATGCTAGAAAACATGCACAAAAAGTTACTTAAAGCAGTGTATAAAAAAGAATTTTTCACACAGTCGGTTTATAATATAAGAAGTCCATCTTACCAACTGTTTGGAGCCGTCTGCCGAGACACTTTTGGTCGGAGGCCAAGGTGTTACACACATTTTACTGCTGTCTATCTCCTTTAGTCTGCTATATGTAAATTTCAAGAAGTCTTCACTTACTTTTTCCATCACTTTCATCATACCTTCTCCATCCTTAATATAAAAATTATAGAAAGTAAAATAACTATGAATGTCATTCTTATACATTTTTACATTCGTACATGACGCATGAGACCCGAAGATACTATACTACTAAAGTATGAAAGTTAAGTCATTTACCACAGAATCAATTTTGTAGTATTCCTCTGAAGATATTTCCATTACTTTCACTCCTGTATCCATTTCCAGTCTACTATTGTTTTCTGCTATTTCTGATGCAAACTTAGTGCGAGGATCTGTAGATATACATTTTGTATTTTTTAAAAGAAGCATTAAAACATTTGTCTACAGCATTTTTAAGAATGACGTTTACTCAGATGACAAAAAATTAAACTAATAAGATCTAACCAGAAGTATCTAATGAGACTGTAGCTCTACTGGTCTGTACATATAACAAAGGAAAAGTAGCACTTGGATTTATAACATAATATGAATAAATAAAATTATGCATCTTAGTGTAGTCTACTTGTGTTCTATATTAAATTGAAATCAGACCAAAATTGTAGGAGGAGTAGCGTTTAAAGGGAATTTTACAGAAATTTCTATTTTACCATGACAACATGACGTGCATTGAAATCAAAAATCGATGTACTAAATTTTGTATCTCAGTGTAGTCTACTTGTGTGCCAAATTATATTGAGATCAGACCAAAACTGTAGGAGGAGTAGCGTTTTAAAGGAATTTTACAAAAAAATATTTCTATTTTTAGTAACCAATGCAACACCATTCATCGAAATCAAAAACCGATGTACTAAATTATGTATCTTAGTGTAGTCTACCTGTGTACCAAGTTTTATTGAAATCAGACCAAAACTGTAGGAAAATTTACAGACATTTCTATTTTTAGTAACCATGGCAACACCGTTTATCGAAATCAAAAACCGATGCACTAAATTATGTATCTTACCTGCTAGTGTAGTCTACTTGTGTGCCAAGTAGCATTTTGAAAAATGTTTACAGACGGACAGCTAGGCAGATGGACGGACGACGGACACCTTACTATCGCATAAACTCTTCTGGTCTCTGACCAGTGAGCAGAAAACTACCTATTGCACATTGTACACCTAGGATTCTTGTGTTTAATTTCAATTTTTTAAAAAAACTAGGTCATTGACCAACTTTTCATGCTAGTGACCCTTGAGTATTTTTGGACAATATAATACCTCAAACACACTATGACCAGGTTTTTCTCGCATTTATTGACTTGTACTGTGTGAGACAGCAGTGTGAGATTTTTCTGTCTTATAATGTGTATTACTACGCCGCGAACGATAACGTAAAAATTCCTTCTTTATCAGCCACGTCCACATCGTTTTTGAAAGTGGGGGTGGGGGCAGTCAGAGAAAAAAATTTTTTACTTACCTGAAAAAAGTTGACAAGCCAAAAAAAAAAGGGGGGGGGGAATTGCCCAAAGTCGAAAATCCTATGGGGGGGGAGGCGAACTTTTTTTCAATGCCAACTACTTTCAGTACCAATTATTATACTACATTTTCCGTACATCACTAATAGTCGGGGGCCAACAAGCCTTTCACTGAACATTTCCTATAGTATAAGTAAGGTTGGAGTAAAAAGTGGGGGGGGCAAGCCCCCCCCCCCCCCCCCCCCCCCGTTGCTACGTGCCTGTTTATATAAAGAAATTGTAAAAATGTTTAAAAATATCACAAAAACTTAAAATGTTGTTATATAACTTATCAAAATATACTTATTTTCATTCAAAATATTGTCGTATTTTCACTTTTTAAGTAGCACACTGATTAGATCGCGGAAGGAGTCTTCTAAAATGAATTTGTACGCAATCGGATAGATATGTTTTTTAATTCCAGTTTTTATCTATCAAATGAATTAATATGGACCGAAATTCATTTTACTAGTTTACACTTTGTGTAAACCATTTTCAGGTACAGTACATGTACGCTTTTTACGATGGTGTATTCAGATTTTTAATAAGATGGAAAGTTAAAAAAAAATATTTTTAGCATTATGAAGACGTCATTGACAGCTGGCCGTCATTTTGGATAAAATACTGCGAGAAAAATAATCATTCACTTTATGGAAGTAAATATATTATGTATCTCGTAATTTATAAACGGAAAGAACATTCTGATTAATAATCTTTTCAATGTGCAGAAAACCTTTAATTCTAAATAACTACTCCCACCCCAATCTCCATTCACCAACACTTAAACTTAATATGTATAGGGCAGCCCGGTCATCCGGGCTGCAATGAGGTCAACGATCAATTTATGAAGATATGTTGTCTATACAGTGAATTCGCCGATTCCGGGTCACGTCAAGGTCTTTCGTTGATATTTTGAAACATCGTCAGATTTATACTTTATGCAACATATTTATTGAAAGTACAAATAGTGATTCATCCAAAAGTATTTTTATTTCCAAAGTAACTAAATGGGAACAATTTTTACAGGCGTATTTCAACAAGGCCTAGCTTCCCCAGTTACGAATCACTTTCTCCATTTCCGGGTCATGTGACTTCGTGGTCTTGCAGAACAAGATTTTTATGATGTTGAAACATAAAAGAATTCATGTAGCTCGGAAAAAAACCCAAAAAAAACCCACTGAGATAAGTTTTATTTATTTAAAAAACCAATGATAACAAATAAAATGCAATATGCAGAATTTACAAAATGATATTAGGATTAAAATAAGACGATTGAATTTATTCTATTAAAAAGTATTTGAAAGTTAAACTCAAATTTATTTCTTAGAAAAATATTTTCCAGGTGGAATACTTTTAATAAATCAAGGTTTATGCACGGTTGCCAATTGGTTTTGTACAACGAGTTTTGACATGTTTCATACCATGAGATTACGTGAACCGCAATTGGAGAAACTACTACAGTTTGATTTTTTAATCAGTGTAATTTTATTTGAGCAGCAATCATTATGATTGATTTCTGAATTTAGAAGTAAATGTATGTGATATACTTTCGTGTTATTATTGTTTATCTAGAACTCTTATGTCAGCTTTGCTGTAGCGAACAAAAACGAAAGTAGCCTGTCGACGAAGCAGAAACATCCCCGTCTTCAATGTGCGCGTTTCATAATTTCGTTTGTGGAATGCTCTCTTTAAGTTGATTTTCAAAATTTTGTAATTAATTACAGACAGAAAGACCAATTCTACATTACCAATATATTTATTAAGTTTTTACGCTTTAATTTTAACAATATTACATTAAATACACACGAGTGACCCGGAATAGGATACGACCCGGAATGGTTTTGTACGTGCCTTTGAATTTCCTTATTTCATGGCATTTGATTATTTGAAATAATTAATGAGCTTTAACACATATTATATTTGCAAATGATGTTTAAAAATACATGAAACCTTTACTTTGTAATTGATATTGCAAAAAATAAAATTTTGGGTCAGAAATGAAATTAAAATTTGGTCCGAATTTCCTCTGCATTACCATATATTGACTTTTATTCTTGCATAATTACTTCAAATAATAAATTTTAAATTTTGTATATTGATATTGGGTTAAAATTTGGTTATTTTATCCATTTAGAACAATTTTGATTTAACATATTGTACTAAATAAAACTTCGCAAACCTGAGTAAACGTCATCCGTAAAGAGAAAAAGAATGAGAAGATTAATACCCATAATCATAAAGCAAACCAAAATCTGGAATGGGGTCATAGTAGAATATATTGAATTTCTGTGAAAAAAAATTCTTTTATAGTGAATGATTAGAAGAATTTCCATTGCAACATGATGATTGAATTCAAAAAATATATTTATATATAAACGAATGAGCATACCTTCTTCAAGCTCTCTGTATCTCCGAATTGATTTGGGGATTCCCTGTTCAGAAATGCAAGAATTCAATTCATTTGTCAAGCTCTTTGTTTTGTGACTTTTGTTCACACACACACAGAGAGAGAGAGAGAGAGAGAGAGAGAGAGAGAGAGAGAGAGAGAGAGAGAGAGAGATCACCCTTTCAAATATGGATTTTGCAATGATCTGTCGTTCTGTCAGGGGAGGTATGTCATACACCTTTGCATGTGTTCCCTCCACTCGAGAATACGCATCTAAATGCATCAAATTAAACAACACCGTCCGTTATTTCTAATTAACAGTTTTTGGTTCTGGCGTGTTATTTTAAATTCTGTTTGTCTAACTACATAATCTTTGCTCTTTGCTCTTTAGATGTGTTAACTTGTAGACATACCATACGAACTATAACTTTCGCCACCGCTTATGTTATCTGAAATCTCCAGTAATCTTTCTCTCAGTGCCTCAAGCTTCAGTCGCTGTTCTGGTACGCTTGCTAAACCTTCTAATATAAGACCCTGAACTCTTCTCGGTCTGTTAAAACCTTGCGGTTTAAGGTTAGTAAAGACAATCTGAAAGTATAGTTTCACTGATTTTAGTTCTGTAGGAAACGATTATTTTATTTTAGAAAATTATGCTTACGTTTGTAACCATGTCGTCGAAGTCCGAATCACTGACGTCCGAGTATGGCCACGCTGCGTAGTTAAGAATTTCGTCTGCCAAAATGTTGACAGACCACACGTCACTGTATATACTGTAATGCCCTTCCAGAAGACTCTCTGGGGCCGCCCAACGAGATGGAACACCTTTAAAATCCAGATCTGGAAAGCAGTGCATAAGATAATTTGCCACATCGATTTTTAACATTTAGGTAATTTAATATGAAAACTCGTAAGAAGAGAGATGGAAAAGGGAAAAAAAGAGACAATTTTCACGTACCTATTAGACCATTGACTATTCCACCACTTGAAAAATCTGAAGGTTTTGCAGCCATCTTAAAGTTTTTCAGTTTTAGGAAAAATCCATTTTCTGTTAACGTACAATCATAAGATGCAGTTGTGATATCTCTAATAAGGCAACCATGCCTGTGTATATAAATAACTGCTTGCACCGCCTGCACTATAACATTTATAAGATCATCAATTGGAATTATCTTTCCTTTGTCTCTTGCCTCCAGAAGGCGCTTCTGTAGATTGTCTCCAGGAAGCCTCTCTTTAATGTAAAATTTTGGCAAACTCTGATTGAATGCTAAAAGCCTCGCGACATTTCTATGAATGTCTTTGGACTCTATTTGTTTCAACACCTCCAGTTCATTTTCTAGATTCTCTTTGTGTAACATTTTGGTTATGGGTATATTAGATGATGCTTCCCATGTTATATACGTAGGATCATCCATCAATTCGTCTTGGAAATTTTCTAACATGTATGTGATAGATGCCTCCACATTGCAAAATGAACATTGTCTGCGTTCAAAAGTTTTGCTTAACTGTGACACTGATTGAGACATGTCAAATTCAAATCCATATCTTTCTAGAAGAGTTTGTATGTGGTCTTCAGTAACACCTTTTGAACTGATAATCCCCTTCCCTTGTGCTATCTTCTTGTATGCTGATCGTATTCTTTCGTTGTAGTGAAATAACAAGCAATTTAATGTACTGATATTCTCAGGGGTCATATATTTTTCCTGATTTAAAATGGAAAGTAGTTGATCCTCACACTTTTCAAGAACCTCAACTTTAACTACAAAAAAGAAAAAAATAATTAAACAAGAGGCCCAATGACCACATTTCTCACCTGAGTACTAGCTGTAGCTAAGAATAAGCAAACACTAATCCAGTATTGAAAACCCTAAATGCATTATTGGTTCTTAGTAGCTATCCCTACAAGAGGCCCAAGGGCCACATCGCTCACCTGAGTAACTTTGGCCATGCTTTTCTTTACAAGATTTCCTCTCTATAATACCTTCTATGACCCTGCCCTATATACCCCAGGGGGCCATTATTTGGAGAATGTAAAGTCTACACTACCCCAGGATACTTCAAAATTAGGTTAAGCTTTTCTGGCCCAGTGGTTCTTGAGAAGAAGTTTTAAAAATTTTTCGTATATATTTCAATGTGGCCCCGCCCTACTCCCGAGGACTATGCTATGAATTTGACAATTTATAATCTACACTCCCCAAGCATGCTTTCACATAAGTTTCAGCTTATCTGTCAAAGTGGTTCTTGAGAAGAAGATTTTTAAAGATTTTTCCTATATTTTTCAATGTAACACGTGGATTCCCTATTGTGACCCCGCCCTACCCCCGGGGGTCAAGGTTTGAACAATTTTAAATATACACTACCCAAGAATATTTCTAAATAAGTTTCAGCTTCTTTGGCCCATTGATTCTTGAAAAGATTTTGAAAGAATTCTTATATATTTCAATGGTAAACTTGGATTCCACATTCTGGCCCCGCCCTTCCCCCAGGGGTCATTATTTTAATAATTTAGAATCTACACTACCCAGATATGCTTCCACATAAATTTCAGCATTCCTGGTCCAGTAGGTCTTGAGAAGAAGATTTTTAAAGATTTTACCTATATATTTTAATGTAAAACTTGGATTCCTTATTGTTGACCCACCCTACCCCAAAGGTTCATAATCTTAACAATTTAAAATGTACACAACCTAGTCTAGTTTCGCCAGCTTAGAGAAAGTTTTCCTTAGAAATTAGAATTAATTATTTTAGAGCACATTCATTTCTCCTTATATGATTATAATATCACTTTCAAATCTATCTTTAAATCTAATTATTATGAATATTCACCTATTGTTTTACTTTAACTGGCATTTTCAAAAATAAAATATCTTACCATCCGTGTGTTCTCTTTGCAATAAACGAACTATAAATAGGCAAAGCAAGTGGTGATGCCATTTCATCAAACCCACTTCGTCGTCAAAACCGTCCATGAAAGAAGACAGATGTAAAAACTTCTGCACTCCAGATTTAAATTTGGACTGATGCCTCATCATCTTTAAAAAGAAAAAAAGTAACCTTTAAGCATCAAAGCCTTTTATGATGTGATTTTATTTTTTAAACTAGAGTATTCCAAGGAAGGCATGTGTCATGCACTTGCTTTTAAGATTCATTAAAGATGAAATAAATCTAAGTGTACTTAGCAATTAATGTACTACTAGCAAGATAGTTCATGAATGTACAAAAAAATGCATTCATGTCCAAATAGTATGACTGTAATATAGATTATAGTAGATGTCAATCAAAGAAAATATGATTCCCACCCTCAAATGAATACATGTACCAGTAATTCAGTTGAAATTTGAATGAATTTTTTTTAATGATTTTACATGTGTTGATACGTGTTTCAAAGTATTTATTGTTACCATACATGATCTTTTGTGGGATACCGATCCGGATGTATTTTCGAATTATTTTCAAAATATCAGTTCGTGTCTTGAGATACAATGTGTGACAGACGGGGAGACAGACAGACGCCGGATAAAGTGATCCCAAATATAAGTACCGCTCTGCTCTGCAGGCGACAAAAAAATGCAAAACTGCACGTGTAGCTTCTTTTTGTAATTAAGAAATCCTTTGAGGATTATTAATACCAAATTTCCAGTGTGATAGAGAACAGCCAGCCCTTCAATATAAATGTTACTGTCTTCCCTGCTGAAGTCTTGAAGAAAAGCGTTCACATCTTCTCCAATCAAAAAACTCTCATCCAAATCTTCCTTTTCCAAATCAAAGATACACTGAGCTGTCTTGGCAAAAACCTGCACATCGGGATCCTTTCTTTCCATAACTCGCTTGCATTTTGATTCAATGGCATTTTTCGTATCATTAATGCATGCGATCCATTCGTCCACTGCTTCAATGGCACGTGTGTAGATAAAGCAGTTGAAAATGATTCCGAGTTGGATTAGAGACTGAAATATTCTGAATGTGTTCTTTGTCTCTGCTATTAATGTGAATAATTGCAGAGTGCCATTTCCGTACAACGTCATAAGCTCTCTGTTTGAAAACTCTCTCGGATCAGCATTCATAATCAATTCTGTCAATTCATTAATGCAAAGATTTCTTACCAGTTTGCTTTTACAAGCAAGAAGACTAAAGATTTCAACAATTTTATTCTGCCTAAAAGTAGGTAGAATTTTTGCGATAATGTGCTTAATCAAATCTTCCTGAACTTCTTCTGATGCATTGTCTATTTTATTACGTATTTCGTCCACTGATAGAGTTTCAAAATCTTCTGTAAATAGAAAATGAAAAAGAAAGATTTTGAATATCATAGCGCTTTGTTAATTTTGGTATATTTTATTTCTTGAATACAAGGAAGGTCATGGGTTTACTGGGCATACAATTTCTGACGAAAAAAACATCCCGAAAAATTGATATAACGTTTATTAGAATGCGCGGTATATCATCCGTAATTATACCCTTGCCTAAAAAGTTGGAGGGTATATATAGTGATCGGGATGTACGGGGGTGGGGTGGGGGGTTATCAATTAGTGAGATTATTGCTCACTCACAGTTGTGACAGTACCTCTAGTTTTTAGTCAATTTTTGCGTTTTGATATTTTAAAAATAATTATGTAGAAATACACGAGGTACTGTAAGTATTGAGGTAACTAGTTGATACCACCTCCCGTATGAGTATAATTATGACAAAGTCCCTGTTTAGCTCTTGGAGACCCGAAATAAATGTCAGATTAAAAAGTAAGTTAGGAGGTGCACAATTGTATTTTATTAAAAAAATATGCGAAGGTATCATTTAATTTCATTAAATGGTAAATAAGGAGTTGCGGATAACAGATGGGTACCCTTTAATATTTAAAATCTATAGGAAAAAAGGCCTTCAAAGGAAGAAGGGGAACATCTTTAAGGTCCTCATTACAATTGAAAATAGTTTGAATACAGATGTATATACTCAAAGTCCATACCTTTTGGAGAGAAGAAGAACCTGCTGATTGTTGGATTATGACCGTCTGTTTTGTATGTTGAAAATGTTTTTGAATCCAGAAATGCTTCCTCCAAGTCAGCATCTTTCCGTTTGATTGTGTAGATGATGTCAGAAGTTGCATACCCAAAGTCTTCATCGTCGAGATCTTCCATCCGCCTGTTGGAAGAGACATGTTGTAGAGGTAGATCCACGATTGCTTCTTTGCTCAATATCCTTCCTGTGGATATGTTGTTTACCGGTGGCGTAGGTACTGGTGTATCCGGTAAAAAGGGTTTAGGTCTCTGTATTGATGGAGGAACATCGGGCTTGGTTTCCTTGTTCTCAAAGTCTGTGTCATCTGTAAGATTAAAAGAACTCAATAAATTCCTTTAAATATTGTTAAACTTGTCCATTAAATTAAACAAAATATGAACGTGTCAATATTTTGATATTACTGTCTAGAGCCAGAATTCAGTCAGTACCTATATAGATCTAGATCTAGAAGATAAATTTCCCTGAAAGTGACGTTTAAAAACCAACTACCACGATACAAAATCTACCGAAACGAAACGAAATCAAACGAAACGAAACCTACCAAAGCAAAAGTATCAAATGTTTTTTCAAATCAAGATATATGATTATAATAAGTGACTAACTACATGTGGGATAACTTTACTTCATATTAAATGAATTTAGTTGAAGCTCTTGTTAATATGAATTTAAACACCGATAAATGCTCCCTTGTCTAGCGATGCATTTTTTAATATGTGCATAACATATATGTAACCTGGGGTTTGATGTGGAAGCACTTTTTAAAGCTGGTATTACACATAATTGAGACATTTCCTATTATTTTTTCTGGAATAATAGACAATAAAAATGAGTAGTTGTTTTGAATTATTTTTGCATTATAATCTCTAAATCATATTCATGTATTATTTAAACAATGAAAGATGAAGGTAAAAATCTGTGTCTATGCTTATCACTCTCGCTTTCAGCTCCATCCCTGGCTAGCAGCTTGCTGTGAAAGATAAGCAAAATTTTATTTGTAAGTTTTATCTGCCAGGTATAGCCTCTCCACAGTTAGACCTATGTGGCCCAGATATGGGATCCTCCTCGAGGTAGCGGATGGAAATTGGGTACCTTGCGGCCCCAAGCAGAACCACAGGGTCTTGGAGGAGACTAAGCCCCTAAATGCACGGCATGCGTGGCCCACTGGTGAGTGGATATGCCCTGGTGCCTGCAATCCTAGTTCCAAGCAATGGGTAAATTGCAATGAACTACTTCCTTGTAGATACCTTTCGGAAAAGGAAAGGCTAAGGAGTAAACCCTACAGAAATCCAGAGTACCACAAGGCTGTTGGTATAACCACACTTTTGCAACTCTGTCCATGCCACGATTAATGGCCGTCCAGGTGGGGAAATTAGCCCGGAAAGGCAGCTACCTAGAAGATAAACTTTTACTAAAAATCACGGGGGCAGATCTAGACTCATTAGCAATGTAAAGCCATAGATCTAGTGGAAGGAAACCATAAACAAGTTACCCGGTCCTCCAGGTTGGGGTTTGGGCGTAGGGTGTAGGGCTAACAACCCTGCCCTGTAAAAGGAGAAAGTTACCGAAACAGCAACAAGAAAAACCTTTACCTCATCGTGTTCCGAGTTAAATGAGACTCGTATGCATGCTGGCAATCAATGCCATAAGGTCGTTAGCAGCAGAATGGGGGAGGACCTGAACACCACCAAAACCAAATTCAGACTAGGGCATTGGAATGTGAGGACAATGTTTGAGACAGGCAAGCCGGCACAAGTAACATCTGAGATGAGACAGTTTAATTTACATGTCCTAGAAATGAGAGAAAGCATATGGACTGGATCTGGAAAGATGAAAACCACCACAGGAGAAACTGTCCTCTACTCTGGTAAAGACGACAATCTACACCGTGAAGGAGTGGCCATCATACTCAGGAAAGGTGTAGAGCGGTGTCTGTTGGAATGGAAGCCCATAAATAATAGATTAATTAGCGCAAAATTAAGGGGCAAGCACATCAACACCATATTAATACAATGCTACGCACCAATGAATGACAGTAATAATGAAATAACTTCTATAGTCAGCTACAGGCAGAGGCAGAGAAAACCCCACGGCATGACCTACTTGTCATCATGGGGGACCTCAATGCTAAGGTCGGAAAGGACAACACCGACTATGAAAGAGTCATGGGAAAACAGGGGGTTTGGATCAGGAACGATAATGGCGAAAGACTGGTGGAGTTCTGTGCTATGAACAACCTAGTGATAGGAGGAACCCTCTATACACACTCTGATATCCACAAGCTGACCTGGAACTCACCAAATGGAAGAGACAAGATCAAGATTGACCATCTGATGATCAATGGCATGTGGAGACACTCTCTATTAGATGTTAGGGTCATACAGAATGCAGACGTAGGCAGCGACCATCACCTGGTGACAGCACTCATTAAGCTTAAGGTAGGACACAATAGATAGGCCAAATTTTTCCTCAAATTCAATTTTCCTGAAACTTTGATATTTTGTTCTAGGAAACAACATCTCTCTTTATATATGATATGAAAGAAATTCAACTGCACATTTTTTGCCCACATAGTCTGAAATATGGTCTATCAGACCCCTGTAAGAAGATTGTGAAATCAGACATTAGACTTGAGAATGAGCCTTCTTCAAAAATTATCAATTGATTTATTGCAAATTTGTGTAATACTTTTAATAAAGATAATCTTTTTGTTGCTTCAAGTTAGTAAGTCAACTTTATACTGGAAAATTTGAGTAAAATATTTAGTAAAAATAGAACATATGTAGCGTTGGAATTGAAAATTCACATGTAAATATCCGATAATTTAAGTTTTCTTAAGAGAAAATGTATAATTCAATTTTTACAAAAAATCAACAGAATGATTCAAATGGGTCCTAGAATAAAACGTGTAAAAATAAAAAAAAAATTGAACCGGTGGTTTCAGATATTTTTGTGATCAAAAAAATTTCAATGGCAAAAAAACTTAAAGATTCAGTAGATGACGTCACAATATTTGACCTTTGACCTCTTTATATGACCTTGACCTTAGTAGTACATAAAGAATGGAGACTCCTTATATATGTGTCCAAATATCATTCCTCTACTATGTATGGAAAAAAAGTTACATTGCATTTTATAACAGGCTGTCACATGCGTGTTTATTACACTTAGTTAGCATAAAAACATTCCAAAATGTAAGCCCCCAAGTGACCAATATATAGGATTCTCTGATTTTTTCACAAAATATGACGCAAACATGCCAAAACTTATTATTTTTCTTACAGGGATCATACATTGTTGTCAATATAGTAATATTATTCTTCTTTTCTCCAGTACTTTTTAAAAAATGGGTTAAAATAGAATCTACGGGTGTTTTGTCCTACCTTAAACTGAAAAAGCTGAAGTAAGCCATGGACCAACTTGCAGCTGAGGCAGAGAAAGCAGCAGTACGGGGAGAGCAAGGGAGAGTATATAAGATCACAAAACGAGTGTGTGGCAAATTTATAGGAAACACCAGAGGACCTATCAAAGACAAACATGGAACACTACTGACATCAGAAAAAGAACAAGAAGAGAGATGGGTTGAACACTTCCGCGAAGTTCTTAATCGACCATCACCCGATGAATCAGTTGTACCAGAAGCAACAGAGGATCTGGACATCAACACTGATCCACCAACTAAGGAGGAGATAATGAATGCAGTCAAGACTCTTAAGAACGGGAAGTCGCCAGGACGTGATAATCTTGATGCAGAGCTATTTAAAGCAGATCCTGGAATAGCAGCCACCATCCTCCAACCACTGTTCACAGCTGTGTGGGATGGAGAGAAAGTACCTGATGATTGGTGTACTGGGGTGATTGTCAAGATCCCAAAGAAAGGAGCCCTGAGCGATTGTAACAACTGGAGGGGAATCACTCCATTGTCTGTGCCAAGTAAGATTCTGGCCAAAATAATCATCAAAAGGATGTCAGACGCCGTTGATACTGTATTGAAGAAAGAACAAGAAGGATTTAGGAAACATCGAGGATGTACTGACCAGATCTTTGCACTCCGTAACATCATAGAGCAGTGCACAGAGTGGCAGAGACAACTGTATGTAAACTTCGTGGACTTTGAAAAGGCATTTGACAGCATACACCGAAATAGCCTTTGGAGTATCCTACGCCATTATGGTATTCCATCTAAAATGGTCCACCTGATAAAGAGCTTTTTATAACAACTTCAAATGCTCAGTAGGACACAATGACACCTTCTTCGATGTTTGAACTGGAGTCAGACAAGGATGGATAATGTCTGCAGTTTTGTTCAACGTGGACATCGATTGGGTCATGCGGAAGACAACAGAAGACTCTCCAAGGGGGATCCGCTGGGGCCTGTTTTCAACACTGGGGGATTTGGAATTTGCGGATGACCTTGCTCTACTGTCTAAAACACACAAGCATATCCAAGAGAAGACCAACAGGTTGCAAACCTAGCTACGGACAGCAAGTGGGACTACGCATCAGTACAAAGAATACGGAGACAATGACACTTAATGTGAAATTGCCTGCCCCTGTTAAGATCAATGGGGAGGAACTACGCCAGACAGATATACCTGGGTAGTATCATTACACCAGAGGGCGGCACAAAGGAGGACATACACAGCAGACTGGGCAAGGCCAGGAGAGTATTTAGGGAAATGAATAACATCTTGAGGTCTGCACAGTACAGCACCAGCACCAAGCCGAAGCTCAGAGCTGTATTGTATCAACTCTCCTTTATGGGTCAGAGTGCTGGAGAATAACAGAGACAGATCTTGGCGAACTACGATCCCACCATACCACCTGCCTCCGCGAATACTCAGGATTTTCTGGTCCGAAAATATAACAAATGAAGACCTGCTGAGCAGATGCAAACAAAAGGACATGGGTACCATCATAACCAAACGCCGATGGAGATGGATTGGACATGTTCTCTGAAAAGACCCCCAGTCAACAACTAGAACAGCACTGCATTGGGCAATAAAGGGCAAAAGAAAGAGGGGGAGGTCTAGAACATGGCGAAGAACAGTTGAAGGCGAGATGAAGGCAATGCACCAGACCTAGGGTTCATTGACAAGGCTGGCCCAGGACAAACAAGGGTGGAGGAAGTTTGTTGCTGCCCTACACACCACAGGGTGTACAGGACGATGATGATGATAATATGATTATGTAACTTAATAAGGCATTACATTCATTATAATTATTATCAACTATGTATAGTAGAAAACAACAGAGATATGTTTCACAAGAAAATTTTGAGGAAAAATCCTATTTTGAAAGAAACAGAAGGAACGCGTTTATTCATTTATTAATTTTTTTGTTAAATGATGTATTGATAACATATAGTGGATATTGACTGTGATATTATATGTATTGTACTATTTCTTTGATTAATCAATAAAAGAGAAAAAGGGCTACCTGTTCAGTGCACTAGGAGTGAATAGTTTTTGGTTCGAGGTTCGCATGGTGCGTTTATCTTTTTTTTAAATAACCAATTCATTAACAGTTTCATTTTATGTACTGATTTATTAAAATTTTGATTTAGATATATTTTAATTCAGTTGCACCGAGAGAGAAGTCAATTCCATTCTTCTATTCTACTTTAACTTTGATCAACATATACACTTATCATTTCACTTATAAATACGTCAGGTCCAGCACAATTCCCTGCTAAAGGTGTATAGCTTGATAAAGCTACATGTATATAACTTTATCAAGGCATTACAAATACCTTGATCAAGGTATTTTATGTGATAAAAATTAAAAAAAAGAAATTAAAAAATTGGAGTTGTTGTCATTTAATTCACCCATGCATGTAAAGTACACAAACGTAAAGAAATCAGTATAAAAGCATATATTGTGTAAGGAGACGTTCTTTTATGCTGTCTTATTGATACCAGAGTACTTTTTATGCACGAGTGGACACACTGACCACAACTCTAAATCCGACTTTTATTTAAATTTTAAAGATTTTTTTGTGTTTTCTTTTTGAAAATACCTTGAACAAGGTATTTGTAATGCCTTGATAAAGCTATACCGGGGTTTGCATTGTAGCTTTATCGAGCTTTATACCTTAATCAGGGCATTGTGCTAGACCTTGACGTGTTTATTTTTGTGAAGCATTACTATGATATTGTACATCCTAAGAAAAACGGTCATAAATGTAACAACCATAAAAGTTTCGTACAAACGAATCCTGCAGATCACACGCCAAATACGCCCATCTTCTTAAATCGACAATACCGCAAAACTCGGTTATAACGAAGTCACTGGGACCTATGAAATTACTTCGTTATATCTGTAATTCGCTATAATCGTATAAGGAATTCATTAAATTTATATGAATCAAGATGACTTCGCTATATCCGTAAATTCACAATATCCGTGTTCGTATTAAACGTGTTTTGCTGTACAATGACAAATTCTCTGCTCATCCACTCCATTTTTTCAGACCTGCGAGCTTAAAATCTGCAGCTACTCAAAATGCGTTAATCTAAAGAATTTGAAATATCAAAGTTTGATTTCTTTTCGAGCTGTATACTAGCAGCCTAACAATTACATATACTGTAGTCAAATCACAGGTAGTTGTGGACATGAACACCTTACCCGCGATATTCAACCCAGGGGCTTCTTGGACATTTTTTTCACAAATCATATTTATTACACTTAATCATTATGTTTACAATAAGAAAAAAATCGTAAAAACCCCCACAAAAATATACCCCACTACACATTATACATGTATCTCTCTTATAATGTATAGTTGGGTATATTTTTGTGGAGCTATTATTTTGGAGTTTTTAAACAACTAAACATGGGGAATAATTTGTGAAAAAATGTCCAAGTAGCCTCGGGGTTGAATATCGGGAGTGGGTGGGGGTCCTGTCCACAAGTTACTCGAATTGCACTTTGTCACTACTGTTCTCATGCAGCTAAACTGATACGACCTTTTATCTTACTTATGTTCTTCTTTAAAAGAAATGACAACGCCTACTAGTGATTAAATAAAAATGAATTTTAGTACAGTACCTTGATTTTTATCTTCCTTTGGTTTGGGTTTCTTCTTAAAGAATTTCTTTTTAAACATGTCTGAAAAAATACATTAAACTGCTAAAGACAATGTACATAGGCGGCCAGAGATGCACGTGTAATAAGATTACAATTCATCTAAATAGCGAAACTTTAAGGAAATTTTACATTTTATCATTTAATTCCAATTGGCTACAACGCAAATGTTTTGTTATTTATCAAACTATAGACCTTATAGACAAGAAATAGGGGTCTACATTATTATTATATAATAATAGATACATATGTTTCTCATTTTTAAGTCGTAGAATAACATTATTCCAAACTTACTTCTTCAATATTAATATTTTCTTCTTTTCAGTTGATTCTGAGGCAATTATCCAGATTCCAGTATTTTAAAGGTTCTTGTTTAAAGGCTGGGGAGTATGTGTTTGAAGTACTGTAAAGCTGATTGTGTTATCATGCAATACAACGGTCAACAAATACTTTTTCAGGGCGCAATGTATTATCAGATTTATACTTGTGACAAGGTTCTTGTCGGTGAACTGACAAGTACAAGGGATGAATTGAGATTAGTTTTTAATCAAGATAAAGAAGTCTTCTATCAAACTGAAACACAAAGCTCATCCAAGGAGCTCCGAGTGATGTGTGTATGTGTGTGTGTGTGAGTATGTGTGTAGGCCATACTCCCCCCCCCCCCCCTGATAATAAAACAAATGAAGTCACAAATTAATGATAATTGTAGGATTTTTAAAAAACGTAGTTAAAATGAAAAAAAAATCCTACTTAACGTTTCATTCTTATAGTCAGGTTATAACAGGGTGGGTACCCTAACAAAAAAATACTATAGTTATTGATACTTTGAAAAACTTTGACAAAAACTTTGACACTTTGAAAAACTTTGGCGAAAACTTTGACACTTTGAAAAACTTTGGCAAAAACTTTGACACTTTGAAAAACTTTGACGAAAACTTTGACACTTTAAAAAACTTTGACGAAAACTTTGACACTTTGAAAAACTTTGGCGAAAACTTTGACACTTTGAAAAACTTTGGCGAAAACTTTGACACTTTGAAAAACTTTGGCAAAAACTTTGACACTTTGAAAAACTTTGACGAAAACTTTGACACTTTGAAAAACTTTGGCGAAAACTTTGACACTTTGAAAAACTTTGGCAAAAACTTTGACACTTTGAAAAACTTTGACGAAAACTTTGACACTTTGAAAAACTTTGGCGAAAACTTTGACACTTTGAAAAACTTTGACGAAAACTTTGACACTTTGAAAAACTTTGGCGAAAACTTTGACACTTTGAAAAACTTTGACGAAAACTTTGACACTTTGAAAATCTTTGGCGAAAACTTTGACACTTTGAAAAACTTTGACAAAAACTTTGACACTTTGAAAAACTTTGGCGAAAACTTTGACACTTTGAAAAACTTTGGCGAAAACTTTGACACTTTAAAACTTTGGCGAAAACTTTGACACTTTGAAAAACTTTGGCGAAAACTTTGACACTTTGATTTACTATAGTTAACTATGGTAAACTATAGTTAACTATAGTTAACTATAGTATTTTTTTGTTAGGGTAAATCTTAAAATAAAAACGTCGAAATTTCTTTCATTCCTGATTTTAAGAAAATTAAAAACATTATCAGTAAACAGACTGGTATAGAAAACAACTTCATTTGTGGGATTGGCTGTATAAAAGGTTATTTTACAGAGATAAAAAAAGTGGGTCATAAGACAATATTATTAAGAGTTCACAAGCGTAATTATGGAGTTTTATGAGGAGACTTACTTTTACATTTGACAGAAGAGTTTAATTCTATAATTCACCAATGCATACCCGAAAAAACAATAACCATAAGACCAAACGATAAACCATGGATGGATTCTCTTTTAAAGAAAACTATTCGTGATCGCAATAGACTTAGGAAAAAAGCACAAAAAACTAAAACAGAATCTGATCGCAACAATTATCGTAAACTACGAAATAGGGTTAATAACATGAAAAAACATGCCATAACTAATTATTACGATAACATTGATTCTCATCTAAAAGATGCTAATAAGAATAATCAAAAATTATACTGGAAATTATTGAAAGACTTTTTTCACACTAAATCGACGAGTGAAATACCACCAATTCAGTATATAAATGAAACTAACACAGATAAATTTGCAATACTAGACTCTGACAAGATTGAACTCTTAAATAAGTATTTTACATCTATCACTTTTTTAGAAGACAGTGACCATGAACTTTCAAATATAGAAATTGGATGTAATGATAGATTTCCAGAAATACAAATTCAAGAATATGAGATTACAGACATAATCTCAGTAATTATTATCAATAAAGCAGTGGGTCCAGACTGCATCAGTCACAAAATGTTAAAGTCTTGTAAAAATACTATATCAAAACCACTGTGTATTTTATTTAATAAATCATTAATACTAAAAACATTCCCTGAATGTTGGAAATTGGCATATGTTCTTCCACTATTTAAGAAGGATGACCCCTCTATAACTTCAAATTATAGACCTGTCTCTTTGTTGAGTTGTGTAAGAAAAATATTTGAAAGAATTATTTTCAAACATGTGTACAATTACTTACATTCAAAAAATCTTTTTTATAAATATCAGTCAGGTTTTTTACCCGGGCACTCTACTGTATATCAACTTCTAGAAATATATCATTCTATTGTGAAAAGTATTGATGAAGGTAAATTCTGCTGTATGGTGTTCTGTGATTTATCCAAAGCTTTTGATAGAGTATGGCATAAAGGCTTAATTCATAAACTTCATATGTATGGAATTAATGGTAAAATGCTAAAATGGTTCGAAAGTTATTTAAGCAATAGAACACAACAAGTCAAGTACAGAAATCTGCTCTCTTCCATTGGTTATGTAAAAGCTGGAGTCCCTCAGGGATCTGTACTTGGACCACTCTTATTTTTGATGTATGTAAATGATGTTGCTCAAAATATGATATCTGTTTGTAGATTATATGCTGATGATAATTCTTTACAACAATGTTCAGATAATATTAATTATATTGAACAAAATCTTAATCAAGATCTTAAAGTATTACATGAGTGGTCGAAAAAATGGCTGTTGAAATTCAACCCACAGAAAACAAAAGCTGTATTTTTTCATTTGAAAGCTGTGCAACAATTTCCAAATCTAATTTTTGATAACTGTCAAATAGAATATGTCACACAACATACACATCTTGGGATACTTCTGTCTTCAAATATGGGATGGTCTGATCATATTGATATCATTGTAAAGAAGGCTTACAAAAAACTTGGTTTACTGAAAAAACTAAAATTTAATGTGTCAAGGGATATTTTGTCCCAGATGTATATTTCTTTTATCAGACCACAACTGGAATATGCAGTTGAAGTTTGGTCGGGGTGTACAAAGGCAGACATAGAAAAGCTTGAGAAAGTTCAACTATTTGCTGCTAGAATTGTAACAGGTCTTACACTTATTGCTTCTAAAAATTCACTTTATCTGGAAACTGGATGGGAACCATTGGAAAATAGAAGAAATCGAACAAATCTAGTAACAATGTATAAAATACACAATAATTTAGTACCTACTTATATTCAAAATATAGTACCTGATATTAGAGGCAACATTTCACAATACTCTACTAGAAATTCCTCCAATTATTCCTTGCCAAAATGCAGATTAGAATTATTCAATAAATCCTTTATTCCAGATACTGTTAGAAAGTGGAATGCAATTAAAATTAACATAAGGGAGGCAACTTCTATGAAAAGTTTTAAAAAATGCTTGTCAAGCAATATTGTAAAACCTCCAAAGTATTTTTCTTTTGGTAAGAGATTTTGGAATATTATTCACACAAGGTTAAGACATAATTGTATTTTAAATTCTGACCTATTTCGCTGTAATTTAATTGACAGTCCGAATTGCTCATGTGGACAAATAGAGGATTCCTATCATTTGTTTTTTGTTTGTAGAAAATATGCAACAGCAAGATATTCTCTAATGAATAAGTTATTATCATTCAACAATTTGTACATTATAGATGTCCATTTGATGTTATGTGGTGTTGATTCATTCTCTGATCAACAAAATGTAGAAATTTTTAAAGTTATTCATACCTTTTTAAAAGAGTGTGGTCGATTCTCTGAAAAATCTTAATTTTTTGTATATATAGTATTGTGTTCTGGTATCAAGAGTTTACTGTCTTTGACACTACTAATTGTTACCGAAAATAATTGTTCTTTATTTTGGCAATATTATAAAAAATTTTGTATGAGGAGAAGACTATCTAAGTTGTCAGAACTTGTGTCTTATCCTTTTGGCTTTAATTGTCAATAAAATATGTTCAATTCAAATACATTTGACAGCTGACTTTTACGTTTTAGTGATTGGAGTTTGTCTATGTTTAAACTGTAAAAGTCAGTCGTCAATTGTAAAAGTAAGTCTCTTCATAAAACTCCAACAAGAAGTGTCGTTTACTGATTTTTACTTATTTTAATTTTCAAATAAAAATTAGTAAACGACAGAAGTGATTTTACAATCGCAGTATGAATTGAGATAGGTCTACAACAATACCAAGAAACAGGGTGCACAGCTTCCAAAATCAAATTCTCATGATCCTCTGCATATACTATCTATAACTGAGAAAGAATACGGAACTAAGGAGGTTTGAAAAAAAATATACATCACTTTACTGATGATGGTCGAACTAAAAAAGAAATTTATAGTAAATTAAATATTTAAAAACGAAAATGGAGAACAAAATCGAAACTATAAATAAATTATTTTTTTTTTAAAAATAAGAGAGAATAAAGAAAACTAAAGGTACTATGAGCAATGAGCTCACTAAATGATAACCCCCGCCTCCCATATGGATATAATGGCCAAGTCCATGTTTTGCTGTGGCCGGAAAATCCAAAATATGTGTCGGATCAAAAAGTAAATTAGGAGGTGCACAATGGCAATATGTAATAAAAATTCTGTGAAAGTTTCATTAAAATTTCACACAGTGGTATAAGAAGAGCTGCGGATAAGAGATGGGTACCCTAAAGCGTAACAGGCAGACGGACGGACGGACATACAGATTACAGTATACCCTCCCACTTTTCAAGCAGGGGGTATACAAAATCGCAGTCTATCTTTAAAAGGCTTCCCTTTACGTAGTGATAAAAAAAAAACATTAGCACATCCCAATTTTTTTTTTTTGCTTGTTAACTTTTACAGGGGTAAGTAAACAAATTAATTTTTTTTCTCTGGTTGCCCCCCCCCCCTTCAAAAACGATGCTACTTGTCTGTCCACAACCAAGTTTTAAGGTGGAATGCCACACCAACTTTTTATTTTATGTCTTTGAGTCATCCTTATTAAATAATGGTTTTAGCCTTGAAAGGCCGATATTAGCTCTTAATTATTTTATATTAATTTTTTTGTATTTTTGAAAAGAAAATGAAAAAAAAAAATTTATATCCAAATACTAGTAAGTTGTTTTGAGTTAAAAGTTTGATGTAAATGAATGCATTATATGAATATCTTATAAAATATGGAAAGAAAGGCTGGTTAGACTTTTAATTTTTTTATAAAAATTATTTATGAAAATAAAACACATTATTTGTGAATATTTTTAAACCTATGGTTAAATACACCATAAGATTAGTCACAACTAAGGACAACATGTTTGTTAATCATATTTTTTACAGAAATTGAAACGAAATTGAGAAATTTTAGAAAAATTAATTTTTTTAATCTTTGGACCTAACCCGATCATAATTAAACTGATCCAGATCAAAATTAACACAAAATGAATAAAATGCTAATTTATTGCCTCTTCATGTATTTACAATGAAGCTTAGATATCCCCCGGTTTACCTTTCATTTGTGCTTTTTCCTCGACTCTAGCCTTTTAAGTTCTCTCGAGACATTTTTGTGACGTCATCTTTTGTTAAGTAATGGTTTAACGGCTTTTCTACCGATTTCAGAATTCCTGTTACAAGCCAAGGGCTATACTATTCAAACAGGGGTGAACAGGCTCCTGGACTGTTCCATTAGTCTGAGTCACACCGTTTGAAATAATATATAGGCCCATTGTCTCATTCATTACAATATTTTAAGAAATATGCAGACGTACCCTAATAAAAAAAAAAACCCGCTCATTTTTAAGGGGGAGGGGGGGGGGGTTACCAAGTAGACCTCGTTTAATCAACGAACGCTGAAGAAGGATAGGCATTGTAAAAAAAAAAACTTCAAGGAAACCTTGATTATCAACAATATTAAAATAAGCAAAGCACACGAAATCAAAGCACAAGTTATTTATTTTCACTAAACAAATTAAACACAAAAAGACCAAGAAAGAAGTAAAAGGATTTGATTACATTAACATACCTGAATAACAATATGATTAAATACTGACATAAGTTGTATTTGGTAACTATAACATAGATGACAAAACTTCAGTGTTATATAGTTAACGAATACAGCTATCCGAGTACGAATACTTATAGCATATGCACATCTGCAACATACCTTACCATAGACTGATAATTTCATTTCAAGATATTCTTAATTTAAGACTATATTGTCATCAATTGTTCGAAGACAAAAAATCAGCATGCAACCAGGGTCCGCCGTCATAAAACTTTGAGAATTCTCAAAAAAACTCTTGAGAATTACTCAGCTGAGAAGATTTTAAGGTATTTTTATTGGCACTGAGTCTGAGAATTTTGGATGTGAGAAAATTCTCAGACTTGAGAGCATTCTCAGACTTAAGCTTGTTTTATAACAGCGGACCCAGGGGTTTTGAAATATGAATGTGTATGTGTGACAACTGAGCTACCAAAATCAAAAAGTGTCACATTAGTAAAATAGAATGCCCCAGCAGCGTTTCCCCTGGAATCTGTGCTAAAGAGTAGATCACTCCACCAACTTGGCACCAAGGGAACATTTCCTGCTCTTTCTTTCTCAAAGTAGAGTTTTCTCCATTTTATCAATGTTTATATTATACTTTAAATAATTTGACAAAATATGTATACGAATGAACGGATTTTTAACGTATCCGACCAATATTGGGAAATAATAGTCTAACCTTGAATTGTGCATAATTAAATACTCAATATTGAATTTCATTTCCGTTTTTTTCATAAGTATAAACATGAACGCACATCTAGATCTTTTGTTAATAATATTGGTAAAGTTTCAAATATTTTTTTTTACTGTGTTAGCATTTCGAAAGAATATTCTATCAGCACAGTCATAATATAATGTTGGAGAGGGGGCTGGTTTTGACGTAAATCACAGAGTGTATAGTCCCCACCAGAAGCTGATTCTGATTCAATTAAGAAATAAATAACAAGTTTATAAACTTCAATGGGAATTGAAGTGGGTCGGTCACGTGATCAAATCCTGTGAAGGCCGAAGGCCTTCTCAGAAGATTTGATCACGTACCGACCCACTTCAATTCCCATTGAAGTTTATAAACTTGTTATTTATTACTTATATATACATTTGAGACAGACAATTGAATATTTTCGAATTTAAATTATTGCACTAACCGTCCGTCGTAGATTTTGAAAAATGACGAAAGGTGTAAATCGGCTTGCATGGCGGTTACGCTTCGAATTCATTAGGCTAAGGAATCTATTTCGAAGGGAATATTTTGTGAAAGGCTACTTGTGATCAGTAATAGTGAACAGATTGTTTTCTGGGAATATTTTATTCGTGAAAAATGATATTTGATGCTGAAAAGACACAAGAAACACGTCCGAAGTTTGATGATAAAAAGTTGGAGGAATTTCAGTCGCTGAAAAGGGATGGATGGATCCGATGGACTTAGACACTTGTCCGAGCCAGTTAATTTGCAATTTGATCAAAAACATTCCACGATTTCAGTAACTAAAGGCATACTTATCGTAAAACACTGATAAACACGGAGACACTGGCGACAGCTTTACATTGAACTACGAAAACGCCGAGGTGTTTGGCAGCTGTTCATGGCATGATTGCAAAGATATTTTCCAACAGATTTACACATTTATCGTGAGTAAAATTTAAAGATAAAATAAAAGTTTATCATGAAAATTTAACCAAAGGTCTTTCCAAAAAATAAGGATGAACGTTAGAGACTATGCAGCTGACAAAAGTGAAGAAAAATGTAAACAAACGCTAGGCTCCTAGTTTTCTCTATGTACACAGGTTGAATCAATAGCCCCAAAACTGTATGAAATACTTGTTTACATTTAAAATAAAATAATTATCATTTTACTTGTGCTTATTTTATTCATTTTTACACATGAAAAGCAAGTAGAGGAGGTCATTTGATAATTTATGTACCGGTAGATATTATTGCGCCGTGTGATTAGGTCACGTATTGACCTCTGACCTCTGACAAACTTCATACAGAATTGAAGATATTTTCTCCCTGTATGTTTATATAATGGAGAGATACCACAAATGTATATATTAGGATTTCAATAGTGAAAATCCTACTCCGAGTCAATTTTCCGGGGGTGGTCCTACTGGAGAGCCAGTTTTCCAGGCGGAAAGAATATAGAGGGGAATGCCTACTCTACAAGACCGGTAAACCAGATGATGACGATCATGAATTCCTTATAAAAAAAAATAACAATTAAGAATGAGGAAAATGGTAAATTCTGAAGTTAATGTCATAAATGTACTAAGCAATGAATAATGGATATAAATTCAATAAACGTGATGGAATACTTACGTCATTAAACATGATCGAATACTTACGTTAATATTAAACATGATAAAAATAAGTCAATATCAAAACAAAATGAAAATATTTAAATCGTGTACCTTTTACCTGCTTGGAAAGCTTACTATCTACACATTTTTATTATCATAAGGCAATCAAAATTGCTGTTCTCAATTGTATCAGGCAAACAAGCTTTTTAAATATGTCCCATGACAAATTCCCGGATAGCTTGCGGTGCATTGGTGTCAAAACCAACGATATCCATCATCATGGGGTCATTAGGATCCGCGATAGTGAACTTATTGCTGGCCATGCCGCAGACGATCAATCGCGCATGTGTTATCCCCGACATCTTCCGGTAACGCACAAGGGCATCTGATGGATGGATTCTTCCAAAGTAGGTTTCGGAGTCTGTGTAGACGACAAAGACATCGAATTTCTTCTTTTGTTCCATGGCGTACATCATAGGGCGAGAGCAGTCGGTACCACAGAAAGGCAGAGAGGCGCATTTGTCCAAAACGTTGTCTAGGTTGTCTGAAGATTTGATATCCAGTGGAGTGAGTCCACCAGAGAACGCCACCACTTCATAATTCTGCTCCGTCCGAGCAGTGACCATCATCATGGCTGCCGCGGCGTCCCGGGCCGAAATGGTTGGAGTGCCCATTACGGGTACATTCATGGACCCACTGACATCGACAGCCAGGCAGAATCTTTTCCCTGTGGGCTTCACGTTCTTAAATGACAGATAAAACGCATCCTCCAAAGCTCTTTCTACTTTAACATTCTTATTCCACTTCATCTTCCCAAGCTCTCCGTGACCTTTCTTGTACTGGTTCAAAGCTACCAACAGTGTAAATGGGTGGATCTTCCCGCGTCTGAGTAATTCCTGGTTTGTCAGTTTCTGGATAGTCAGCTCTTCCTCAAAACTCCCTGGCTCCAACAGCTCCAAATGGGACATTTTTCCAAGATTCCTTATCATTGCTGTCATAGGCATATGTTTGATCAGAGCTTTCCATATCTCCTTTGACTTCAACAAATCAGTAGGAACATGTTCTCTTGTCAGGTTATGCTCCAGTATCAAGCGTTTCATGGTTTCTGCGTCTGTGCAACGTTCAGCCTGAGCTACTGCATCCATAAAGGTCATTACCTTCTTGAGTTCAGAGCTCTCAAAGTCTGGTTTTCCCTTTTCTTGTTTAACAAAGTCGCTTTCGTCTGTTTTCTTCTTTCCTTTCGTGGTAACCATGATCAGGTACTTGATCTCGGGGTGTTCCTGTTCCGGTTTTATATGACAGAGCCGGAAGATATCTTTGTGGCTCCAACCAAAGCGATTCTTGTACTTCGTCATATGAAGAGCAAGAAATGCTCCCCCATCTTTCTTATTCCCGTAATTCAAGTACCATTTAGATATGGCTCGGCGGTGCGCACGTCCCCATCCTGTTCCCGCGCTTTCCTCCTCGCAGTACTTGATGAATTCGAACAGGTGCGTTGGGATTCGGCATACATCAGACAAAATTTTATAACCCTCTACTTTTGTTGTGGGGTCGTTTGAGCGGCAACAGAGAGCCAGGGTGTACATAATGGGTCGCTGTTTACATGCTCGATTCTCCACACTGAATTCACGAACCAACTCTACCACTTCTTTGCCTTTCCCACCGTTGATTAACCTACAACAAAAATGTGTCATCATTTCTGTCTAAATAAGCGTATACAACATGACTATATTATGAACGTACAATTTTTTTACAGGCTACCTGAAATGTTTAACCTTGTGACAAACATACAATGTGCAGGAAAATAAAACTTGTGGTGGTGTTTCTAACGCGTTGTCACACTTGCACTTTGCAAATGACCTTATTCAGGTTGGGAACAATTCCCTTATAGCGCGATTATCCCTCTTTAGCGGAAGAAAAACATTACCGTAAACAGGAATTTTGTTGTTTTCATTATAAAATAATCAAAAAATCTCGTGCTTTTTGAAAATCCGGGAGAAATCGGCATTGAAGCGTGAATTTAGTACAAAAAACTGACAATGTGGGCTGAAAATTTAAGACAATCAATGCTTCATGTGATAATAAGAGGCTGAAATCCACGTTTAAATCGTGCCTTTTTTAGCTAGGGGTTTAAAATTTACAGTCATATACCGGTATGTTTTTGAAGCATATACAATAGGTATAGACATCCAAATTATATTCTTTAGGGTTTCAGCTTTCCATTCTTGCATAAAAAGTAAAAATCATGTTCTTCAGAAACCCATGATATTTGCTTCAATATTTGATCTTTGGTGGACACTAAGAAGTACGGAAGCGCAACAGGGTTGTAACATTTGTTGAAAAGTCATGATTAAGGAAGCTCTAAACACTGCACAACTAAAGAGCTCTATTTATGGGGCAGTTTTTTGCTGTTAGAGTGATATGCCCTTATTAGAAGTAAAATTTTTAAAAAAATAAGTTATTTACAGTTAATAACATAATTTGTAATAGATTAAAATATTTTTAGCATAAGATAAGGCCAAGAATAAGCATTTTTAAATTCATTATTTTCATTAATTTTCCCACTGTAAGTAAACAGCAGTGATTTCTGCTTACAAATAGTCAATTGTCTTTAAAAATTTTTCCCTCAGAAAAAAGGGGGGTGTAAGGATAATCCTGTCCACGAGTACCTGTGTTGCTAACCTTGGACTTTCAGTAAAGCATGCATGGTTCATTGGTGTCGGAAGGAAATTAGAGGGGGGCTAAGAAAAAAATTTCCAACCTGAAAAAAAACTTGACGAGCAAACGCACGTTTCTTCGTGTATATTTCTACGCGTGAGTATGTACACGAAAATGGTTTTCAAATCAATTTCACAGTTGGCTTTGTAGAAAAACACAGCGAATGTAAATATTCATTTTTGAAGCTAGATCTCACCCAACACCAGAAGGAAAAATGTAGATATTGATTTAAATCAAGTGTGAACCTGAAATGCAAGATGGCGAGTATGCTCCTTTACTCTTTTTATATACAGTAAATATGACATTCTTAAACGTGCTGATTTCAGCAAATTTTTATTTTTATTTTAATGAGGGTATTCAGACACACCTAGAAAAACACACAATACACAAAATACACCATTCTGAAAATTCTGACTTTTGGGGAAAAAGTTCATTTTTCGTGCTCTTAAAAATGTTTATTTGTTTCTTTGAATTAAAACACACACAAATAGTGTTTCAAAATCATGGAGAGAAGACCCAGAGATAGAAAATTTTCAGAAAAGCATGTTTCAAAATGTACAATTTTGTACCAAATGTCTCATCTGGCCAATTTTCAAGTTATTTTTTTAGCAAATCAAAGCTCAATTTCGGGAAAATATTTTACTGTTAAATTAAATTAAAAAAATGTTAAAATTTCACGTGACATGTCGATAAAATTTTCACTTTTCAATTACGCCCAGATTCCTGCCGAATGCCAATCAATACCGCCCTCGTTCTTTATCGAGATGACAATAAATATTTATCGAATTATGGGTTGACAAACTTGACATACTCCCGGATTTTCCTTTTTCTGAAGTTAACACGATTACAGTTTGAACCGGAGTATAAATCTCGGTTTTCCGAGGTGTATTTTCTCTCGCTAGAAAGGGATTAACGCGTTTTAGCGAGATGATCTCGCTACAGGGGAATTGTTCCCAACCTGTTATTGGGACACCATACATGAACCCTTTTGCGGTTATACCTATCAATACAGCGTGCGTTTTCCCTTGTCAGTTCGGCCTCCCCCGTGTAGTATGTCCCGCCTGTTGTTCCGATACACAGGAACCTCATCAGCTGAGTGATATAGTCAGTCTGGTACAGCCCCCCGGTACTGTTCATTAGCTGGTACGGCGCTATTCTTTCATTTTGACTTTTCAGGTCTCCCTCCTCCCCCATTTGCCCGTGCCATTATCCTCGCCCATCTCCATATCTTTCTCATCGTCCGACATTTTCGACTTCTCAGTCACTAAATTCCGGACCTGGAACTGTTTTGTCTACACAACACAGTTCCTAGTCGTAAAATGGCGTATGTGATAAGTTTGTTTGGAAATCCCCTTTACTATATTTAGCCTATCTTTTTTTTCTATATTGTATGATATTGTAGGCCTATGTGTAATGACAACATGCGGAAAATAAACCAAAAACACTGAAGAGAATCTAGTATACAATTTTTAATATCACGTTTTCTGCGTAGTATGATAAAGTTTTACTATTAAAAAATAAAGGTGCAACAGTCAAAAAGAAAGTAGCCTATAAGAACAACGAACCCGATTTAATAGATGGTTTCGTTGATGGCGAGGGGAGGCGGGGGTGGGGAATTTATGGAGCCCTGTTGTGACAAAAGGAAAAAGATCATACATGGTATACCTCATTCTCATGGAACCAATTTATATCGTCTAAGTACAATGGATCGTAAATAATCTATATAATTAAATTCTTTTCTTGATACATGTATAAAACCACAAGTTCAAGCGATTATTCGTATCAAGAAATGCCATCTTTTTCTTGCATTGGATAACCGGAAAAAGTGTACATGTATAAATCTTGCAGATAATATTGATTATGTAAATTGCGTTAAATCTTACATTTTACTACGTCCTGTAATAAAAAATGGTTATGAAATCTTACTTAAATCTGCACGAGAATTACATTTTTTCTGCAACAATAAGTGCAAAATGACAAACAACTTCGTAATTTTAACAAGTATTTTCAATGAAATATGACGATAAGGAACAGCAGCCAAGCTCAAAAGGCCACTGAAAGAATCTAAATTTTGAGCAGACTGAGAGCAAACACGAACTTCTGAAATCAGGAGACATGGAGAAGTTAGCATCCCCTGTCGACTGCCCATATCCGCCTTGTGCTCTTTGTCATGATCGTATAAACGAGAAACCCCGTAGTCAATTCATTAAATTCAATTTATTGCTTAAAATTTGTATGAAATACGCTAGTCAACATCAGACCTTACTGCGACAAAATGTATTTGCATACACGGTCATAATATATTGACCATGGATTTTGCAACGTGTTGACTTCAAACGATTTTGTAGACATACCCGTAATTAAACTATATTTCCATTTCTAATTTTTTTTTCTCTGTGATAACTATTTGAAAGTTAGCGGAGTTGATTTCTTGATAATTCTACCGGAATGTTAATTAGGCAGGTCGATAGGAGCTAAGGAGACTTAATATGCATGTAAATCTCATGCAGCTGCCTTTGTGTTTGACGTCAGTGGCCGAGGACTATTGAAATTGACATGGGAGTCCACGTGTAATTTAAATCTATGTCTACGTTTTTAAAATCTAAATCTACAATTTTATATCACAATGAAATGGAAATATAAGGAATCACTGTCTAGTTAGTATAGTATACCAGGGTTTACAAAAAAGTAAAATATTGGATAATTTATGCAAATTAATGTTTCCCAGTATAGTGTCGAATGTCCTAACAATATATTATATAGAAAAAATACAGTGATCCTTAAACAAATTCAACTTGTTTTTCCACAAAACTGCTTCATTTTAAGGATTGTTCGTACGAAGAATAAGCTCTTGCGTGCCTTTGATTCAGCTATAAGATATATTTCGTGCTTTTGTTTGATGAAAATGTATATGCAAACTTTATGCGAATAAAGTGTTCGCATTATTCAAAGCATCGGCAGAAAATTTAATAAAATTCCTAAAATGTGAGGGTGCCATTTTGTGTCCATTTTTATACCCACCATGAGTTGCGCCATAAACAACAAACATGTAATCTGATGAAATCGAGGACATTTTTATACGGCTGAAAATATAGCGGAATCTCACATAATAGTGATATACCACTATTATAGCGGAATTTACGCCCCCCCCCCCAACCTGCTAACAATTATTCCACTTGATGCGAGTCTACAGCAGAAGAGAGCAAGAAATAACAATTTTGCATGCGGAGGGGGTGGGGGTTATTATAAACCTTTAGGGCGCAATATCATTTATTAGTCATAGCTGGGTTACATTTGCATCATCAACATTTTCTAATCAAACATGATAAAACGTAATCTCTAGTGGTAATTTTTACAGCTGATTCTCCGATTTACATAGATATATGTAAGACGGCCTCTTATACGGGCGCCGTCGTAAACGGTCACTGCATAATCAGTCCCCTGAATTCTTCCCGTTTCTCGTCGTGCCAGCAACACAACACATCGTCGCAAACCACGGCCAAAGTGTACGATCCTCTCCAATTCTGGAGGAGAGAGAGCTATATGCAGACTCCGGAACGTGGCTTAAGACGATGGCAACAACACGGGCGAGGCCATTTTTGTTTAAAACAGACTTAAGATATGTCAAGAGCTGTCCTAACTTTCAGATAATTCTTAGAACTTTCTTCAGTTAGGATACTTTCGTTAACCCCACTGTGCCACTTAGTCTTAAGAAATGTCCTAAGTATATCTTAATTACGACGTTTCTTAGTTCTAAGATAGCTTCGTAAACATGCCTGCAGATCTTCTTCTCAAGAACCACTGGGCCAGAAAAAGTGAAACGTATGTGAAAGCTTCATGAGGTACTGTAGTTCCTAAATTGTGTAAATTATTATGGTGGATCCATATAATAGGGAATCTCCTAGGGGGTGGGACTGGACCACAATATAGAAAATTAAAGTATTACAAGAGGGAACATTTAATAAAGAACAGCGGAGCCAAAGAAACTCGGTGAGCTTTGAGGCTATATGGAGCTCTTTTTGTATTTTGCTTGTTTTTTAAAATTTTTTTTTAAAACTGTTGCTACAGAAGTGATATCACCTATAAAAACAAGTAATATCATCTATTCAAAATCAATGGGTGATATCACTATTTTCGAATCAAAGTACTGAAAGTACTGGTAAGCGCTAAGCATCTTGATTTGGAATTCGTCAGAATTTTTTTAATTTAAAATGTCCTGTTGTAGTGAATTCTAAGAGATATTTTGACAGTGCGATAGCGCTAGCTCGAGCACAGTTGTCAAAAAGTATGTGAGTCCTGAATATGTGAACCCCGTTGGGATATGAAATTCAACACCGTCTCATGCCTTTTTTTCAAGCATTATACATTATATCTTCTTATATCAAAAGATCAATCAATTTCACTTACAGTACTGTCCAAGAAATTGCAAGAAAATATTTTTGCGTGTAAAATTTTTTTTTCGAGATGGTAATCGAGTTCTCCGATCAAATTTAAACTCTAAATGTACATGTAGCTAATCTGTCTTCCCACAAATTTTTATTAAAATAGGAAATTTGGTGTTAACACCAAATTTTCTATTTTAATAAAAACTTGTGGGAAGACAATACTTTTGCTGGAAAATGTATACATTGTATTTGAAAAAAAAATGTTAATACTTGAAAATGTCGCTAAAATTCCTCACATTTACGTGCAACACTGAAAGATAAAATTTTCTGGTGATCATTTTTAATAACAAATTCATTCTGCGTTTACAAGTTTTTCAAATTGAAGATTGGCATCATGTTTGTAACTACGTCATATGTAAATGAAATTAACATCCGTAGAATTAACACCCTTTATGTCAGAGATAATATGTAAATATACATTAGAGTATAAAGAATTATGTTTATCTTTTGATGCTATCCAGTAATCTCTGATTTTCAAATATATGATTTATAGTGTACATGTATTTGCAGTAACATTTGTGTTGATATACAATATGTGTCACTCATTAGTAGATGATACGTTTATGCAATAAAATTTTTTTACACCTTTCTTCTTTGGATTAAAAATACGTCAAACCCGTCATACGTTAAACCCTAAAAAGTAATTTTGACTATTGTTAAAATAATTTAAAATGCTTTAGTATCTTTTGCGGACGCCTGGTGCTTTTCACCATTCTTTACTTATGTATGTATGATCTTCACTACCATGCAAAACATGTTGAAAGGACAAACATATCTACGGCATTGTTGTGCTAGTTAAAAAGGAATACTGAAAATTTTTGCTCATAATATTTCTGCTATTTCAATGATCAATAATTCAAGAGTCCAAGAAAGAAAATACAGTATTAATTTCAAGTATTAATAAATCTTCATGAAGGTATACAACATTACTTTATTGTTTTTATTTAGTCTTCATTAAGAATCGGCAATACAGCTGAGCACTCCTTTACAAAAACTATTTAATCCTAGTTCCCTACTTCAAGTATTACACCGTTTGCTTAAAATTTTATCAGCCCTATTTCTGTCCATTGTTTAAAACGTTAAATAAAGTTTTAGCATTTTTTTCGCCATATCCTGCACACTACAAGCACAATTTTAGAGCGCAATACATGTATTCCGAGAAATAAGTTTTACTATATGAGTGGATTCGTTGAAAACACATCCATCACATGCTCTACATGTCTGTACAGCCACAAACTGCCCTTCCTTTCGAATTATGTACAACACAAGTATAGACATTAAAAAAAACCCGTCCTTGAATGCATTCCAGTCTGTTACTAATTGATACTTAGATGCGGAAATCAACTTCACTGATAAATCTCAGCATGGTGCAAGATGTTAATGGAAATGCTTGTTTTAGTTACATTGCCTGAAATAGTTGTCTAGAAGAAAAAAATAATTATAGTTTATATATGGATATATAGAACGTACCATATTTTGTAAGTAGTACATTGTAATTTAATTTTATGTGATTTCTTTTATTGAATAACTCACTTCAAGTTTGTGTTTTAAAAACTTATCTATACTTATGCTATTAAAATATGTAAGTCGTAATATTATAGAGAAAATATTGACTTCAAATCTGTGTCCAAGTACCTTTAAATCATGTAAGGGGTACGTATTGAATATTCAATCACTATATTGCATGTACATAATAAATATTATACTGGTTTTATAATTAAGTAATTGCGCCATAGAGGCAGCAATTGTAATCTACGTGGTACCAAATTAATGTGTGTCAACATGATTTAAATGAACTACAATGTATAGAGAAGAGCATGATAAGAACTGCTCTTAATTATCTTCTAACTGTGGAACATCCTTAAACCTTACTAATTGCCTTCTATTATTAGAAATGAACGTAACGCTGCATTACACTAAATAGCAGAAAGAGAGTCAGGGATTTCCAGTTGCATATTTTTAGAATAACAAGTGGAGTTATCTAGCTTGCTTATAGTGGCGCTGGATCCAGAACGGAAGTAGATTTACGCTGACAGAAAGCGCTTTGCGCTGCGCTTAGCGCTTAAAAAGTATTGTCGTCTTTTTGAACTGGTGATTTCACATATCTGATTTGAATATGTGATGTAACCGATTCGAAAAGGTAATATCACCATTTTAAATCAAATAATTATCATTTATTTAAATACATGTAGATGACATCAACATTCAAAAGGTGATATCTCATATTCGAAAAAGGTGAATAGATGCTATAACCTACTCGAATTGGTGATATCACTAAATCATTGCGTTTAAAAAAAAGAAGGGAAAAAAACCCGACCCTCATACTGACATTTTAACTTTTCAGCAATTATAAATTGAATTATTCTATATTTTTCTGTTTGACATAAATTTCTTTTTAAAAAATTGGAACTTGTGTTTGTTGTTTCTTTTTGTTCTTTTTCCTTCGTTTACATGGTTGGGCTATTGCCTTGTTCATTTTCTCATATATTGCCTACAATACATACAATGCTTTTTTCTTTGAAGAATTTGTAGATACCCGGGTACGTTGGAAAATTTGAAAATAAAATGGCTCAGTGTTTCTCCACCTCATAAAACAGTATTTCAATTTCAATCTGAGAAAAATTAGGGCTCCACTTTCGACTCATCTGCTGGGCGTTTTCTCGTCGAACCAGAAATTGTCAAAGAATAAGGGTTCCACGGAGAAAATTGGCGCGCTTTTCGTTGTTCAAAAATTCTGAATGATCAAATTTGATATTTCAGTATATCGTCGAATCTTAAAAAAAAAAAATTATATTTATAGATTTTAATTTTTTTTTTTTGGCTCCTTTAATATTTTCATTAGAATGAAATAACGTGTAGCATAATATAACATAAATGTCAGACAACTCTCTGATTCCTGACAATGGTTTAAAACTTTGCGTATGTTCATAAAGATAATCATAAGATAGCTTTGAAAACCAACTTAAGATAATCATAAAATTTTTTAAAGATATATCTTAGAAAATTTCTTATGAACAATCTTAGGAATTTTTCGTAAACATGCCTGCTGGACACTATGTATACAACAGGAATTTATTGATTTAAACAGGTGGTTCAGATTAGAGCCCAAATTAATAAGTAAAAATAAAAGAAGAGAAATTGCCAAAACATTTATTTTAAAATTTGAAGAAATTGCAAATTATTCTTTTGACAATTGACAAAACCTTTTTATTTTATATGTTGGAACCAAATATACACAGTCTCTTCAAAATACATGGTTTCTTTATCCCCAAATCATACCTGATGTTACTTTACTTCAAAACACAAACAATATCATAACAACATTATCTGATCTATACAACTAAAGACTACACAAGACTGAAAATCTTGTGCATTTCATATATTATCAAAATTTCTCAACATCTGAAATATTTTCCCTCTGTTTATTTTTCTTTTAAAAATTTAAATATTGTTTCACATAGTAACACATGGTGAGATTATTCAACAGTTTAAAAAAATCTTTTTTTTCCCAAAATTAGACACTGTACTTATGCATATTTTCAATTAAAAAGAAGTTTATTTTAATCAGAAGGACAAAAGGATGTTTGTTTTGTTTTTTTTTTTTGGATGGATAACGTGAGTTATGGCTAATAGATGATTTTTTAAATGGTTAAGTCAAATACATGTTGGTATGCAGAATTCATGATTTATAAAAATGGCTGTTACATTGGAGGATGGTTGATTCCTGCATGACAAAGGCTCTGACAACAAATCTTCACAACCACTCTTTTTTTTACAGATAAGGTATTTAAATTCTTTTTGACTTCATTCAATAATTAACAATCTTACAAAATAATATTCAAGCAAGTTTTTAATGTGTATTCTTCCCACAAATCAACCTTTGTTTTGTTTTTATTAACCTGTTTTGCAGGAATTGAGAAGTTCAACTTTGCTGTATGCAGTGAGACTTGATTAAAACATCCTGGCTAACTGCTGTCAAATTGTAATTCAGAGAATGTCCCAAAATTCAAAAATATACATGCCAATATAGTGATGAGAAATTTGATAACATTTGTTCTTTTAAAATTTGTATCATTTTTTCTTTGTACTTTTTCAAGTGAAATTTAATTGTGAAAATCTCAGACAAAAATCTGGATTGCATTTCTATTTAATAAAATATGATGCCCAGCTTTAAAGTTTGCAAATAAAAAAAAGTCTATGAAATACAACCAAATTATTCTGAAAATTTCAAAAAAGGTATTCTTCAAAATGCAATCCAGATTCACATTTCTAAAAACACTAAAGTGAGATTTTAACACAATGTTAACTGATGGATAGGAATTCTAAAATGTCCCCCACTGGATTTACTGTGTCTTCATTAGAATTCCTTCACATCAAGTGGTTAATAAGTTTATAATAAATAACATATAATACAACAAAAACACGGATAATAAAACACTGTCCTTATGAAATTCCCATACATACTCGAGTATGTATATTTCAAATGTCTATAGATTATACAAGTGCAGAAACAGTCAATAGCAGATAATTACAAGACCCCTTACAAGAAATTGTGCACATTACATATATTATTTACAGTTCCGTCTATTCTCTAAACAATGGTTTCCCATAGTTTTCTATCATTTTGTTGGTAAAATCTGACCCTGATGCTGATGGTTTGGACAAATTCAAAACATTCTTAAACTTTTATGTGAATATTTACTCTTGATGTTTTTGTGAAAAGATCTAGGCATCTTGTAATTTAAAATGCTTGAATGCATGTCTGACTGGTTGCGCATAAAGGCCTTTAAAAAATTGTTTGTTTAGATTTACCAAATCAGTCCTTATTTTATGTGCCAACCCAGTTGCTTTTTTTAGTTGTGAAATCTATAAAGTGTACATTAAAAATCCTAGGTCATAAGGTAACCTTTATATCTGGAGAGAAGACAGGGCTGAGTATTTATTATCATGTATAAACACACCGATAGTCATAACCAGAAGTCTCTGTCGAGACTGTAGCTCTACTGGTTTGTACTTATCAAAAACCATTGCACTATTTTATGTATCTTTGTGAAGTCTACTTGTGTGCCAACTTATTTTGAAATCAGACAAAAACTGTAGAAGGAGTAGTGTTTTTAAGGAATTCCACAGAAAATTCTATTTTGAGTAACCATAGCAATACCGTTCATCGAAATCAAAAACCGATGCACTATTCTATGTATCTTAGTGTAGTCTACTTGTGTGCCAAGTTATATTGAAATCAGACCAAAACTGTAGAAGGAGTAGCGTTTTAAAAGAATTTCACAGAAAATTCTATTTTTAGTAACCATGGCAACACCGTTCATCTAAATCAAAAACCAATGCACTATTCTATGTATCTAAGTGTAGTCTACTTGTGTGCCAAGTTATACTGAAATCAGACAAAAACTGTAGAAGGAGTAGCGTTTTTAAGGAATTTTACAGAAAATTTTATTTTTAGTAACCATGGCAACACCTTTCATCGAAATCAAAAACCGATGCACTATTCTATGTATCTTAGTGTAGTCTACTTGTCTGCCAAGTTATATTGAAATTAGACAAAAACTGTAGAAGGAGTAGCATTTTTAAGGAATTTCACAAAAAATTCTATTTTTAGTAACCATGGCAACACCATTCATCGAAATCAAAAACCGATGCACTATTCTATGTATCTTAGTGTAGTCTACTTGTGTGCCAAGTTATACTGAAATCAGACCAAAACTGTAGAAGGAGTAGCGTTTTAAAGGAATTTCACAGAAAATTCTATTTTTAGTAACCATGGCAACACCATTCATCGAAATCAAAAATCGATGCACTATTCTATGTATCTTAGTGTAGTCTACTTGTGTGCCAAGTAATATTGAAATCATACCAAAACTGTAGAAGGAGTAGCATTTTTAAGGAATTTCACAGAAAATTCTATTTTTAGTAACCATGGCAACACCATTCATCGAAATCAAAAACCGATGCACTATTCTATGTATCTTAGTGTAGTCTACTTGTGTGCCAAGTTATACTGAAATCAAACTAAAATTGTAGGAGGAGTAGCGTTTTGAAAAATTGATTACAGACGGACAGACAGACAGACGGACGGACGCCAATAAAACATTACTATCGCATAAGCTCTTCTGGTCTCTGACCAGTAGAGCTAAAAAATTCACATTTGCTTGAAGACTACAATTGAACTACAGTCTGTTAATCTATACAAAGTGTATCTTCAAACTAAAACTGTAAAAACAATACCTAAAACAAAATAAAGAAATGTTACCAACACAAAAAAGGAGAGCAGAAAAAAAAACTAATGCATATAGAAAACATAAAAATTATACAACCATATCAAGGGATATCACTTTTCCAGAGTACTCACTGTAACAATTTCATTTTTTGCACAAGTGTTATGTTTGATAGGTACAAATAAGTACATAATTAGTAAGCTCCCAATCTACACATAATGGGGATTTATGGAGAAGCACATACATAACTTGATTTTTGTTTCCAATCCAGAATTACATTTTTCTGACACATGGATTATTAAAATAGAATCCTAATGTTTATACATTGTTCAGAAATGGTCAAACAGCTTAACATCATCATGAAAACTTGAACATCAACGACAATAACAAAACCTAAATGACCATGTGGTGATTGTTTAAAAAGCATTCAGGGTAAATTAAAACATTGCATCATAAGACAAGATTTCCAATAAGAAGAGGCTGGACACTATTTTTCACTGTTCAAATAATTTGACATTGCTGTTTCAAATTTCACAATTGAAACATTACCTACTAGTATTGGAAAAAATTCTTAGACAGCCTCCTAATTATATAAAAAATTGGATCAATTTACCTCCTCATTTGGAAATTATTTGGAAACCCTAATATGATACTGCTTCTCCATGCTTTTCAGATTTTTTGATTACATATACAGATACCTTCAAATGACATCAAATATTCATAAAAAATTTTGATATACAATGATTAACAAAGTAAAAAAAAATCTTCAAATACACCCCTCACTTTGAACATTCAATCTGTAGCATTAAAACGCTTTCAATATTACCCTATAGGCCTATACTAAACATTTATTTAAAAGAAGTGAACCACTGCTAAAATTTCAGATCTCATGAGTACATCCTTTACAAGGATAATGTTTCTAGTCAACAACAATTTCTATGCTGTATTTTCAAAATTTGCCTTTAATATGTAAGAACATGCATAGCCTTGAATGAAATCTACTTCTTTTTAACCATAAGTAAATTGCCTTCTCATATATATGTAGCTCAGATATTAAGTTGACAAAAACTAAGAGTGAAGCTCAACAATACATCCATTTATCTCCTCTACTTGGCAATAAAACAACTCATCAGTCACACACTGCTTGGTTTGTTGCAATATTCCAAATAAAAAGAATTTGACAATAGTCAATTCATATTATGTTTTTATGGCAAATGAGTCAACCAAATGATTTCATTGATTTGTTTTTATTTTTTTAACAATTTTTTTAACAACAGATGATATGATTTTCTACACTACAGATGAAGGAAATGGAACGCAATTCATTTATCCCAACAAATTACATGTATTATGGATTTCCTACTCTACAGTTATAGCTGAATATCTCAAATATGGTGGGCCTGTCAAAAACTGAAGCTATCTAAGAGTTTGAGTTACTGAAGTTAAGAGTCAAATATGCATTCAACACCCCTGATCCCTTGGACTTATCCATGATATTTGACCCTATGATGTTTGAGATACTTTGTTCAACTGTATTTGTTCCTTCCTTATAAAACACTCTAAGATCGATACTTAATGACATATTCAGGATAAACTTGATCAAATGTGAATATGACAAAGATGTTGGGATTTGCCATATCATCCACACAAGAATCATACAAATCAAAAGGATTTTGTGGGTTTTTGGGTGAGGGTCGTACCATACTGCTGTCGCCTTGCGTGTAATCCCCTGTCAGGACTCGTACCAGGAACATCTCCTTGTCGCGACTGCGGTCCGTGTAACTGTCAGCAAACTTGGCACTCTTAGTGAAGTAACTTCCCTTCCCATACTTTGACCCTGTTGACTGACCACTGAAGCGGAAATCAAATCCCTGTCTGCAGATGGCATCAATGAACTTGTTAGACGTGCCGTGAAACAGCCTTTTCTCATTCACGTCTCCTGTTGGGCGCCTCTTCATGCTCATTTTCTCACGTTTGCTGCAACACAAAAAAAATTATTTAGCCTTGTGCAAAAAAATCTTAACTTTAATTAATTAAGAACATCCATGGATCTCCATATTCCATTTTCTAATCTCTCTACAAGACATTACCTGACACAGTTCATCTAGTCGCTCTCCATTCTCTACTCTCTCCCTATTTACCTGACATAGTTCATCTACAGCTCTCCATTCTCTACTCTCTCTCTCTCTATTTACCTGAAATAGTTCATTTAGAGCTCTCCATTCTCTACTCTCTCTCTCTCTATTTACCTGACATACTTCATCAAGAGCTCTCCATTCTCTACTCTCTCTCTCTCTGTTTACCTGACATAGATCATCTAGAGCTCTCCATTCTCTACTCTCTCTCTCTATTTACCTGACATAGTTCATCTAGAGCTCTCCATTCTCTACTCTCTCTCTCTCTCTCTCTCTCTCTCTCTCTCTCTCTCTCTCTCTCTCTCTCTCTCTCTGTTTACCTGACATAGTTCAACTAGAGCTCTCCATTCTCTACTCTCTCTCTCTCTCTGTTTACCTGACATAGTTCATCTAGAGCTCTCCATTCTCTACTCTCTCTCTCTCTCTCTGTTTACCTGACATAGATCATCTAGAGCTCTCCATACTCTACTCTCTCTCTCTATCTACCTGACATAGTTCATCTAGAGCTCTCCATTCTCTACTCTCTCTCTCTGTTTACCTGACATAGATCATCTAGAGCTCTCCATTCTCTACTCTCTCTCTCTATTTACCTGACATAGTTCATCTACAGCTCTCCATTCTCTACTCTCTCTCTCTCTGTTTACCTGACATAGTTCAACTAGAGCTCTCCATTCTCTACTCTCTCTCTGCTTATCTGACATAGTTCATTTAGAGCTCTCCATTCTCTACTCTCTCTCTCTCTATTACCTGACATAGTTCATTTAGAGCTCTCCATTCTCTACTCTCTCTCTCTCTATTTACCTGACATAGTTCATTTACAGCTCTCCATTCTCTACTCTCTCTCTCTATTAACCTGACATAGTTCATCTAGAATTGTTCAATGTTATCCCACTCTACCTGTGGGGGTCATGATATGAACAAACTTGAATCTACACCACCTGAAGATGCTTCCATATATGTTTTTACTCTCTCTATACAGGTGATGTACTGGTTAGGGAACATAGTCTGGTACAATAGTTCCTTGATTTTCTACTCTCTCTATTTACCTGACATAGTTCATCCAGAGCTCTCCATTCTCTACTCTCTCTATTTACCTGACATAGTTCATCCAGAGCTCTCCATTCTCTACTCTCTCTATTTACCTGACATAGTTCATCCAGAGTTCTCCATTCTCTACTCTCTATTTACCTGGCATAGTTCATCCAGAGCTCTCCATTCTCTACTCTTTCTATTTACCTGACATAATTCATCCAGAGCTCTCCATTCTCTTCTCTCTCTCTCTCTCTATTTACCTGACATAGTTCATCTAGAGCTCTCCCTTCTCTACTCTATTTACCTGACATAGTTCATCCAGAGCTCTCCGACCATTCTCTACCCTTTCTATACAGGTGATGTACTGGTTAGGGAACATAGTCTGGTACAATAGTTCCTTGATTTTCTACTCTCTCTATTTACCTGACATAGTTCATCCAGAGCTCTCCATTCTCTACTCTCTCTATTTACCTGACATAGTTCATCCAGAGCTCTCCATTCTCTACTCTCTCTATTTACCTGACATAGTTCATCTAGAGCTCTCCATTCTCTACTCTCTCTCTCTCTATCTACCTAACATAGATCATCTAGAGCTCTCCATTCTCTACTCTCTCTCTCTCTGTTTACCTGACATAGTTCATCTAGAGCATTCCATTCTCTACTCTCTCTATTTACCTGACATAGTTCATCTAGAGCTCTCCATTCTCTACTCTCTCTATTTACCTGACATAGTTCATCCAGAGCTCTCCATTCTCTACCCTTTCTATACAGGTGATATACTGGTTGGGGGACATAGTTTGGTAAAACAGTTCCTTGATTCTCTTCACTTCCTCTGCTATCTTGGGTGAGTTGTCTCCAGTTATCTGTATATGTGAAATATTGAACCTTTATTTATAAATAGTTACAGTAAAACTCAGTTATAACGAAGTCACTGGGACCAATGGAATTACTGTAAATGTATTATATTTGGCTGTAAGATATTTGGCGGAAATTCATTTTTCAACAACTTAGCGTAGATTTGATTTATAGGTATCAGAATCTGCTATATAGAAATGTATGATATACAAGAGATTTAGTGATGTACTTGATTTAGCAGACTCTGCTTTCTGCCAAAATTGCTAAATAGAATACACCACTAAATGTAATATGTTTATTGTACTTTGATGTATCCGTAATTCTATTTTATTCACCAATAAGACTTATTGACCAAAGAATTATAATACTTTCCATATCATTAGGCTTAAAAAAAAAATATGTTTGTTTCCTGTAACATTCCAAAAAAAATAAGGGTCGGTAGGTCGGGAATATTTTTTTTTTTTTTTTTTTTTTTTTTTGCTTATGAATGGTCAAACATCCCCGGACTGAATATACTAGGTGTCATATTTACAGTGGACACCCAACATGGCATCCAAAATGGCTACCTAGCGGCAGAAAACAAACTTCAGAAAGTTGTTGGGGGAAATTGTTATTATAATAATGATTACTCTTAATAACTAAGGTAAATGTAAACTAGGTTGACATATTTTATGTCTCAATTTAAGCTACAAGCTAATTTTCTTTTTTTAATAAATGGAATCTGCTAATTGATCAAACGAAGTTTTGCTATTTGTCAGAAAAAAAAATCCACCCGGGGGTAATTTGAATGGGTCGGTCGGGTTACAGGAAACAAACTTATTTTTTTTTTAGGCCTTAGTAAATTACATTAATTTTCTTATAAGAATCAAGTCATGTTATGTAAAGAGCAAAGTGTTAAGGTAAAGTATGCTTTAGAGAGTAGTAGATGCTGCAATTTACAACTTCCTCCTTTTTAATAACTTTATTAACAACATTTGGAGATGCTCTATAAAACAGTTTTAATGTTCTCTCCCTGGTGATCTTGATCATTCTACTATATAAAGTGCAAAGGAAATTTTTCCATGATTCTGCAAAATTTTAAACTGTATATCTAACCAAGTAGTATGGAGATTTTCTATGATGCTGTGTGACCTTGACATAAATAACCTTTCGACCATCATATGGATGTGTTATATACTGTACTAAGTCCTTGACATGCTCTACTTGATGATCCTATGGGTGAATGTAATGTGACCTTGTTACGTTGACAAACTTTACTTTAAACAGTCCTATGAATGTGTTATATAATAGAATGTGACCTTGACATGTTCTACTTGCTACAATCCTGTGGGTGTGCTATTATTATAATGCGTAATGGTTTACTAGCTACAATCCTGTACTTTAGTTAGAATAATCTAACTGTGTCTCGGGACAAGCCCTCACCACAGTTAGAATACCTCCCATATACTCGCAATGTAGCAAGAAATTGCAGAATCGCTCCGAAATGATTTTGAAGAATTCAAAGGGATTTGCACTGAAAATAACTTTCAAATTAATTATACCAAACCTTTTTAGGGTTGTGTAAGTATTTAAACTTAAAGTATAATCCAGATAAAGACGAAAATTCAACTTATTTTCTCAATGTTTTTTCTCGTTTCAAATTTACACGCCATGTTTACGTTCAGAACTCTCTTGATTGTTCAAAGTAAATGCACTGAGTACAAGTTATCGCCCGTGTTTATTTGGCTACATTGTGAATACACGGAATGAATTCTATCGTTAAACCGGATCCATAGGACATTTATCATTTTAACGATAGAACATTCTATCTATCCTGTACTTGTGCTATTAATATAATGTGACCTTGACATACTCTACTTACCACCGTCCTATGGAAGTGCTCTATGACATGTTGTTGGCCTCCCATCATTTTTAAGTGAATCTCCCACTCTGCTGGTATGTAGTTCTGCATCGGGCGGGTCAAGGCCGGACCTGTTACCATGGATACCTCTTTTCCTGTCTGTGATCCTGGTTCTGGTGCTCTGAAGCAATAAATCATTTTATGTTATTTCAGTTGGAGACTGTTGTTCTCTTTGAGTGGCATGTTTAACCAATCAAATGCTTTCTTTTGTTAATGTGAGGATAATGGTTTTATATTGCAACACACATTAAAGCATTCAAGTTTTCTTAAAATTAATTTTTTTTCCAGTTATAGGAATGTCCTTATTTAAACGTATTTTAAATTTTCATGTACCAGATATATTTTGACCGTTGGGTTCACATTTCTTTGCATTACAGTTTGTTCACAAGGATCTTTATACAAATTCATTAAAACATGATTTAATATCATGGACACAACTGATCAAAATCTAAATCTCATATCCATACAATATTTACTTGTCTTGTCACAACTCAGAATTAATAAATATGTGTTAATACTACTTCATAACAGATTGAAACGTACTTTTTCTTGTTTTTCTCCATTTGTTTCTCGTCAACATACACTGGTCGCCTGCGGACTTTTCTTTGTGTTCCTGACTGGAGATTCTGCTGAATCATCTGCTCAAAATCCATCAGGTACTCGTAGCCCAGGGTATTGAACTGCAGCTGACCGGTGGGGTTCTTCAGGAAGTTTTGTTCCATACTGGAACTGTCCACTGTTGACTGATATCCCCCTGCACCGTATCCTCCCTATATAGAGAGAATCCTACTTAGTGAATCTGTATATCTGTATAACTAACATCAGTTTGGGGAACACCAAAATGATGATCTACCACATTTCTTTTTTACAAATATTAAATCATAATTTGAGATTTTTTTTGACATACAATAAGTATTCACTATTCAGAGAATTCAAACTTAATGAGGAATGACAAACAAATTTTGCCTGAACTTCACTTGGTGGTTGATGACAGAATATGGATGAAACTTTTATAACAATACTAGAATAAAAGTGTGAAAAATTTGGTCTAAGCACACTCCATTCAGCTCAAGAAAGCCAGAGGTGGATTGTTAAAAGACACGTCATTCCTCTGTGTGCTCTACCACTTACACTGAAAAAAGCTACACATAAAATAGTGAGTAATTTAATTTCTTTATACCTGTCCATACTCTTGCCAGCTTCCATCTTCACTCTGCCAGAACCATTTCCAGACTGTGGCCAGTGGCTGGAACTTTTCCACCTCAGAGGAGGGTGTAGAAAGTCGACGTAGGGTCATCTGAACTATCACCTGATTATTCTCCTGTAGAACGCCTTCCATTGTGTCAAAGTTTAATTTCAACACTCCTGACCTAAAATGATTGAAATGCTATAGAAAGCACAGATGCATTCCAAGATTGTTAACAGCTAGCAATTAACTCTTTAACCTTTGGAACAGGCAGATGGAATAAAATATTACATAAACAAATATGCAGTAGTAGATACATGATTACATGTATTTTTGGTTCCAAATTCATATTACAGTGGAGCCTCATTTATCCGGACGCTTTGGTTCCTAATCAATTTGTCCGGATATGTGAAGCGTCCGGATATCTGAATCACCAGTTAAACAAGACAGAATAATATTTAAAAATTCTGTTCCGATGAAAAGGCGTCCAGATACTGAAGCATCCGGATATCTGGCGTCCGGATATCTGAAGGTCCACTGTATATGTATTAACAAACAGAAATAAACGTGAACACTTTAATAATCATTTTTAATATCATTTATCCTACATTTACTTCAACCAATAAAGAATACCAAAACTTGGACTTGCATTAAAGCCTAACTGATGAGATACATACTCAGTTTTGACATAACACTCGCTTCTGGCGACATCACCAAAGTTGTACTCCACCTCGACGTTGTGAGGGTGCTGGAAGTCTTCCCACTGATTCAGGTTCTTCTTACGGTACTGCCACTGATACGTCATGTTCTTGTGAGATTTACGACAACTTTTACCGAAGGCACAGCGCCCTCTCAGGTGAAATATACAGATATCAGCTGGTGGATCATCGGAGGAATTGACAGAAACATCTTCACTTTCTGAAGGGTCCTCATTATCTGAGTCTATCCCTGTTCTGTTAAAATAAATCAAATAAAAAATTATATAGAACCATCTAGACTACCTATATGCATCTTTGATATTGACCAAAGCTAGACAACCTGTAGGGATCTTTACTAAGGGAAGAAGCTTGGCTACTAGACTACCTGTATGATATTTAATATTGTCCAAGTCTACACTTCCTGTAGGGATCTTTACTTTGGGCAGTGGCTTGGTTACCTGACTACCCTTATTTATCTTTAGTATTGACCGAGGCTACACTACCTGTAGGGATCTTTACTATGGGCAGAAGCTTGGCTACTGGCGTCGTCACCAACATCAAACTCCACATTACGGATCTCTTGTAAAATTTCTTTGGGAGTTCTGTTTGTGTTGATCCCATACTTTGTCAAAATATCTGAGGAGTAAATAAAGTATTTAGTTTACTCTATAAAATATATTATATGGTCATAAACAATGGCATATACTTGTACAAATATATAACATAGTCCCTTTATACAGTATGTATGAGCAAACTTATTCTGTAAGTAACATTTGAATTTAATTTTTTTTTTTAAATGGCATCCGATATGGAAATTGAAAATTATGCATGCTACATAATCCTTCTTCAATACAAACCTGTAATTTGCTGATCAAAAACATTATGACTTCTCTTGCACCTCTTCCCGAATCTACACTGTCCTATTACATAGAACTTGCAGATGTGTAAGTAAGGACAAGCCTTCCCTTCTTCCTGGGCCCGACATCCTACATTTATATTATAGAACTTGCATATACTTGGCATGGTGGTTCTTCCCCTGCTTTCAGTGGTACGAAATAGATTCTTAATACTGTGTACACTTAAATGCTCCAACATATTCTGTCTCAACAATGACATATTATGTGGAGATGTCAGATCATGGCCAAAAAGACAATTTTTGCCTTGCTTCTCGACTCTACAGCTGTTGGACAGCAGGTAAAACTTGCAGATGTGGAGTCCATCACACACCGGGATACCAGGACACTGTCCTTGTTTAGAGCAGTGCTCCTTACACAGACCTAGCTTGGTGCAGACAGATAGAATGTGATCATCTGTCCCTTCTTTTGTATAAATTGTAAAATTGTTTGGATAATTACTCAAAACCTCAATGAGCTGTTTTTCACTTAATCTAACTATATGCGAAGCTAACTGTTGGGATAATTCAGCTGCAGTAATGGGTTTCTTGTGTTGACAGAGAATTTCTATGGATTTCCTGACAATGGATTGGTTAAAATCTTGTCCAGAAGACGAGGATTGCTGGGGCTGGGAGGGCTGGGATTGCACCAATGGCTGCTGTTGTACATTTGGCACAGGTTGTGGTGGTTCGTAGACTTCAGCAACAGGTGGTTGAATCTGCTGTATTGGTTGCTGATACTGCATAAATTGTGGCTGCATTTGGTGTTGATACTGGAGATGGGGTGGAATCTGTGTTTGGGGTTGCATTTGATACTGGGGTACTTGGTTAAAATCTCCCATCGGTCGCATCTGCTGGGGAAACTGTGCGACCTGCATCGGCATTCCAGGGACCATTTGTCTCATGAAGTTTGCTTGGGGGGCTGTCCCACTAGACAAAACAAATGGATTGAAGGACATTTTCCTCGTTTACAGCCCTCACTAATGACGACGCTATCAAGCCATTACTTCCTTTTTTAGAAAAAGAAAGTACGAAAGGAAAGGAATTTCCGGTCTTGTGACATTGCGTCATTTGGATAACTCGTTCATTAAATGGGTTTCCTATTACTTGTTTAAAATTATCAGCAACTAAGATTCAAATTTCTAATTTTTAATATTAAAAAAACTTTCCTTTATTTTTTTTTTACCTTTTATTAGAATGTAATTGCATATAGATCTATTCAAAGAAAAAAAGTTATTTAAAACACTATCTGGAACAAATAAAAAAAAATTCTGAATAAAAACGAAGTATCTGAAAGAGTTGCGCTGTTTATGATTTTAAATTTATTATTTTTTTGGAACTAAATCAGGAACACAGTGTCATTTTAAAAGGGGGATTTCAGTCCAAACTCCGAAATCCTATTTCTTGGGGGGAGGGGTTCCAACTTTTTTGTAGCTCAACTTTTCTTCGTCTAAATTTTATATTATCCTTATTTCATCCTTATTTGATTTTACTACAGAACGTGGGGGTGGTCTTTCAAAGAACATTTTAAACATTGTAAAGTTATGTTTGGAAAATAGTGGAGGTCACCTCCCCCCCCCCCCTCCTCTCTCGGGCCGGGACTCTCTGATACAACGTGCCTGTAATTTGTCAGACAAGAACAACGCTGTTAAAATTCAGTGGAAAAGTACTTAACACTTCAAAAGCCACTTACATTTTCTTCATTTTGTTTAATATCAAACATTGAGTTCTTTTTTTTCTTATTTTAAAAATTTAAAAATAAAGCAGCCTATTTATATTTCCGGTAAACAGGTTTAATCAGTATAGTGACATGTGTTATTAACAACTAAAAAAAAGCAAACAAATAAACATAAAACAAGAATTGAAATACACGACCATTTTGGCCTATTAGTCACTTTTTATATATTACATGTATATAATATATTCAATAGTACGAAAGCCCAAATGAGCTCATTTTCGTAGGTAAAAAAAAAAAAGTAAATTTTTCGCGTTAGAACGCGAAACTTTTGCTGTTTAACCAGACATTTGCTCCAGTCTCAACTTTCTTTTGATTTTGTCATCAAGCTTATTCATTCCAATGATAAGCAAAAGGCTAATTTTATCTTGGACTATCACAAGATAAATTTTAAGTTTTCTTGCTATTGAATCCATCTTTACCGTCATTCTCAACGCTGTTCAAACAATTCAAAGTTTATGCGAGTTTTGCAAAAGTTAAACTTCAAGATTATTAATTTCGGGGAAAAATCACCCCTTACCGGCGTCTTTTTTATGCACTCTCTAGAGAATTTGAAAAAAAAAAATTTTATAGAGATCATGATCTCAGAAAATTGACAAATGAGGTAAATTTGTCAATTGTGTCCAACCGCATTTGTGAAAATTGGATAGCAGATTTTCATTCTCCGTTGGATTCACTGTGGAAATACGATATCCTATTTTGAGGTTGCACCACGTTGTCGTTCCATTGCTTACGAAAACATTGACAATTCAAAGTGTACAAACTCTGCTGTATACCTTTATAGTTTTTATTTATAGCTAGCCCACAAACTTCTCTATAACCCAATATATGAATATTTTTTTAAAAACAAATCCTCCTCAATAAATATTTATTTGTAATTAACAATATCCAATTATAATTGTTATTTAAACAGCATCATATGACCCGTTAAGCTCATGAAATTATACATTGTTCATTCACTTTTAAGTTATGTTTCTACAGTGAATAATTTTTTGTCCAGAATGATTGATTGCTTAATTTACTAGTGGCACAGTTGTAGTAAATGTTACTGATTAAAAAACAGCTTTAAAAAAGTGTCAAGTGGAGATTTTCCTTAAGAAATAATCAGTCTAAAGAATTTAGAAATTGAAAAACATGTACAAGAAAGTAAAATTCATTTTATTAATTCAATGGTAAGGTTTTTAAATAAAAAAAAAATATTCTGATGACTAATCTATTCTCGCATCATTTCTCCAGTACATCTTTCTGAAGAAATGATATTTTATAAATAAGTTCCTGAGAGTTTCCGTCTGTGTTCATGTTCTAATTTGTCAGTCAAGATCAATGTTCCTGAGTAACATTACTATATGCATATTATATCAACTCATATACAGGAGTTTGGGATAAAGCAGGAAACTTTTCAAAGCATAAATCGGTCCAACAATTAATAGAATACGTAATATTGATTAGCGCATTTATACAGCGCCTAAAATTATTTACTGTCTAAACACACAAATAACTGCGCATACTGTTAAGCCGATTACTAGATTCTCCCTCATGAACGCCGGAAATCATCTTCATAAGATGTGGGGACCCCCCGGTAATTTTATCCTTTTGAGATAAGAGAATCTACTGCTATTGTAAAGACAAGACGGCCAAACATTTGCTGAAATATTTTTTGGATTACCCACCTCCATCCCCAAACAGACTTTAATTGTACATTAGGCCACCTCAAACTCATATGTGACTTGTCTATGTTTTCATTGTAATTTAATTTCTTTTTATATGTATATTATATTGTGTGGTCATATCCTATTTAGGCCAAATAATAGAATTTTGAGCCTATTCATATGTATAAGGCCATATTTTGGAGGCCACCTATTTTGCTAAATTATGTACATATTGTATGTTATGTAATAGTCACATACTGCGAGACCAATTGTTATTGCATAATTGTTTAATAATTTTTCTCAGGAATTGTGTTTTAAGGTTACATTATCTCCCAGTCTTATGTATTATATTATATGTTGTCATTTCATAATAAATGTCTCTGGTTTTTTTTTTTTGGGGGGGTACATTTTTTAATACTGTACATAATGCTCATTGCGGCAACAAAAAGAGTTTTAAAAAAAAGACTAGCATCAAAAACATTTTAAAAAAATTACAGAAAAAGAAGACACAAAAGGTGGGGATGTTGACCACTCTCCCCTTCACCCGACATACGTGTTGTTTTATGTCATATATTTGGTAATTTTTATCTATTTGTTATTTTTTTCGGAAAAAAAAAATGATCAAAGTTATCAAATTAAGACTTTCGCTCCTGGATCAAGTGAAATCCGAGCTCTTCGTTGATGATATAATATCATGGTTTCACACGTGTATACAAACGGATTCACGCTGACCTGTTTCTGACTGCTTTTGGTAATACTGTGCAGCAACGACCAAATAAACAAACATCAGTGTGCGGCTGGGTCCTGGCCGAAGGAGAAGCATGCTAACAACGGTAAGTGTTGAAAATGACATGATGCTATAATATATATTCAATATTGTATGGACTGCTCAATAAATTAAAATCAACCTATGACAAAACTTTAAAAGTGCATGTGCCGATAAACAGGAGTTTGCAGATCAGTATACACTGTATAAAAATGTACACTTTAGTCTTTTGATTAAAACCTCTACCATGAGAGGACGTATAGTGTAGAAAAGAGCTGAGGTATGGTTCGTGTATTTACGTATTTACAATGTATAGATATGGCAATGTATATGGATATGTATGAATGTCTAACTGCAAAAGCGCGGGAAACTACTGTGACTTGTTTGCGGTATGTGTATACACGCAGTTAACAGATAGAATCTGCGATGGAGTAACATAGCTTACATAGGCGTTGGAACCCAGGGGGAAGGGGCTATGGAGGACTCCCCTCCTTCCCAAATTTTTTGCAATGATAGACAATGTAAAGGCATCGAACATTGGGGCGTTGGTTATGCCCAACCCCCTTCCAACCGACACAGTGCAGTGTAATCATAGAAGGGTAAGTGGTAGCATTTGAAAAGAAAATTTTGGTTCTGAAAGAAGTTCAATCTTACTCCCCACCTCAACAACCTAATGTTTTCATAAACGAAGTTGTTTTAGGTTAAATGTGTTCACACATACATCTGCTAGACTCATCAAGAGCTGTTTGTATCAGTGTTATATTTTCATAATTTTTTGCATTTGTAAGATATGCATTATATCCATTATAGTTGATATATTCATTACAGTAGTGAGTGTGCGTGAAGAACTAATTGCTCCTAAAATGAGTAGGGTTTAAATACAATGAATTCTAGTTTGGGAGCTAGGGACTGGGTTTCAGTAGTGATAGCAATTACCATACTTGTGAAGCCTCTTTAGTTCTGTAATAAATTATTACCGGCCGCCAGGAGGCGGTCGGTTATATGATATGAAAGTTTTAAGTCGCCGTGCGTTTCTGCGGAGTTAGAACAATTTGAATAAAAAATATTTAACATTCATGTAATAGAATATTAAGACAGATTTTTTAAATGTTAAACAAAAACGCACAATAATCATAAAATTAAAATTTTATAAATAATGGGTTAAATGTTTCATCCAATCCTGATTGACAAACTCCGACGTAACTGAAGTGCGGAGAAATAAGCACACATGTTGGGCATAGTCTAAAGCAAGGGCCGCGTTATATACATGTATAAACAAATTTACTTTCTCTACTTCAACAGGATCTGTTGTATATATAATTTAAAATGACGTGTAAATATAAATATACAATGTACTTTTAATACGGAAAGTTTTCAAAAATATGACTTAATCTTAGTTTATTATCAGACAGAATATTAGGAGATTTTTCTCCAACAGACAAGGACAAAGCGCGTTTTACAATATGCCAAGCCTTTTCCCGCCACATCTCACACCAAAACAAGATATAGAAAAAATGTAGTGGCGGATCTAGAGGGAATATGGGGATTTCAACATCCTCTGAGCGAGCGAGGAGCCCCACATAGCTGTTACGTTTTATTTAAAGTTAAACTATCTCTAATTAGATAAGTTTAAACGTTAGTTTTGATGGTTAAATGTTAAAACTACTTAAACATCAAACTTCCGCCAGAGTTCGTTTGTACAAATGAATCTGAGTGCGGGGACGCAGAGGACTATGAGTAAGTTGCTTAAATACATTGAACATGTAGAAATGTACAGGTATTATGTACTGAAGAAAACCCTGGAATGTCGCATTCAAATGTTTAATGTCATAGGGATATATATTAACAGATAAATATAAGAATTTAGTTTCTAATTGTATTATGAAAGAATTAATAATTGGTTTGCGGCCGATTTTTGACGCTTGCGTCAATATGTTTCTTGTTGATATTGAGATGCAGGTGAAACGTCCTTCATGTATACTTGAAGCGAACCAAATTCTACCGAGTCAATGAATAATTAAATTAAAAGTAAGCTAACTCCACATACTATAAATATATTCTTTGTTGGGTCCTTACTAAAATTGGGATTTTAAAATTCTTACGACGACTTTATTTAAAATTAATCATATGTATTGCAGAAATTGATTTGTGTACCAAGTTTAACTCAGCTTCAGAAAGAAAATGTGCAACACGAGTAGGAAATGCGGTTCCCAGGAAAGATCAAAGATGGGCGACTCCACGCAGCCTCGTGCTTACGGTCTCGCTCATTATTCGATCACCGTCTTACGTAAGAGGAGGAAAGAAAGCTACTTCATGTTCAGTGACCACCTGGTGAACAACAACTACATGCTGTGTCCAGCAGAATCAAAGAAATCAGGATAACGGGAAAACAATTACGGCTAGGGTGCTACATGTATTTGTGTAGTAATTCCACATATATATATATATACAAGAAACATATTGACGCAAGCGTCAAAAATCGGCCGCAAACCAATTTATATAACTGTAGAAATTATTTTAGAAACTCACATTTGCTGGGTTAATTTTTTTTTTTAATTTCTTATATTTTTCTGTTAAAATATCCTCGTGACACGAAAAAAAAAATGCATGCGACAATGCCGATTTTCTTCATGATTAATGCATGTACAATATTACATGTATAGACAATATAAACTGTGCATAGTCCTCTGCGTCTCTGCACTCAGTTTGGTACAACTTAACGAACTCTTGTGAGTTTGCTGTTTAAGTAGTTTTTACATAAAACGTACAAAACTAAAGTTGAAACTTAGCTATAATTTTAACTTAATAAAAACGCAACAAATATATAATATGTGGGGCTCCTCGCTCTCTCTCTTAAGGGATGTTAACCCCCCCCCCTTCTAGATCCACCACTACATTACTTCTCTTTCAATCTCTTTGTTTTGGTGTTGAGATGTGGCGGGAAAGTGTTAGGCACATTGTAAAACGCGCACTATCCTAGTCTCCTGGACGAACATGTCGTAATATTCTTTGTTTTTAAGAAATCAATATTTCATCATATTTTTGAAAAACATCTATAGGAAATGGTTAATAAATATACACTTCATTTCAAAGAAATACAGCAGATCCTGTTTTAAAAAGAGAAAGTAAAATTGTTGATTTACAACACGGTCTTTGTTTTAGACTATGCCTAACACTCGTACCAATTTTCTCCGCACTTCAGTTATATCAGAGTTTGTCAATCAGGATTGGATGAAATATTTACCCCATTATTTATAAAATTTAATTTTACGATTATTGTGCTTTTTCTAAACATTTAGACAATCTTTGTTTAATATTGACTCGCCAGCGATATGAACATGATGAATGTTGAATATTTTTATTTAAATTGTTAACTCCGCAGAAACGCACAGCGACTTGAAACTTTCATATCATATAACCGACCGCCTCCTGGCGGCCGGTAATAATTGGATATATTTGTACGTGTATAATCTCAAGGTGAAGATTGGTTTATTTTTAAAAAAATCAAGACAAGTAATAAAACTTGCACATTTATATATGTATATAACTTCTCGAGTATTTTTTTTATTTATTGCCAGCTTTGGTGATTGTTTTAGGGAAGAAACCAGATGTGTCAACTTTAGTTACTTAATAGCAAAGCAAAAGTTATTTCGTCATATAGGTATGTAAATTCATTATTTTTTGCGGAATCCTAACATTGTAAAAAGTTGTTATAAGTAGCAAAGAAAGAAAAATGACATTGGGCTATCAAAAGAAAGAATTATTTTACTGGTCCGTCCGTAGGTATTAAGCAATTTAATTTTGGAAAGGGGGGATAGCAAGCCTCCCTCACCACCCTAAAAAGGAAAAAAAAGAATAATAATACCTTAATGGAACACAACTATTTCAGTAAATTGACTGTGCTTTAATTAATGTGTAGCACATATATTATTTAATGAGTATTATATACTGGCAATTTATTACGGGGCACAACTGCACATATGTCAGTTTTGTCATCTAGGCTTGGATTTATCATCATTATAGGAGGAGCCCCCCCTCGCCCCTTTACGACTCTGATTTCTTGGCTCCATTTTTTGGCCCGGTCAAAGGGAGAGTTTACGACTCTGATTTCTTGGCTCCATTTTTTGGCCCGGTCAAAGGGAGAGTTTACGACTCTGATTTCTTGGCTCCATTTTTTGGCCCGGTCAAAGGGAGAGTTTACGACTCTGATTTCTTGGCTCCATTTTTTTTTGGTCGGATCAAAGGGAGAGAATGCTCATTTAACCACCGGAATGAGGAATGACCATATTTGCAACATTTTTTTTTACTCCATCCACATCCAAAAGTATTTGGGTTCAGAGAAAAAAGCAAGTTTAGTCCCCCTTACTTTTTTTTATAACTGCTAATACAAATTTGTTTAATTATTCAATTTATTTTCAAATGATTTTTGAAATAAGTTTCAGCTGTAGTGTATAATACTGGTTTACTGATTTGATGCAAAATCTTATATGAGTGTGCTCACTTTTGAAACAAATTATCTGTATAAATTTTACACATCTTAGAATTTAGAAAGTTATTTGTAAAGTATAAGAATATTTATACCGGGTATGTTCTGTTTCTTAAAACTAGTATGTCAGTCTTACCTGATTTTATTTTGAACAACTAAAATAAATTGGGCCTTTTTGTTAAATAATAAAGTTATAAATAAGTAGCCCTGGTGTGTATTTTAAGCATCCTATTTATACCTTCGACTCAAACTAAAAAATTAAACAGGTTACAGGCATACAATGTTCAAAGCAATGATGTAACAGGTGTTAGTAACTCATATTTTGTGTATTTAGGCGTTTCAGTTTAATGCAAAGATGCCAAAAAGCCTGTTATAATTGTGGTAAAGAATCCAAGAAGAAGAAATACCACAAAGAGGGGTTCAAAGGCCGCGAAAATTATTTTGAGAGGAATATTTTGACAAAACGGCGTTGATTGTATCAGCATGTCTTTGGTCTTAGGATATGTAGAGAATATGAAAGCAATATAATATACAGAAGTTTACAAATATAGTATAACAAACGTATTGTGCTATTCGATGATATTTCTCGTTTATTATTTGAAAATTATCGACAGAACCCGCAGTTTTCTCTGTTATAGAACATTGAATGACATGAAAGAACTCGAGACAAAAATGAAAAAAAGTGAATCGCCCAACGTGGGGCTCGAACCCACGACCCCGAGATTAAGAGTCTCGTGCTCTACCGACTGAGCTAGCCGGGCTACATACTGTACAAGGGAGTGTACGTTTAACAGATAAATAAGTAAAGGTCCCTTGCAGGTACTTCCGTTTTTGTGTATTATTGTAAGTTAGAGGTTGAACTCACGTTGTACTGTATGTTTCTTGAACTTTTTACCGTTCTTTATTATGGGGTGCGACAGAAGGTGTACGTTCATGTTGTGGAATATTTATATTGGATTTTGTAGATTTTTTGGACTGATAACAGCCTTGGGTAAGATTGAATTAAGAATTATTGCATAGCAACGTGGTGCGATTGAGGATCACGCCACTTTCCCCAGATCTATTTTTGGAATCATATTTATTATTTTCATTTTCACCTTTTCATGTGCTCCCGCTGATTATTATTATGTTTTACACAGAAACTCATTTGAAGCAGAATTCAAAGCTCAAAATAATGACGAGAAAACGAGTGAACAAACTTTAAGAGTTAAAAGCGAAGGCTAGATCTAAGTGAGTTAATTTCAGATTTAAACAATGCTCTTCGATATGCATTGATCAAGTCATCTGTACCGACTGAAAATTTGAAATACCTACAGTAGTTTATTCTGACTTGTTAAAATTAATTCTTTTCTACAAGAGGGGAAATAACACAGTTTAATAATCTTTCTTCTATTAAAGTGTTTTTTTTTCCTTCACTGAACTGTATAATTATTTGATATGCATAAAAAGACCTTAAACAATACCAGTTTCAAGTTATCTTGTAAAAAGTAAGCCTACATTAAAAATATTTATCCATTCATTGAGAGAACACAATGTCATTCAAAGTTTTGGATGTGTGCCATGAATATTTGTAAGCATGGATTATTTTAACTCATCAAAACAGTCAAACTTAAAAGCTATATTAACACTTAATTTTGTATTTACTGATATACTGTATTTATTTATTATATATCCTGCCCCTGATGAAAATTTTAAAATTTCTTTGGTCCATTAAAAAATACTGTGTGATGGTTAGACTGATTCACCAGTGGCCAGATAGCCAGAGCTGAATGGAGGTACAGATAGCTCAGACGAGCAGCTGACTGTAGGTACAGATAGCTCAGACGAGCAGCTGACTGTAGGTACAGGTAGCTCAGACAAGCACCTGACTGGAGGTATAGATAGCTCAGACAAGCACCTGACAAGAGGTATAGATAGCTCAGAAGAGCACCTGACTGGAGGTATAGATAGCTCAGGTGGGCACGTTATTACTGGAGGTACAGATAGCTCAGGTGGGCACCTGACTGGAGGTACAGATAGCTCAGAAGAGCACTTGACTGGAGGCACAGATAGCTCAGTCAAGCACCTGACTGGAGGAGCAACTTGTTTTTTGCATCTCACTTCATGTAACATGTCAAACCATGACATGTTCTGGAAGGTGTTGATAGACTGCAGAAGAGCACCTGACTGGAGGTCCAAAGACCTTAAAGGAGGGAGAAAGTGACAGTTAGAAGGTTTCAATTACTGTTGAACCTCACTAGAGCACCTGACTTGGGGTATAGATAGCTCAGAAGAGCACTTGACTGGAGGTAAAACTTTGACAAAAAATCTGTATCATGCTGCCAACTGACATGATATTGTACATATGCCTCCTCGACCATGTCCACATGACCAGCTTTCCAAATTTTAAATAGATTCACACCCTTCATATGCCCTACCATATTACATTCTATATGCTGTTTTCGTATGACATTGCATGGAGCCTGAGCACTGACGTCACATGGACACCAGACAACTGTAGACTATTATTTGTTATGGAATGGTTTGCTACACACAGAGAAATTGAACTACCATGGTACACTGAAAAATCAACAGAGCACCTGACCAGAGGTAAAGATATATAGCTCATGAAGAGCACCTGACCGGTTTCTTATTATTATTATTATTATTATTAGCACCTGACTGGAGGTACATCTTGTTTTTTGCATCTCACTTCATGTAACATGTTAAAACCTTTTTAGGGTTACATAGGTGTCTGTGTAGTGTGCACAACGAAGGTCATTTTGCGCGCAAATGACACGTGCTGCGCGGAAATGAGTGAAATGACTTGGTGTACTTTTGGGACCATAACTTTTACAAGGAAATGCTTTGAAAAGTGACTATAAGGATATATTAATAGTTGACCAGATACCTCACTAGAGCACCTGACAAGAGATTCAGGGGGCCGGGGTTTGAATATCTCTGTTGTTTTTCTACGCAATGCTTTGAAATTTTAAACTGTCACAACTATACTACAATATAATATATAGCAGGTATCAAAACTGTATTATGCGCTGCAATCTGATTGATATTGTAAATATGCCTCCTCAACCATGTCCACATGACCAGCTATCCAAATTTTAAATAGATTCACACCCTTGTTCATGTGCCCTACCATATTAAATACTTTTGGATTAAATGTTTTATTATTTTATTATATTAATGTATATAGATAGTGTAGCAAGAGAATGGTCATTACGCACATGCATTTACATGTGCACGCGTGACATCACAATTTGAATATACTCGGACACCAGACAACTGTAGACTATTGCTATTGTTTGTTACAGAATGGTTTGCTACACTCAGAGAAATTGAACTTCTCTGAAAAATCAACAAGTAGACCCTCTGTCATCTGGCATACACCTAGCCTAGCCCAGATATATACTGGTATAATATACAAACCTATTCTTGCTCAAAAAATGGGAAGAATGTAAGCTCTAGTTTTAGTATCACTAGAAAAAAGTCCTTAGTTTTGTAGGCCTGAGCAGAGTCCACTGAATGTGGGATTCAATTTATTTAGTTGGAGGAAAATTGTTTATTCTTTTCAGTTTAAGTAAGAAAGATAAAAAGTGGTACACACAGGTACTAGACAACATATTAGTGTCAGTCTAGGCTAGATAAAGGTCACTTTAGAAAAAAAAATTAACAGGTGTTGAAACTGTGACATGGGATATGTATTATAAATTGATTATGGAGCAATGTGTAATGAATGACTGAATGAATGGATTTTTTTTTACAAAACTGATCAATGTATTTATAATAAACTTAGTTGTTCACATTAGTAATTGCGTATTTACAAACAGTTCCCTCTTTTGAGATCAGAGACCTAATAAATTAGATAATAAGAATAAGAAAGGGTGGGGCTGACTCTCATAAATATGACTGCATGTTATATGTTTGTAAGCCTTTGATGAATAACTGCTAGCTATGAGAAGGGGTGCCTGTGCTTCATGCATAGACTAGTTGATCTGATGATTCATGCCTTTCAATTCAATGTGATACAATTCTTTGGATGAAGTTATACTGTTATAATAATACAAATGTACATGTACATTGTATATAATTATTTATCCTAAGTTTAACCCTTTATCCCGTTGATATAGCTCATGTGATATCGTTTTCATATCACACAGTTGTGACACAGTTGTGACGTCACAATGGATTTTGCATTAGAGTGATGAAGTAAAATGAAATGGAGTCCTATATAAAAACAGAATCAAACATTGTTCGTGGTGTAAAAAACATGGGATATAAAGAACCTCACATGATTTGTAGTTGGATATGATTATCCACCCCTACAGACCTACTTCCAAGGCTCGGGGATAAAATCCACACAACTCGTTGGATAAAAATCATATCCAACTACAAATCATGTGAGATCCTATATATATGTATCTCTACTTTCCAATTAGGTCTGTTGGGAGTAGGGGTAGATAAATACTTGTATCTCTACTTTCTGTTTGTAGGTCTATGGGGAGTAGGGGTAGATAAATACTTGTATCTCTACTTTCTGTTTGTAGGTCTATGGGGAGTAGGGGTAGATAAATACTTGTATCTCTGCTCTTTGTTTGTATGTCTATGGGGAGTAGGGGTAGATAAATACTTGTATCTCTACTTTCTGTTTGTAGGTCTATGGGGAGTAGGGGTAGATAAATACTTGTATCTCTGCTCTTTGTTTGTATGTCTGTGGGGAGTAGGGGTAGATAAATACTTGTATCTCTACTTTCTGTTTGTAGGTCTGTAGGGGTAGATAAATACTTGTATCTCTACTTTTTGTTTGTAGGTCTGTGGGGAGTAGGGGTGGAGGCAGCATTCTATGGACATTATCTGGGATTCTACATGATGTAAGTCGTCTAGTCTTGTCATTCTTTGACTTTTTTGGTTTAGATTTAAGTACCATGTTAAGAATATGATATGAATTCCTTCTTATTTTACAGTATTGTAGCCATCCTGGTGACATTCCTAGAGTCTGTGTTTGCCATCAACATGTGTGTCCTAGTATGTGTAGGGTAAGATTTGTACTGTGTGCTGTAGCTTATAGTCAAGGGATCCAATGTGCTATAGCCTAAATTCAAGGGATCCAATGTACTGTAACCTAAATTCAAGGGATCAAAAGTAAATCATTGAGGGAGTTAACGTAGCAAAATGTGCCTCAGGAAATAGTCCTGGCCTTGGGGAACTGGAATCTTGCTAACTCCCTCAATAATATACTTCTTAACTGTTTTATTATACCAATACAAAAATAAAAAAAAAATCGAGGATTACAAATGATGGGGAAGTAGCTACTGGACTAACACACAGGAATTAGTCCAGTAAAATATTAGACCGATACAAAAGTTAAATCTAGAGGATTATGGATAACCATGGAATTAGCCTCTGAAGCAGGGATTAGCTCATTTGAATATCTTACGGGGATTAGTCCATTCACAGAGATATCTAGGGAATTATTTACATTTATTATACCCCTAATGATTTTCCCTATATAAAATTAAGTGATTAGATCTGAACAATTCTCTAGAAATTGCTGTGAATCTGTGAATCCTTGTGCGTTAGTTTTTTTGAGCTAATCCCTCTGTCCAAAGCTAGTCATGCTAATTCGCAGTTATAGCTTTTCATTGTGATGTCATAATAGAGTGATGCAAAAACACAATGCTCCATGACGTATTTCATATAACGAAACTCAACAAAATAAGATGTAAACAACAAACAAAATGCAATGATTGCATTAGAATAAGGGAATAACTGTCTTCTAATTTGGTATTTGCGGCTCGGTTTACGCGATTTTATTCAGTTATGAGAATAATGATTAGTTCATCTGTAAATGGATATTTTTTTTAAATAGGTGACCTTTACAAATTAAATTTGTATCAGTATAATAAAACAGTTATACCGGTATCATTGAGGGAGTTTGCAAGATTCCAGTTCCCCAAGACCAGGACCATTTCCCGAGGCGCAGTGCACCGAGGGAAATAGTCCTGGTCTTGGGGAACTGGCATCTCCCTCAGTGATAAACTTTAATAGCTGTATATTATTAATAGACCTAGTTAAACTAACAATTTCTCCTGTGATTTCAGTAATGATGACTCCACATCACTCTGTCAGAGACTCTGGGATGCAGTGTTATGGATAGATAATTGGAAGAAGGGCATCCTTTACTTCTGTTTTTCAATACCCTGCTTCATCCAGCCCCATACAGTATGGATGGGTATCATAACAGGTGAGTACTGTGGTATGTTTACTGTTAACGGACACAGATACAGCAAATTATAAGTGGAAAAGCACACATTATAGCCACTCTGTAAATCTCCAGATTTGTCAGTAATACAAAGTTGAAATGTTGAAAAGATAAAGTATTTTAGTCTTACCAAGCTGCATCAGAAGTGATATACCGGGATATATAACTGATTTTATTTTCACTTGTATATGTACTGACTACTGCTTTAAGAAATCTGTTTTATTCTATTTCAGGTGTCATGCTTATATTTAGTAGTGTATTTTATGGATTAAAATCATGTTACAATGAAGAACAGTCATTAGAAAAAGTATCCCATAATGCAACTTATGACAGGTAGGTCATTGTAGCAGATAGTGGTAATATCAGGATATCATTTACCAAGACAAAAATTCAATTAATAAGGCTAAGAGTTGTGAAAAAATGTGAAAATACTTTATTTTTCAATAACGATAACACAATCTCTCTTCTTTAATTCAACCTGCTATATAGGAGATATAGGTAAGATGAATGTTGTGTAGGGAGAAATTATATCATTTTATATACACTGTTATTATTGACATACATGTGGTAGAATGTAACCTGACCTTGATGTATTATCTTCTTATTCTCATACATGTATTTTAAAAAGCGGTTACTTTTTAAGAAAATTCAAGTGTTCTTCTGTTCTTCTTAAGATATTTTTTTTTATTTTCAAATAAATTGAAACAAGATGTGTTTGTGAAACACTATGCGCCCGTCAGCAACAAAGTTCAAAAAAAAATTTTTAGCATAAAGGTCACAGTGAAGGTCACAAGGTCATTGATTTCAGTGTCATTTGAAAGATCTTGATTAGTGAAGTATGCATACCAAATATCAAGTCTTTATCTTTCATGGTTCAAAAGTTATGGTGAAGGTTCAAAAAAGCTATTTTTAGCATATAAGACACAGTAAGAACGGCCATGCACCACCACCCACTGAATCAAGAAAGAGCTCTCAATCTGTCAATCAGTCAAGGTCACAAGGTCATTAACCTTGATGTCATGTGAAAGGGCTTCATTAGTGGAGTATGCATGCCAAATATTAAGTCTCTATCTTTCTTCATTCAAAAGTTATGGTGAAGGTTAAAGTTTGCCATCAAAAAAGCTATATTTAGCGTATAGGCCATTGTCAAGGTCACAATGTCATTGCCGAGGAGGTCTCAGTTGAAGCTGCTCAAGTGTCCCAAAAGACAGTTATGCTCGGAGACGAGGTAATGTCTTTTAAAAAAGCTTAATAAGTGTTGTATGTATACCAAATATGAAGTCTCTATCTTTTATGGTTCAAAAGTTATGGCAAAGGTTAAAGTTTGCAAAAAAAACCCTCTATTTTTAGCATATAGGTCACAGTCAAGGTCACAAGGTCATTGACCTTGGTGTCGTTTGAAAGAGCTTCATTAGTGGAGTACAAATATGAAGTTTCTATCATTCATGGTTCAAAAGTTATGGCGAAGGTTAAAGTTTGCAGACAAACAGACAGACAGACAGGACAAAAACAATATACACCTCTGATCTTTCAATCTGGGCGCATAAAAAACAGTATATGTTTTTGATATTATTTACCTGGTAACCAAGACTATCTGTTCAGTACCATTAAAAAATAGCCTCTCAACATTAAGACACTCTTCAATTTATTTTTCAATGTTAATTCAAATTTTAACACACACTTGTACCAGTTATCCATTCTTGTGAGAATGTTTTATATTTTGTCGTTTATCCCGCTTTTTCTTTTCCTTTCTTTTATTATAAAACCTTTTTGAAACCTCAAGGCTAATCTAGTCCTGTAAATCTGAGCTTTTTGTTTATTTGACTTCTATTGTATTGTAGATTTGATGATATACAAGAAGATATAGAGGATAGTATATTGAATCCCCCTGAGGGGGGGCCAGGGGTCCTGTCCCTGGCCGATCAGCAGGAGATTCTGGAGGTTTGATGTCGGCCGTCTCCATCAGTAGTATAGTGCTTCATCTGTGTTGTCCCACAACAGTGCTCATTAGAATCCTTTGTTGTGTGTGAGAGTGTGGTGTGAAAGTGAACCATGTATTTATTTTAGTGACACTTAAAAGAAGTTCTTAATCTAGGTCTTGTCTCTTTGAGATGAATCTTTAATATGCTTGGTTTTAGGAAGCTCTAAACATTCCTTACTGTTCTAATTCATTGGTAGTTTTATTCAGTCAGAGTTATCTGCCCATGATATGAGGTTGATTAAATTGAAATTTTACAGTAGGTGGCATAATTTTATATAGATTAAACTGAAATATTCTTATGATGTGGCTTAATACGTTATTTACATGTATTTTATAATGTAAATAAACAACAGTTATGACAGTACTGTACATTAATATGTCATCGTCTTAGTAACATTTTGCCTGGAGAAATATGGCAAAGTGAATTAGAAAAATTCATTATGACTATGTACACCTTTTTTATGATACAATTTTCTTAAAGTCCATTAACATTTTTCCCTTTGTGTCTAGAACTTCCTTAATACTTAGTAATTAATAAAATTAAATGATAATTAATAAAGTATAATGAATTATGTAAATGTTCTTGGGTAAAGAGATGCATATAAATCCTTCTTTTAAAAAAAAGATGAAATAAGAAGTTTATTTGTAGACAGATTGTTTTTGGGGAAAAAAACTCTTCTGTTGTTCTTGGATCAAGCATTTGTCAGAGATTCTTTTATACTGCAGTGATCTTATGTATACATGCCAGAATATATATGTATGTATTGTATTTAAATTCAGAATGGCATTATGCTGCTGTATTTTGGGAAAAGCTTTTAACAGCTGTATAACTCAGGGGAGTTAACTGTGTAAGTCTTAATTTCTTAACAAGTTATGTGTTCTAGACTTTTATGAAGTGTGTGTGTGTGTTTTTAATAGTTATGCTAATGTAAGTAATCTTGAAGTGTATGTCAGTGCGAATATTATAACTGCCAGCTAGGGGTCTTTCAGTGAACTTGCAGAATCATAGTAATATGAGATTGTGTGATCTTGTTTGGTATTGTAATGATCTCTCATCAGAATTACTCTGTCGATCTGAACAAAACACTGCATTATTTATTTTATATTTTCTACATGTACCCTATATATAAATATACATTAATTTATGTATATGAATAGATTTATAATTTGAATTTTCTTCATGTACATGTATGGTCAGAATCTCATGAAATATACCGGTTTGCATAATTGCTTTACTTTTCCACAAAGGAACAAAATATTTCCTGATACTTATTTATATATACTCTTTTACAATTTCTATTCATCTATTGTATTCCTGTAATATGAATCATATTTTATTTTGGGAAATTGGAGTAAGATATTTTTTATGTCGGCTTCTGAGATTGATTTTTGTACAGTAGACAAGAATTCTTGTTTTTGAAATATTTACCCATTGAAAAAGTCATCACAAGATAGTATTCAATTTAGATGAATAAACAATTTTTTTAAAGGTCTTTGTTATATAACCAATTTTGTCAATTAGTACCCACCTAGAATTTTAATTACAGTTATAAAGAAAATAGTCATTGACAACTGACACGAAAACAGACATAACATCTGCTTTAAAAAAATCTCCCTAGTGATTGAAGCTAAATGTTTTGGCCATGCAGAGAAACTACAGATAATTTATTTTTGGCCATACATGCCACCATTCATGGGACAACCCTTTTACAATTCGTTCATATGGCTATGAATAATAAATTTTAAAAATTAAACAGTCAACATTGATGTGATTCAAGATGAAATTATTTTCTTTTAATGATAAAGAATGATGATTGTGTATTAGTCTTTTAATTTTAGTGTTCTAGGTTAAAAACTTATCTAACCTAAAATACATCATTTATCGGAGAAACATTTACTTAAATAGTATTTGAGAAGCAAAATTTTATGAATTAAATTACATATGTGTATGTAGTCTTTTTCAATCTGTGGTGATGAAGTGGAGGGGTTAGTAGATTGTTATGTATTGGACACTTAATGATGTAACTGCATGGAGGATATTCAGTGTTATAGCTGGATATGGACATTTCCATGGTATTTAACAAATGGGACACATTAAAAAAATATCTTTTTACCAATCTGAGAGCAAAAGAAAGCATGAATATAATTTTTAAAAAATTCTTACAATTATAATGTATCCCACATTTAACTGCAGTTGTATAAAACTTTGGAATTTCTGTTAATGCTTCATTTTTTTGGTTTTAGGAACTCAAGTTGCGACATATATTACTGTGCATTTAATAAATGTGTTCTGGGTCTTGTGAACATAGCACATTATTTTCACAGAGTAGTGATAATTTAAAACACCATTTAATATATGGACGAGTTACAGTTTTTCACTATTGAAAATTTAGGACTGTTTTGTTAAGTTTCTTAACAGGTAAAATTTTGATTTGTTAAATAATTGGAAGACGAATATCCATGGACTTATGTTGTGAATGTTTTATGTGTTGGGTACATTCCATACCTTTGTAAGGAAGATGAAAGAGTTGTAAGAATGATCCATTTTGCTTGCAATAGACCCTGTTTTAGTTTTACCATTTATATAGATGTTCAAGATTCAGTTGAGAGTGAGCTAGATTGCTGTATTGGTGTTCAAAGTCCTCATAAATGTTGTTTAGAGGTTTGATAAAAGATTTTTTCAAATTATGATTTTTTTTAGAATTATGAAATAGGTCTTGTGTCACTGTTAAATTTTCTCCCATTTGATTCTGTCCATTCAATTAACAGTATGCTAAATCAGCTGGTTACTTGTCCTTAATACCCACTGTAAAATAAAAAAAATAATTTTTTTTCTATAGAGATTTAATTTTCAGTACTAAACATTTATAAATCATTATATTTTATCTTAGTTGAAAATTACATGCTCTGTTACGTAACTAAGGTATATTGACTGTAAGAAGAGAAGCCGATAGATCTGGTGTAGGTTTGCATAATTCATCAATTCATCAATGTGATCCTTCATTACTAATTAAACATCAAATGAATATGAATTAAGCTTTTTTAAGAAAATTGTGTTGATGATTTTGCTATGATGTTATGAGTTGTCAGATATTTAAGGGTATCACAGTATCTTAAAAGATACAGATTTACATTTTAAAATTTTTTTGCTGTATGTTTTAAAAAAAAAAATGCACAATAAAAAAGCTTAAAATATAGAATGTTTTTTCTTTTTTTGAGAATGCTGCTTTTTGTCTTGTTAGTGACAATGATGTGCTACGTTTAAAGATTGTAGACATGGTAAAAACTTTTTACCAGGTTACTTAGAAAAAATCCATAGGGAAAAGCAGAGAGTAGTAAATTTTAAAATCTTCACAAGAAAAAACAGAATGCATTGTATTTTTAGCTCACCTTAGCTGAAAGCTCAAGTGAGCTTTTCTGATCACATTTTGTCTAGTCCATCTGTCCGTCTGTTAACTTTTAACATTTTCGACTTCTTCTCAAGAACCACTGGGACAATTTCAATCAAACTAACCACAAAGCATCCTTGGATGAAAGGGATTCAAGTTTATTCAAATGAAGGGTCCTGCCCTCTTTCAAGGGGAGATAATTAAAAAATAGTAAAAATTTGGTGGCGTGTTTAAAAAATCTTCTTCTCAAGAACCGCTTGGTCTGGAAAGATGAAACAAATTTGAAAGCATCCTCAGGTTATGTAGATTCAAATTTGTTCAAATCATGACCTCCGGGGGTAGGTTGGGGCCATAATGGACGATCAAAGTTTTACAAAGGAATACATAGGAAAAATCTTTAAAATTTTCTTCTGAAAAACAGCAAAGCCACGATTGGGCATATTTATATGGAATCATCCTCAGGTAGTGTAGATTCAAGTTTGTTTTAATCATGACCCCTGGGGGTAGGGTGGGGCCATAATGGACGACCAGTTTTACTTAAGAAATAAGGTATCAAAATGTAAAATGGGTTGGTCGTGTTTTATGGAAGATTTGATCTTGTGCCAACCTGTTTTACATCCCAATAACACTCAAAAAATGATACCTTATTACTTATATTTACATTTGTGACTTATTCATACTTTAAACTTGCCTGAATGTGACTTTTAACGTGTGAAATGCATTATTAGCTCTACTGGTCAGAGATCAGAAGAGCTTATGCGATAGTAATGCGTCCGTCGTCCGTCCGTCTGTCTGTCTGTCTGTCTGTAAACAATTTTTCAAAATGCTACTCCTCCTACAGTTTTGGTCTGATTTCAATATACCTTGGCACACAAGTAGACTACACTAAGATACATAATTCTGTATATTGGTTTTTGATTTCGATGAACGGTGTTGCCGTGGTTACTAGAAATAGAAATTTCTGTGAAATTCTTTCAAAATGCTACTCCTCCTACAGTTTTGGTCTGATTTCAATATAACTTGGCACACAAGTAGACTACACTAAGATACACAATTCTGTTTATCGGTTTTTGATTTCGATGAACGGTGTTGCCGTGGTTACTAAAAATAGAAATTTCTGTGAAATTCTTTCAAAATGCTACTCCAAATACAATTTTAGTCTTATTATAATATAAATGTGGCATGCAAGTAGACTGCACTAAGAACATAAAGAGACTTAATCAAGGATCATTATTCTATTTATTGCTGTTGAAAAGTTTCAATTTCCAACTGCTTAAGTACTTTTCTCTTCCTTTGCTATAAGTACAAACCAGTAGAGCTTCAGTCTCGACAGAGACTTCTGGTTTTTCAAACCCAACGGCATGTATGTAATCCACTGACCGCGCGTCGACCCTTGATGACGTCACAGAGAAATTACGTGGAACGTTTATCCATATGAACATCTATGACCTCTTGACCCCGCACCTGTATTTATACAGTTATAAAAACGCTTGCTTTCAGTAGTGTTATATAAAGGAAAACATTTGCAAATGTAAATATATAGGAATATATTGAAAAAAATCTTTTAAAAATCTTCTTCTCAAGTACAATAAAGCCATGATTGGTCATTTTGATATGGAAGCATCCTCAGGTAGTGTAGATTCAAGTTTGTCAAATCATGACCCCCCGGGGGTAGGGTCGGGCCACAATGGACGATCAAAGTTTCACATAGGAATATATAGGCAATTTTTTAAAAAAATCTTCTGATGAAGAACAACAAAACCATGACTGGTCATATTTAAATGGAAACATCCTTGGGTAGTGTAGATTCTCCTTTGTTCAAATCATGACCCCCGGGGGTAGGGTGAGGCCAAAATGAAAGGACAGATTTATAGGAAATAAAGCCAAGGTAAGTCAAAAAAATATTTAAGCATTCTTAGTGTAGATTCAAGGTATTTCAAATAATACCCCCCTCTCTTTTAGGAGTAGGTTGGGACCACTAGCTTTTCACAACTGGATTGATTTTGGCTTTTTCCTAGCCACAGTGCTCAGGTGAGCAATGTGGTCCCTGGGCCTCCTATTAAACTATATAGCTGTCAAATCTTTATGCAACAACAAAGTATACTCAGGTAGAATCTATGAAGCAAAATATATTGAACTGTGAACAAAGCTGAGGCTTATATAGGGGGCTTGAGATGTATATTCCCAAAGAAACAAATATGGCGGATAAAGATAATTGTATCGTTTCCTTTTTTATATTCCCCCCAAAATAAATCTTTACTATAAATTTGAGTATTAACAAGTCCTTTGGATGAGACTGTATGAACTGGACTAGAATTATAAAATCTTGTTAGTTGATGCATCCTAGGAACTCATGTTATATTGTCTCTGAAGTAGCTACGTCACAATGACCTACTTTTTGAATTTGCAGACATTCGTTTTCAAATTGCATATCTTGGATAATTTGAAGCCCAGACATCAAACTTTTAAGCTTTAATATGCATTCTATGCATTAAAGGGTTTGAAAGTACAGTTGTATGTGATCCAATGAGTAGGTCACTGTGACCTACCTTCTGAATTTAATGGCTAATCATTTTCAAAATGTTTTAGTTTGTTTCAGTTTCTTAAGTTAAGAATCAAATTTAGTAAGCTTTGAAATATATTTATGAAAAGGGTCAGAGTGACTTAATTACTTTTTGAATTCTGCAATTATACATTTTTAAATTGGTTAAAAATTTAAAATACATAATTTGGACAGTGTGAAGCCTAGAATGTTAAAACATTACCAGCTGCTGCATCCAAAGGTGTTGGAGTATGTCAGCTAACAGAGTAGTTCAGTGAAATATTTTGTGGAATTTTGTTAAATATTTCAGATACTACCAGTAGGTGGCTTAGAATCATCAAAATTTTTCAGTTGATGGATAAATAGTCCTGAAAGTGGTTCAATCAAAAAGTAGGTTGCAGTGACCTACTTTTAGAATTTAGCCTAATATGCTGTAACTTCTAGTGCCTATTAAACTATAGTTTCTCTTTAAGCTTTTCCAATGAAACTAAATTTCATAACTCCTAGCGACTTAAAAAAACCTTATGATGTAGAGCATATTCAAATGAATTATGCCCTCGGATCGAAAGATCTTGGGAGTATATTGTTTTTGTCCTGTCTGTCTTTTAATTGTCAACTTTAACCTAGCCCATAACTATTGAATGGGTGGGGCTATGGCTTTTATATTTCACAGGTGTATTCTTTGTGACAAGACCTTTCTTTGGGTACCACCAAATTTGACCTCTTGACCTTAGAGTTTGATCTACTTCAGCAAAAAAATGCCACACTTTAACCTTGGGCATAGCTTTTGAACAGTTAGAGCTGAGGGCTTTCAAACTTCACATGTGTATATATTGTGACAAGACCTTTCAGCTGGTATAAATATTTTCTACCTTGACCTTCGAATTTGACCCAATTTAAAAAATACTTTAACCTTGGTCATAACTTTTGAACAATTAGAACTAGGGCTTTCATATTTCACAGGTGTATTCCTTGTAAAAAGAACTTCCTTTAGGTATCAATACTTCTGACCTTGACCTTTGGAGTTTGAAATGCATTTGAGAGAATTCAACTCTTGCTATAAGCTGCCATACATGGGGCATTAGTGTTTCACAAACACATCTTGTTTCAAGGTAAGACTGTGAATGTTAGTTCTGAATTTCATTTATTGCTCAGTTCTGGATAACATGCATAAAATGGTTTCCTATAGTTCTCTTTGAAGATTTGCATCAAAATTCTATACAGTTAGTTCTATCAATAAAACTTTAAAAAACCAGAAATATGTCCATAGGACATGAATGCCCCACCGAGGGTATATTAGTAATGCAACATGAAAATTTTAGTAGTGTATGAAAATTGATCAGAATATCTTGAATAGAGATGCAGTTGAATATGTATCAGCATATAAAGTTTGACATTAATTATTTTAAAAGTGAGGTCAAGGTCAAAGGAAATGCCAAGGTCAACTCAGACAATGTTGATGTAGTTGAAAAGCTTTCATCAGTATGTATCAGCTTATGAAGTTGAAAAAAATATTATAAATGGTTTCTTTAAAACTGACTTAAACACAATTTGATAAAAGTGAGGTCAAAGTCAAATGAAAGGTCAAGGTCAAAAATTTTGATGCAGTTGAATTGCTTACATCAATATGTATCAGCATATGAAGTCTGAAATTAATTTAGGAAAAGTGAGGTCAATGTCAAAGCAAGGTCAAAAATGTTGATGCAGTTGAATGATTTCTTTAAAATTGACTTAAACACAATTTGATAAAGTGAGGTCAAGGTCAAATTAAAGGTCAAGGTCAAAAATGTCGATGCAGTTGAATTGCTTACATCAGTATGTATCAGCATATGAAGTTTGACACTGACTTAGGAAAAGTGAGGTCAAAGGTCAAAGGAAAGGTCAAGATCAAAAATGTTGATGCAGTTGAATAGCTCTCATCAGCATGTATCAGCATATTAAGTTTGATTAAAATATCTTAGATGGTTTCCTCAAAACTGAGCTAAACACTTATTTAAGAAAAGTGTGGTCAAGGTCAAAGGAAAGGTCAAGGTCAAAATGGTGATGCAGTTGAATAGTTATCATCAATATAATATCAACTTGTGAAGTTTGATAACACCATCTTGAATGGTATGTTTAAAACTGAGCTAAACACTTGTTTAAGAAAAGTGAGGTCAAGGTCAAAGGAAAGGTCAAGGTAAAAAAAAATGTTGATGCACTTGAATAGCTCTCATCAATGTTTATCAGCATGTGAAGTTTGATGAAAATATCTTGGATAGTTTCTTTGAAACTGAGCTTTGAACAGAGCTAAACGCAAAGTGTGACGGAAGGACAGCTAAACGGAACGACAGAAGACGGCCATGACAAACACTATATGCCCCGGCCATATTCATGGCGGGGCATAAAAACTGTCAATTTTGAGGTCAAAGACAAAGGTCTTTTTTTTTTTATTTAAATTGCATACATAATTTTCAAATTATATCTTAAAGTTATTTGTAAGGTTTAGCAAGGAAACTTTACAATTTGTGTAGGTCATGAATTTTTTACTTAAAAGAAAATGACTAAAGGCCACAATCTGAAACGTCCAGGTTGACTTTTATGCTTCCACCATCCTTTTTAGCTCACCTGAGCCGAAGGCTCAAGTGATCTTTTCTGATCACATTTTGTCCATGGTTTGTCCGTCTGTAAACTTTTCACATTTTCGACTTCTTCTCAAGAACCAATGGGCCAATTTGAACCAAACTTGGTACAAAGCATGCTTGGGTGAAGAGGAGTATACATTGTTAAAATGAAGGGCCAAGTCCCCTTACTAGGGGAGATAATCAAGAAAAGACAAAAATAGGGTGGGGTCATTAAAAAATCTTCTTCTCAAGAACCACTGGGCCAGGAAAGCTGAAACTTAAGTGGAAGCATCCTTAGGTAGTGTAGATATTAAATTGTTAAAATCATGACCCCCAGGGGTAGGGCAGGGCCACAATAGGGAACCCAATTTTACATAGAAATATATAGAACAAATCTTTAAAAATCTTCTTCTCAAGAACCACTTGGCCAGGAAAGCTGAAACTAATGAGAAAGCATCCTTAGGTAGTGTAGATAATAAATTGTTAAAATCATGACCCCTGGGGGTAGGGAAGGGCCACAATAGGGAATCCAAGTTTTAAATAGATATATTTAGGAAAAATCTTTTAAGAATCTTCTTCTCAAAAGCCACAGGACCAGGAAAGCTGAAACTTATGTGGAAGCATTCTGCATGGGGTAGTGTAGGTTCTAAAGTATGAAAATTATGAAAGGGAAGGGGGTAGGGGGCACGACAGGTATAGCAAGAGGGGAAATCTGCTAAAGAACTGCATCACCCAAGTTACTCATGTGAGCGATGTGGCCCATAGGCCTCTTGTTTCTCTCTCCAAATCTTCCTCCCTCTTCTTTTTTCCCCAAATGGGTGACTCAAATTCAAACTAGCTTCTCAATCTTGACTCTCTTTTTGATTTCTTACCATTTTACAATCCAGAAAACTGTGTTATAACTGAGGCAGTCAATACTGCTACAGAGTAAGTTAAATAGTAATCACCTTGTAATGAAGTGATAACAACAGACTAGAATACTTTATATTTTGTCTTTATTGGTATTCCTTTGAGATTTTCTGGACAAACTCCACCAAAAAAGTTAAAAAAGAACCCCTAACACAAACTAGCTGGCAATGACCATCTTGACAGGCCATTTACATAGAGACAGAAGTCAGATCTTAGTGAAAATGCACCTCTCTGGTTTATATGGAGTACCTGAAGCACTAGTTTAACATATTCCTTGTCCACAAAAGACTAAGTACCAGTCTTGATAATAAAATGTACTTGTTTCTATAAATAAGGGATATATTTTTTAAAATATTTAATGATGATTTTATAGAAAAATTTAAAAAGAGATATGGATTGCAATACCTTTTTAAATAAAAATTTTAACAGTTTTATCCCCTGTAATTTTTGTCCTCATCAAGCCTGGCACTTCATAGAAGTCTATAATACACCATATTACATAAGATATTGTTGACAATATGTATTAACAACAGGAATGTGTTCTTGCCCTTGTCATGCCAGAAGAAAACGGTCAAAATGATGTAATTACGCCATGACCTCGATTTCTTATAAAGCTGCCTGATCCGGTATGACAGACAAAATGATATTAAAATGCATTTCATGTAATACAGTGACTACAAATAAGAAATGAACAAAAATACTTTTTAAAAAATTCTGAATTTTACAACTTGTTCTCAATTGTTTCGTTTTTTTTAATAAAAAGATACAAATATTACATACAAATTTGTCTGCTAGTGAAATCGTTTGTTTTGAAAACTGAGAATTTCTGAATATAATGATGAATGGATAGATATGTATATTGCCAACTGATGCATGGGCAGCAATGACTGAGATCATGTTATCAAACATTGTACATGTATATATAACTGGCCACCAATTCTGGCCAATCAAATTTAAAACACACAAATAAATACCATACATTCAAGCATAACTTATTGTATAATTATTTACCTTGTCAATATATACTCATAGGAAACTTAACTGTAGTTTTATAACTTCACAAAAGACCTTGCACCAGACCAATTTAAAAAAAGAATTTTGCTTTTAAATGCAAAATTGAATTAAAATCATTGTTTCATTAAATAGAAAATTGCAATCACAAAGGAAAACTAGACAGAAAAAAGAGGTACCACTGCATTTTTGGTCTGTTTGAGTATTTTTGGTCTTCTATTATAAGGTGTTTTGTTATTATCTGTCAACTAAAGACATGTAGCATTAAAAGCAAGCAACCATACAAGATACATGTATATAAAGCCTTCAAACGGGATCTGTACAGGAGAACATTAATATGGAATCAAACATAGCTTAAAAGAATTGATTTGTAATTTCATAAGTAAGAGGGCATAATTCGTAAATCACAGCACAATGATTTTTAAATGTCTAAAATTAAAACAACAAATTAAATCAGAATCATCGTATTCCTGGTCATGATTTGTTGGGACAGCTTACTATTGTACAACAAGAGTGGCCTCCCCTTCAGTTTGTTCATATTCTTTGCAATGCATGAAAAATTAAAAAATAGTCCTATTTACATCCAAGTATAAAAACAATGCTATCACATGAAATTATGATGCACAAATTAATGAAAAAGCAAATTTTGATATTTACCACAATAAATACACACAATGCACAAAGCTGTCATGAAAAAAAATTCATCACCAATATCCCTAGGTCAATATGAAATTTTATCCCTAGGTCAATATGAAATGATATCGAGTGTATGACAACTGCCTGGGAATCAAATGTGTAGAACTAGTATAAAAATAGCAAACAAAGTATCCCTGATACACTTCTGAAAGGCCTTTTAAAAACATCATTCATTGCAAAGAATTTCAAAAGATCACAATAATTTCATTGCACTAGCAAGGTGCCCCCTAAGAATGGCAGTGTGGGCATTATCTGTACTGGACTCTCGGCTGGTTGTTGGAGAGATTCATGGCTGGCATTTCTAACTCCACCAGTAGGGGGAAATGGTCTGAGGAGACGTGAGGGTGGGGGCATCCCACCACCTTGTTCTGTCGGAACCACTCCTCATCCAGTGGTCCAAGGAGACCAACCAGATTCATATGCTCTTTAGAATAAAAGATGTAGTCAATAATTCCCTTAAAGTCGTACCTACAAGAGAACAGTTTAAATTTTAAATGTGTTTACTGTTAAGTCCTCTCTCTCTCTCTCTCAAAAAAAAATACATTGGTAAATAGTTTTTTAATCCTCCTACCCCTTCCCCTCAAAAAGAAATTAAAATTTCTAAAATTGCATTTATACACATGAAACACCTACGTGTAATTGGTAAATGGCATGATGTCTTTTTCATAGGCTGTGTTTAATTTGAAGTCGTGACAAAACGAGTCTTTGTCGGTGGACGCGTGGATTTTCTGCAGGGCATCATCGTATCCGATGTCTTTGAAGTCCATGTGTGTGCGAGCTACCTTTCCTGAGAGGAGGTATTCTACAACACCTGCAAAAGACAGAATAGTCAAAACATTACTTCAGAATGCGAAGAACATAAACAGTTAACAGAACCAGGTGTAAAACATGGCATCGAGACACAGAATGTCGCCACAAAATGTTGACATCTTTGTTAACACAAAAGCCTTTGTGGACTGTGGTAAAACATAGTTGTGAACAGTGGACTGGTCGTGTACATCATAGCCAAACATGTTAATGATGTAAGCTTAGCTCTACAACACCAAACCTTGTCGTCATGCACCAAGGTGGTCACCCTACACATAAACAGATCAAAGCTGCCTAAAAGAAACCAGCAAAAACACTGCTAAAGTGCTACATCTAGTACTTCTGATATCATGAAGAAAGAATCTTCTTACATCAAAATAATGATAATATTATTGCACATAATAAAGATAGCAATGCATCAGATAAATCTTTTCCACTCAGATACAATCAATAAGGACACATTCTGTCCACCCACTCCTTTATCAGTCCTGGTATAAAAAGAAATCAAATCATTCACTAAATTTATGTACCAGGTAAAAGTGTATGTGATCAAGTGATCCATCATTTCTCCCTCCTAACAGACAATACACAGACTACTGAGAGGACAGTCTAGTGTACCTTTACTTCAATGTACTGTATCCCTGGAACCAAGATCTCTACCTGACAGGTAATCTGCTCAGGTGTAACAGGTGAGACTCGTCACACAGACAGAGAGCAACATAAGGTCATGACCCCCATGAGAATCAACTTACAATTATCTATCATTTCTAAAAAGATCAAGAAGTCCGATTTATCAATGGCCGGGATACAGGTTACATGGGAATATAGACAATTGATGTTAATGACACGAGTGTGGTCTGTACAATCACAATTACACCAACTTAACTGTTTATGCTTGATAACATTTAACATAACTTATGTCAATCTGATCTTTTGTTTAATTGCAAGTGAAAAAGAAATGAAAACAAGTCCCATCATAATGGAGTCAGTCTGTAATCGGCAAGGACAATAGTCATCAATAACTCCCTTATTTAAAAATACAGCAAACATTTTACTAAACTTTATTTCTTTCTCTGAATTTAATCAGTACACAGGTGTAGATGAAAAACAAATTTTCCTTTATCAGATGATGAGATTTTACATATGATTGATAAGTGATATCAGAACATCATCTTTATGTCCTGTTAGATGGTGAATAAACAGTACGTTAAAATGCGTACATCAAATGCTAGGATGGAAAAAATATATAGGCTGAAAGCATCAGATTTATTTCCTAACTGGCTTGTAACATAAGATTTGATTGGTTTGTAAGCTAGGTGTATATTTTTGTAAGCCAGGAGTAAAATAATGTGACTTCAAAATGCATTGTTTCTGTATCACAAAAAGCAAACTAGAACTGTCCAAACGGGACAAAATACCCCCCGCTGGGTTTTTCCATAATAAAGATATGTATCAGACACAAATTATGAAATTTTTCTTCCAGTGACCTTGAGCTTCCCAAAATGACCTTGGGTCAAGGTCATGACACACCCTTGGGTCATGGGCAATCTTTGAGTATAATGAGAACCTACCAAGTTTTTCCATAAGAAAGATATGGACCGGACACGAATTATGAAATTTTTCTTCCAGTGACCTTGAACTTCCCAAAATGACCTTGGGTCAAGGTCATGACACACCCTTCGGTCATGGGCAATCTTTGTGTGAAATGAGAACCTACTAAGTTTATCCATAAGAAAGATATGGACCGGACACGAATTATGAAATTTTTCTTCCAGTGACCTTGAACTTCCCCAAATGACCTTGGGTCAAGGTCATGACACATCTATGCATCATGGGCAATCTTTGTGTGAAATAAGAACCTACCAAGTTTATCCATAAGAAAGATATGGACCGGACACGAATTATGGAATTTTTTCTTCCAGTGACCTTGAACTTCCCAAAATGACCTTGTGTCAAGGTCATGACACACTCTTGGGTCATGGGCAATCTTTGTGTGAAATGAGAACCTACCAAGTTTATCCATAAAAGATATGTCCCAAACATGAATTTTGAAATTTTTCTTCCAGTGACCTTGAACTTCCCAAAATGACCTTGGGTCAAGGTCATGACACACCCTTGGGTCGTGGGCAATCTTTGTGTGAAATGAGAACCTACCAAGTTTATCCATAAGAAAGATATGGACCGGACACGAATTATGAAATTTTTCTTCCAGTGACCTTGAACTTCCCCAAATAACCTTGGGTCAAGGTCATGACACATCCATGCATCATGGGCAATCTTTGTGTGAATTAAGAACCTATCAAGTTTATCCATAAGAAAGATATGGACCGGACACGAATTATGAAATTTTTTCTTCCAGTGACCTTGAACTTCCCAAAATGACCTTGGGTCAAGGTCATGACACACTCTTGGGTCATGGGCAATCTTTGTGTGAAATGAGAACCTACCAAGTTTTTCCATAAAAGATATGTCCCAAACATGAATTTTGAAATTTTTCTTCCAGTGACCTTGAACTTCACCAAATGACCTTGGGTCAAGGTCATGACACACCCTTGGGTCGTGGGCAATCTTTGTGTGAAATGAGAACCTACCAAGTTTATCCATAAGAAAGATATGGACCGGACACGAATTATGAAATTTTTCTTCCAGTGACCTTGAACTTCCCCAAAATGACCTTGGGTCAAGGTCATGACACACCCTTAGGTCAGGGGCAATCTTAGTGTGGAGTAGTAGATTCTAATGTCCCTCTGTAGGAAAGATATGGACCGGACACGATTGCAAAGACAGACGGACAGACGGACAGACAGACAGCTGGACAGATGGACAGACAGACAGACAGACGGACAAGGTGATTCCTATATACCCCCCCAAACTTCGTTTGCGGGGGGTATAATAATAGCATGACATTACAGTGCATTACTGCATGCAGTAAATTTCAAATTTAAAACACCTATTGGTAATCAATTTATAAAGCAATTGCTTTTTAACTTTGGTTAACAGAGATTTACGTCATACACACCTGAGTCTGGGAGTGAGTTGAGATCACCACAGAAGATGAGTGGGACAGAGTTAACATCGACTGGCCCCGGGCTAGTGCTGGTGAAGTTCTCCTCAATGATCTGCTTCAGTCGCCACATCAACATCATGGTCTGGATCAGCTTAACATCAGAGAACTCGGGGTCCCAGTGGATGTGGGCGGTGGCCACTACTAGGGGCTGCTTCACCTGAGCTTCACTCAGAGCACCTGCTAATTAACCAATTATTAACAATTAAATAAAGATGTATATTGCACACAGTTTGAAATTCAAGTCCTGCAATATTGGATATTTTATGTTGACAGATTGAGAACTTTGATGTAAGGGGATATTTCAATTTTAATGATGGTTTCCATCACTTTTTATTTCCAAACTTAAATAAAATGTTTTGTGATTAATATTTTCTCTTGTATGAAAGACAAACAAAAAATGCATGTTTGTTTCCACCAGACATGATACAGACATCAGTGAGTACAGAGTAAACTGACCATTGTCGTAGGCCCCCTCCTTGGTTTCCAGCATGGCCGCCAGTCCTATGTTATCCTTGGTCATCACTCGGTTCAGCATGTCATCAGAACCCTCAGCGTTAGCCATCGCCAGCTGATTAAACTCCACACAGTGTTCCTTTACCAGATGGAACCTGGGAAAAAGAAAACAAACTTAAGTCTTGGATGTACAACTTATACCATCTTAACAGTATACTAACAAGTGCTAAGTTACTCAACCATACTACTTTGGTGAAATGAGTAGTTTACTGGGTCTGCTTTCATGTACATGTAAACACTAATGAGTAGTTTAATCTGTGCTTTTCAAAAATTCTGATTATTAGATTTTAGTAAAAAATAAAAAAAATTTGAAGTTTATATGACTGTCTGTCTATTTTCAAATTGGTGGAATAAAGTGATCCTTTATATGTGTACTACTATTGATTTCTGAAACACCCATTCTAATAAACTATCAGCTAATTGAAAATGGTAATTTATTTTGAATGCTCTAATTCTATCCTTAGCAATAACTTAATAGTTTACAGAAACATTACTAAGTTCAGTGGGGACTGTGATTTATACACAACTAACGAAACGATTTTTTTTCAGTCTATAATTGTACAGCATAAAAATTATGTACCAGTACTTTTCCACATGGCTGTTTTTGTTCAGCATTTGTAATTTCTTCATGGATATATTGGGTACATGAAAATTTCTGCATAGGAACCTAGTTTAAAATATTTATTCATTTATCATTTATTTATAAATATAAAAATATATAGCAAGAAAGGTCAAAATTTTTGACAGATGATCCATGTAATGAATGTGCGTTTCTTTTATTTCAAGTAAAAATAGAGGATTTAAATGTCATTTTCCATAAATTTGGCACATTATTTATTGTTGGCCTATTTATAGAACCGTAAAAGGTCATTGGGCAGCACTTCATATGTCTACATATTTCCATATGTGTTCTATATAACACTGATAAGGAAACGCTTAAGTGATTATGACACTAAATGACCGAGAAGAAGGCTTTGGTAGAGAAGGAAATATAACAAAAGATTGAAGAACATGCATGATGTCTGACTGTCACAAGCATGAGAGCCTGCTAAGGCAGTATTTAGCTCACAGCGCTAAACTGGATAATTATTCAGTTTCCGAAAAAAGACATCATTGTGTTCCTACTTAGTGTGAGTGAACTTTAAAGAAAGACTGAAATTATAAAAAAAAAAAAAAAAAAGAAAACTTAATGTTCTTTTAGCCCCCGGATAAAGATAAAATATTAGATATGACTTTTGTTCTTATGTGTTTTTGTCATGCTTGTAAACTTGATGACAAAAATATAAGTTTATTATCTATATTTCTAGATAATTAACCTTTTTTATGTCATAAAATCTCACCCACATTGCACCTATATAATAAGAAACTGAACAAAGAAGAGTTTTTTTTAGCTGCATTAAACTTAAGTCACCCAAAGATTGTTCATTACAAATATCAAAATTATATGCAATTACCCTGGTACAACATTTTGATAAAATAAAATCATAAAATAGAAATATTATTTTCTTCCAATATAATAAAATAAAACAATGAATCATGCGACTAAAATTTCAAATTTCTCATTAAATACAATAACTGTGTTGTTGATAATGCCAGCCCCTATGTTTCTAACCAGAACTGATCCCGTTTTATGTGGATTTATGTGTTATGTTCAGGAGTTCAGGCGTAATTACTCCTGCTGTTATTTTTTGTAATTACACGACCAGGACTAGATTTTGAGCTGTTACACTTGATTGACATTTCTGGGGGAGACTCCTGCTAGGATTTCAGAATCTCATTCAGGAAGCACCAAGTCTTTGATCAGAAATCTACATCCTTAATAGACTCCAACTAAGACCTGGCAAAATGGGAAATATTGGATTTCTGAGGAAGCAGAGCAGGGAACCTTACTCTGTTAAAGGTCATTTTGATTATTGAAATCTCCTGTATTAAGCTTAATATGAACTTATAACTATCATGATTTACCCCCTCCCAAAAAAATAATCAACCCTACCAGAACTGCTGCCAGGCCATTACATAGAAGTACTGTAATACGTACAATGGATAATTTCTTCTTTTTATATTTTTGTGTACCGGTATGGAAGTTTTGTAATTTTCATTTGATCTAAAATACTTGGGAAACAGAATTAAAAATACCCATACTTTTACTTAATTAAGCATTTTCTTGGACTAAATTACAAAGTTAATAAAGGAGCTATTCACTGTTAAACGCCGGGTTTTAAGTACATTTTGTCAGGTTATTCTGGACACACCCACTAATGTACATTCTCTAATTATTTGCGAAGTGATATAAAATGATATATGTGAATATATATTTTTGTGTAAAAAAAAAAATTACACCTGCTTATGCAAATATGCAGGACAAAAATTTGAAAGTTTTTTATGCCATCTACATCACACAACTTAGTAGTAATGAAACCTGAACATGTTTTAGTTATGAGTAATAAAAATAAATTCATAAATGAACAAACAATTTCACACCTTTGATTGTAAAATACACGTTTTCACAACAACGGGGCTTATTAACACGTAATTCTATGATAGATGAGGTGTTGACAGCTTGGCTTTCCCCACATTTTACACCAGTTTTGACACCTACTTGCTGGTCTTGTAGAATATTGCACATCCATCCACATGCTTTCTGTCGGCTTCCGTCATTGTCCGAGCACGTGACTTTGCTGAGAAGATTCCATCGTAACCGTCTCTTTGAAGTTCGGGCAGGAAGAAGTTATGGAACTGGTCCGTCTCCACTTCCTACAAATACAGACTCTACCATCAGTTTTTGTTTACAATTTGTGTCATCGATTTATTGCACATTTAAAGATAATTTTCTATGTTCAATTTATGATAATGATCAAAGCACTTTAAAAGTGAATTTGATCAGGAGAATCAGTACGATTTGATTGAATCTAACGACTAACATCACTAGCTATGTTATAGTGTGTCATTTCTCCGATCAAACAAACATCTCCCACACCTAACATGCGGCAATTTATTTCCTAATGTGATAAATGACTGCTAAATAAAACAGATCAAAGAGACCATTGTTCTTCTGACATGAGTTTATTTTATTTTAGCGATTTGTTAATGAGATTCGTTAATGACTTGTTCACGTTATCAGAACAGCTGATTGGTTATTGATGGATGGTAACTGTTAGATTTCACTGCTGTCGTAGAACAGACTATCAGTATGTCCCTGATTTCCTAACCTTGTTATTACATTTCCCTGCCTCATCAGAAGTTACACGAGGACAGGAATAGAAATCAAACACTAACACCGAGAACACAAATACGATCACTGAACAAACAGCGCTGGCTTATGTTACAACACCCTAATCAGCGCATCTCAGCTTGCTCTGGCCACACAATCCTAGAAATTCTGCACCCCTTATACCAGCTAGGACATTTGAGGTCTAACTCAGCAAAACATTGTAGGAGAAAAAAAAACATTAAAATTTATCAGGTCATAAATCCACACCTTTTTATCATTTCACCTGGCATATGTTTTTTTTATTTTTTTTTAATTTTTTTTATAAATGCATGAAAAGTATGTTTATTTCCCATATGCTAAAGGTGAACCAGTACTTTCTTCAAATAAGCAAGGTGTGTCAAATTCTGCAAGGAGAATAGAAAATGCATAATGAAGCAATTGCATGGCTTAGAATTGCATAATGATGCAATATCATGGCTAGTTCCGTAACCGATTGTAAACAATGGCAGGCTACCCCAATAGGCAAACCACATCCCTGACAAGAAACAGTCAATTGTACTATTACTTTAAGTCAACAGGACAACATAAATACTTCAGATCCTTAATTTGTAGTTTTGGCCATCCTTTGTAAATTATAGTTTTACAAATACTTCTTCAACTTGACATAAATTTTGATGTGAACTTGCTCTCATGTTTTTCTTCAACAGCATAGCATTTATTTTCCCCATTCTACAGCTTATCTTTAAACATTCATTTCAATATCTTAAATTTATTCTCAAGGTTGAAACTTTCATATTTAACTTCCACTAAATCCTACATACAAATGCTTAAACTCTGTCTTATTGTCTGAAATCTTTTACATCTGATTACTTTATATATATACGTCCTATGAGAGCCATTGACCCGCGTGTTTATTGTTTTGGTGGCCTGGTTCCCTCACCTGTAGACTGATGATGTCCGCGGCGCCGTGCCTGATCTCGTCGATAATGCCTTTCTTTCTGTACTCCCAGTTCAGGGCCCAGGTAGGGCAGTAGCCGTACATCTGACGCGTACAGTACTTATCACACAGGACATTGTAGCACATCACCGTGAAAATGGCTGCAATAAAAACACATCTACATAAGTCACCGGAGTGATCAAGTTCCCCCTCCCTCATCCCAAAAAATGATTATGTCCTGAATTTATTATACTCGCTTCTGATTGGAATTACATCTTCAATTCATAAATCATTATTTAAAAAAGAAAGTCTTTTATATTAAATCTACCAGGGTTTGAGCAGGTGTGATTCTGAAAGTTAATATCTAAAGTTTGTTTCAAGTTATCAAAGCTAATTAACATTTTCTATTGGGTGTTGGCTGACATACATAGCATAACACTGTGAATTACAGCATTTAACTTATAGAATTCATCTTACGATCTACCGTGTATTTCACAGTTGGTTTCTCAATATCAGATACTTATTTAAATCTTGGTATGTGCATAAAATTCTATTTTGATAAGAAAATGTCTCTTTTGATTGATTTCTTTTGACGAGGTGTATTTATATCAACTGTTTACTCATAGCATTGATGCATTTTAAACCAATATTTCAAATTGCTTGGAACAAAAGCCACACCATTATAAATCCCAGGACATAAATACTGTCAATAACCAAACGCCAATATTTGGATACTTGTTCTGGGAGAGGTATTTTTGTACATGCTAGAATTACGTGCTAACTGAACAGGAGGTAGATATCTGTTTATATTGGTCAGTCCACAACCAATCAATATCTCATTTTGCTACCATCTTGTTATTTCAGGAACTATACCCAACAACATCTAGAAAACCCTAGCTTATCAGACAGAATCAAGTGAAGTTAGGGAATATTATTCATTTGATTAATTTTCATTATTCTATAATCATTTTGTTGAAAAAGTCTCCTAGGCAGACTCACAACAAAATGCAGCCTAAGTAAACAACTTTATAGTGATGGTAAACATATTTACATGGAGTAAATGGACAGAAAATGTCATAACAGCTTTGACCTCAAAGGTCGGTCCCTGACGGCACTTCATTGCTAACACTTGACAGGTAGAAATATTATTAATTAATTATTAACATTAATTACATCAATCTTATCTACGCATTCATTAAAACTTTCTTTCCTCACACTATATATTTCTAAAAAGAATGTAAAAAAAAAATGCTGCCTACTTAATGCCTATTTCAAATTGCCAAGTTATAAAATCTCAAAAAATTAAATGACTGCAATTCATTTTTTTTCCCAACTTTGACCGCAAAAGTGTGATATTTTTAATCAAAGTACTAAAAATACTATTATATGATAAATAAATGATCCGTACAGTGACATGAATGAAGAGTTTCTGTCAAATAGAGTAGCAGTAAACAGCCCTGCATACTTTATTACATTCCAACTTTAGTGTCAGCTTAAGTAACCATATAAAAAACTAATGGCTCGTCAGTAGAATTAACATCGGTATTTTGACAGAGAGCTTTAAAGAAAAAACCTCCATGTGTTTGGATGATAATATCATCTTTCTCCTACCAAGGAGGAATGATAACATTTACTGTCTGTCTCCCGATCGTATTACAGACCAGAAGTTCAGTAATACCAGAGGTATGTAGACCTTACTGTACTGACTACTACCTGTACACGACCACGGCTTGGGGAGACTTACCACTGGGCCGACTTTTGTCTGCTGCCTTTACTGGGATCCAGGGTCGTACAGAGGGGGCAGAGGAATTGACTGAATAATACAAAAATATACATATATATACGTAATTACGCAAACATTTAAAATCAGATATTGTAATTCAATGAATAAATGAATGATGCACAAGACATAAAATTCTGCAGATTCTGAATGTTATCAGAGATTGGGCAGAATTTCATGAAGTGGGTCAGCACATCACAGACATGAGTCAGGGTTAAAAATTACTTTCCTTACATCACACATATACTAATATATGGAATGGAATTTCTGATTTAATAAGCCAACTCAAATCTTGGCCAGAGGGTATGCTACAATAAAATTTGTGTAAATGAGAGAAAAATATATGATTCATCCCAAGATAAAAATCAGAATGTGGGTCCTAAAGACCATTTATTTTAAGTTCAAAGGCAAGGTTAAACTATTAGTAGGCTACAAACTCTGTTCTTTTAATCTGGAACAATGAAAAATAAATGAAGTATTTGTTGTCTTTGTCTGCCTTTATAATAAGGTGACTCCTAAAGGGGAAAAAAGCCCTCTGAGCAGCAGTGCAGTCAATTTTAACAAGTCTATACAATTTGACACCTGTCATTGTTTCACATCAGCTAAATAGAATCTAACCAATAATATCTAATCAAAATTCATACTACAGTAAGAAGTCTACACAGACAACCAATTATAAAAACATCATTTTCATATGCATTGTCCCTTTCTTTCTAAATTATACAACAAATTTTCCTTTGGAATCTATGATTAATGTAAAGGAATTAAAGCGTTTAAGTAAGATTACCCAAAGTAGTGCCAGTCTTGATGACAATTTCGTGTACAAATTAAACGTTACTAATTAAATGCCATGATGTCTTTAGTTGTGGATAATTACTAACTAGCTACAGTTTCCTGGTTCGGGAACTTATGTGAATCAAGGAAGAAATAAAGTAAACCACATTCTATAAAAATTATTCCTGATCTGCACAATTTTCTTTTAGAATATTGAAATCTGAGAGTATCTTAAGTCTGACAGTCATTTGAATCAATATACATGTAAGGTGCACTTTAACTGAAAATTGTATCTTCAATAAAAAACACATTTTAAAGTTTTACTTCAAACCATGCATACTCAGTATTTTTTTTAGTTTTCACATTTTCCTGTGTTTCATGAATGTTTTACTAAAAAGCATTCCCTCCCCCCCCCCCCCCCAACTCAGATCAAGGAGATTCAGCATTCCAGACATTTTCTACCGACCAGTTACACACTAAACAGACATAATGTACACAACATGTACCCTACAGTAAGTATGATGAATCTAGACATTGACTGTGAATGTCCTTGGTTTGGCATTGTCTGGAGGTACAGTTGTATAACAGGGTTGAAGCAGCCTTGATCAGTCACTACTTGAATTAGCTCTCCCTGAAGGTTGTGAAAGATCGGTAAAGATCTTACTACTAATTCTAATGACTTGGTGTTAATGATTGATGAGGAATTATAGTGCATTTAAGAATACATCATATGTCTGGATGTCTGACTCCAAATTCCCCACTCTCCACATAACCAGATGTTTTACCTGACTACCCTCGTTACCTATCGTACAATCACTGAACTGATTAACCCCCTCCCTGTCCACTGACCTAGTACCAGCAGTGAATTATAACATAAATAAAACATGTACTGTATATAGGGAATAAACAATTTTAGATTCCCAGATAGGGACAAAGTTATATCCTCAGAGCTTTAAAGATTCATAAAAATCTCTTTGTTATCAGGAAGTAGAGCATCTTAACTTTATTACAGAGTAAAGCTCGTCACACCTCATAAAACAGTTCACAGAAACCTGCAGCAAACCCATAAAACCCGCTGCATTATTCTTTTTCATTTCTAATAATGGATGGAATTTTTTAAACTGGGGCAGTTAAAACTGGGAGTGTTTCTGTTCGTAATAAGTCTGATTCCTACCGAATATACCGGTAATGTGTTCACAGGAGGCCAAAGACTCAAAAAACATCACTCATCATAATGCATATGTACTGACGTAAATACTAAGTAGGAGCATAAACGTAGTTTTCACTATGAACACGTCATAAATGCTTATTAAACCCGATACACGCTGGCTGATGATGAGTAAATATCCTAATATACACGTGAATCACATATGAAACAGATGTTTCATTCTCCCCTTGAATTTTTCTATTACTTTAATATATTCGCATTTAAAATATTAAAACTTGATAATTAGACCAATCAATAAACTGTCACAAAAGCTGACACAGATATTTCATCATGAGAATAAACATAATTTCTTTCTTCTACTGTGAAACAGACTTTCTTTATAAAATTTTTATTAACCCATTTAAATTCAAAGGCATTAAGTTCTATAAATAAAATTTATTACTTCCATAAAATGTTTTTCTGCTGTACTTATTGATTTCTATAAATAAATAAAATTTACGATTTGAATATTAAGTTTTTGTGGAATTCATTGATACTTTTATATAACACTTTCATGTAATTTTTACCCCTTACTTTCCTCTTTTATTGGTGTCATTAAGTGAATTGTGACTTACATTTCTCCAGTTCTTTGGGGGGGATCATGTGAGTTTTAGGGATGGACTCGGTGTCCTCTGGAAGATAGAGCTGGTTTAGTAAGCTGTAAGCGGGTGGGTACACGTAGGGCCAGTAACAGTATGGCACAGTGAAATAGGGATTCGTTGTAAAAGGGGTCATCATATGATATGGCACCATGGGGGGTAAATAGGTGGACGTATTTGCATAGTTATCATCTGAGTCCTCCATGGGGGAGAGATCGTGATGGTAGTACACAGTGAACGTGACATCGGTGTCCGTTAGATCCACGTACACGTCGTCTGGGAGGGGCTCCTCCGTGGACTTAATGCCGATGTCAACTAACTGTTTGGGCGAGGCTTTAGCCCCCTGCTCCCCCGCACAGTCTGACTTTTCTGTTGAGCCGTTTGTGTCCATCTTTTCTTCAGTGGGGACCTCATCCTCTGCTGGATCCTCCCCTTTCTCCTGAGCTTCGAGCCCGTTCTCTCCCCCCTCCTCTTCATGGCTCTCCTGGTCTGTATCCTTAGTCTCGGGGGGCACCTGGAATGACTGGGCGAGTCCCCAGTCATAGTAATACTGGTAGTTGTAGTAGTACTCCGACAAGCACTGGGGACACTCAGAGGGCGGGCAGTCGTAGCGGATCAGAGGACAGCCAGTGGTGTACTGCGCTAACTTTTCCAGTTCCTCCGGACTCATGTCCGATTCCATTGTCTCGGGCTGCGAGTTGGAGATGTCTGAGTCACACTGAGACTCGGAACTCGAAATAGTGGACACCGTGTCACTCTCTGTGTCCTCCACATTAGAACCTTTGTCACTTTCATTAAAGTCATTACAAATAACCTGCACATTTTCACATTCAGCAATACTTCTAGGTTTACTACTGACTTGGTCAGAGTTTTCGGAGGAGTACGTGGCATTGTTTAGAACATAATCTGCCACAAATTTTGAGTTTTTTGATCGATTATTTCTTGCAAGATTATTAGATCCTACATGAAATTTTCTGTCTTTTCGGTGAGTTTTCTCTATGACTGAGATCAAGGCACTTAAGTTTTTAACGTCTTTTTTCGTTTTGATTTCCTTGCTACTGGCAATTTCCTCATCAGACAACAAACTAGCATCACTATTACTGGTCTTACAATCTTCAGAGTCCTCTCGCTGTTTAGACTTGTGCAGGGTATCTGCCAGGGTGCGCTGCTTTTGTTTAAGGGCTGCCTTTAAAGTGTCCTTTAACTGGATCACTATGGGGGTATTTGCTTTGGTTTGCTTACGTAATTGTTTTTGCTTCCATTTGTTGTTTTTGCCAGTTCTCTCCTTGAGACACTTTTTACAAGATGAGGGAGGGAGTCTGCACACATTATTTTGAGCGGTGGGTATGTCTTTGAAATCGAGCGGCAGAGCCCCGCTAATGCTCACAACTTCCCGCTTCACAAACATGGTTGTGTCTCCTTGCTGGCTATCCATTCTGTATAAAGAAATAACCACACACAATTAAAAAAAATTCACTCAAAAACATCCTTGTTTGGTTCAGAGAAATCTTTTATACTTAAGTAACTAACAGCTTAAAAAGAGAACACTTAGCAGGAAGAAACACACTTTCCTGCTTCTCTAACAAAGACATTCAAATCTGCCCTTCCTCTTTCAATACTGGGGGGTTGAAAATCACTCATCCATGTTTCCAGTTAAAAATACATACAAACACAAAGAAGGTCAGAGAAACTATGGCAGATTGTGCCTCATTTATAGATGATCATTAGTCATTCAGCGTGTTCACCTCCAGTTTCTTTGTTTGTGCGGGTGGATCAATGTCCCATAAAATTTCTACTAAACAAAGAGATCCCTAGCAGTTTGGTCAGACCTCTCACCATTGCTTGTCCTAGGGCCGTTTACTTTCTAAGACAATAATTACTGTAAACCAACTTTTATTCGCGTGCGAGAAATTTTCGCGAAGTTCGCTAGAGAGTCGTCATCGCGAATATTTCTCGTCGCGAACCGGTCCTTAAAGTGTATTTGTCTATTAACTACAGATCCAAAAAGGCTTGGTCGCGAAAATTAATCGTCGCGAACTAGTTTATCCCTATTAAATCGCGAAATAAAGTCGCCGCGAATAAAAGTTGGTTTACAGTATACACAGATACATGTTTACCTACCCAGAACAGCTCTGCATCACGTTAAGAATCCTGGTTGCCTGAGGTCAAATCCTCCAGGATATCCTGAGAGATTAGAGATGTGCATAAACCTGTATCTAATTATCACACGCGGGGGTGACTGGCTGGTCAGTTATAACAGCACCTCCACCAATGGCTGAGTGGTGACTCTAAGGGTCGGTAGCCTCCCGATGGCCCTCGGGGCAGACTCAGTTACATGTGCCACAAACAGTTCGGTCACTATACGCTGGTACAACACTGCAGTCTTTTCATATTCCTTCCTTATCATATAAACAAGGTAACCAAATAGGTGGAACGTCAAGCCCAAACACGGTAAATGATCCTTGTAAATGTTTTTTAAAAATATGAAGTCTGTATAAGCCAAGAGCAGGATAAACAATCTTGGTGAATAATAATCGGCTTTATATCCACTACAGGACCAGACTTGTGGGGAAAAAAATCTCTGTACTTTATACCAAGCAAACACGTGTTTGAAGGTGTACTACTATCACCTCGTAGTAATATCTCTTATCAAGCCATCAAATTCTCCTCATATCACTGCTTACTATAGCACTCCTTGTTATTTCTCTATGAGCTGTCATTATTCAGATTTCCTTAGTGAAGGCAGAACACTTCTGGCATTTGAGGTTACATTACCACTTAAAAACACGTGTTGTTATTTCTTCACCTTGCAGTTAGAACTGTGATCCTTGTTTGACAATTTCACGTCGTTTAAACACCTGAGTCTGACCTGTCAGTTCAATTCTGCTGATTGGCATCTAATGACACAATCCAAGCATCACCAATGATTACCTATCTAACAACTATGTGTATAGGTACTTGACTCACAAGAAATAGCTCTCCGGGGATATGATCACTGCTCAGGTAGTAGTATTCCTCGTGTAGTCCTGTTAACTACACCAGCCTAATTAAGACATTGTCTTCAAGGAGAGATACAAAAAACAGATAAGTTAATGTCTTGCTAGATGTGTTAGATAGCACTGAATAAATCCACTGACTGAGCCATGCCCGGAGCTATTCTCACAATAAAACAGGCAGCAATGTAAACATGGAAAAACCCTCCTCTGTCAACTGAATCTAGTATCCTATAGAAAATGGTGGAATCCACTTCTCTGCCAAGGGAAGGCACCTGCGCTGACGACATCATAATTAGCATCAGATCACATGACTTAAAGATGATAGCACAATAGAGGCTGCCCGAGATGGCTAATATATGCTAATTCATGTAATTATGTATAGTCACATGGTATTCTATGTTTATACAAGAAAAGACAGATTGCTTCTTGTTTTAATTAATGATATTGTCTGAAAAATATACATCAATAATAACGGAGAAAGGAATTCAATGTCAAATTCATCAGTCGTAATATATGTGTACTTTTGGAAAAACCAAACACACAAATTATTGAGAATTGTAATCTGGAACGCAATGTAGTGTAAGGAGCCAATTAATCTATAGGAATATTGGGTCAATGTTCTGACACAGAAAAACCAAATCTCTCTGGTCAATGACTTACAAAGTTAACATTGAATATCTTTGTCACTCTTTCTCCTCTCCAAGAAATCATTTACGTATGATAGAGTTTTCATGATCATTAAATCAGAGATAATTTACCACTTAACCTTCATTTCTTAAAAAATCTATAATCCCTGAAGGATGTTATTTTAAATGTATTTCAAATATTTGTTAAGTAAAAAATTGATAAAATTCGCCTTTCATTACCCCTGGGAGTAATGGAAATGATATTGTTTTGTCAGTAATATAAGCTGTAATGACTTTGTCATTCCCCCTACATCAATATTCATAGATCTCAAAGAGCAGGTTTTTGATGTAGTGTTATGTTGATTGTAGTTAAAAATTCAACAAATTCATGACTTACAAAAAATAAATATCACAGTATGAATGATTTATCTGTGTATAAATATGGCATTATATAATAATCAATGCCTATGAAATGTTACAAGTAAATACATATTCAATTAGAGTACTTTTAATCAAAGCAATACTAATTTTTTATAATTATTGTACGGTTTACATTACAGGTACAGACTCATTCTAGTTTCAAAAATATCCCCACGTTTTACATCTCTTAAGCATTAACTTTAATCTACAGAGAGCAAACCCATCTAAAACAATGCTACAGTTTTACCACAGTTTTATTCAAAAGCAAATTTAGAGGGAAAAGAGGGGAGAGAAAAATTGCTACCGCCATACGAGGCATTTAGCAAGTTCTTCCTTTTTTCATCTAGCTCAAAATAGAATTCCCTACATCATAATGCATTAGTGTGGGATACTAAAGAGTAAAATACATGCAATGTTAATAATTTCGATTCCTATTCATGTCTCAAAAAGACAAAAGTATTTTAACAAAGAATCTTACTATTTGATTTAAACAAAATCATAAAGATGTGAGCATTTCATTGAATTACTAGAGAATATTGTCATGCAAGCTGCCATTCATTAGGGTCGATATATATTCTAAAGGGAAATCAAATCTAACACATATTTACTTGTTTGAAGAGCTAAAAATGTTGTTACAATGGTACAATTGTAGCATGAACAAACATAAGCAAAGAAACAAATAAAAAAAGACTTTAAGAGAGATTATCTTTATGCAATTTAAAGTTGTGGTACATTGCAGATCTCTTTAAAAATTAAAGTACTGAAACAGTACTGAAAGACAGGGTCAAATTAACAAAGTTACAAAGTTCATATTTTATAAACCTCATAAATTTTGTAAATTTTTTATAGTTTTGATATTTTTCCCTTCTTAAAATCGAAAGAAATTAAAAATAAATTGTAACAAAATACAGATATTAAATCTATTTTTTAATAGATAAATCAAATTTAACAAGGTCCAAGTTAAAGTAACAATTTGGGAAATGAACAGGCATGCAGTAATGCTTCACAAAATCTGAATTTTGTCATGGAAAATCTTTAAATAAGTCTTTTGTTTGAGTTAACATGAGTATTTCAGAAATACCATACTTCCACTTTAGATTTTGACTGATGGTAAACTAATAGAAACGGTCACATGACCCCATCAAAACATCAGTAAGTATACAAATGTATTAGGTTCCAAATAGCCTTATGTTATTTACTGGATTGATTTCTTTATGAGTGAATAGAATAAATAATTTACAGCCATCTCCATAACTCAAAACAGTAGCAGCTTTACAATGACCCTTATCAATAATTAACACTAAGCCAAAGTGTGAATTGATTTTAGAGACCAGCATTAATTTTCTTGTTTTTAGATTATAAATTAATAATTTCTTTTTAACTCAGTCACAGTTGTCAAGATAATATGATCAAGACCCTTGTTCTATCAGAGATTCGTATTTTTTGTTTACTAAAGGACCGAAGCACACTAACATGCATGCCATCATCAAAGCATTGCCACTTTGGCCTGAAAATACAAAGGGCAAAATGGAGATTTTTTGCACAGTAGGTCAAATCAAAGTCAAGTTTTGAGTCACAATATCAGTTATCCTGGTATATTATACAGGTCTTGTGACAAGTTATATGTAAAGTTACAAGCAAGGGCACTCAAACGTTAATCCCAGCATCCCCTAGCAAAAGAGCACATTCATAATCCCCAATATAAATTATACGGTAATAACTAATGCACTCCACCCCCCCCCCCCCCCACACCCTCTCTCACACAAGTGGATTACTATATATATCCTCTCCAACTTTGTTTTCAGAGGATAAAAATCATTGCAAACATTCACCTACATTTCTGGTCCAAGTTCACACACAAGGCAAAATCCTTTTTCCTTAGAAGATATATATTCAATTCAGTGGAGCTGCACTTAATTGAAACTATAGAAGACAAATTGCTGAATACTTTTATAGTCAAGGTTAAACTTCTTTCATGTTTATTTAAAAAAAAAATACTTGCTTAGTCTTTAATGCAATTTTTATACAAATAACAAACTTTAACGTAAAATTCTAACATATTTACCTAAACCAGAAGTCTCTAACAAAACTGCAGGTCTATTGGTTTGTACTATTAACAATGAAAGCAATTAATAGAATTATGTATCTTAGTGTAGTCTATTTGTGTGCCAAATTATATTGAAATCACCATTTTGAAAAATTGTTAACAAATAGACAGACAATGGGCACCTTACTATTGCAAAGCTTTTCTGGTCTCTTACCAGTATAGCTAAAAACAAGTTGATTTTCATTGGGTCTTTACAAACCACTAGCATTGCTAGCTATTCTACAGTTGACCAGACTTTACCAGAAGCAGATTCCTAACATTAATTTGTGTTCCTGTTTAATTTACCCCTATTCATTTCACCTTGTAAGTGGACTTGCCTTGTATCTGTATTTTTTCGTGATGACCTATATTTCTCTTTTTCTGCGATCGTTTTTTAATTCGCAAAAAATACAAAACATGCAGAAATTATGTCAGCTATAATATGACATAACACACACAAAAGCCCCGGATATACGGTAATTTAAATAGGGTATTAATTAATAGAAGAAGGTACTGTAATGTCTCTGAAGCATAAATGTGAATGCAAATTTAATGGGAAAGAATTGTTTTCAATTAGGAGAGGACAAAAATAATATGGAGTGCAATAACGAGGTTTACCGGTACATTAAATCTGGAAGCTTACATCTTAAAAAAAAAAAAATAACACAGAAAAGCTTAAAGTTATATCAATGAGTGCATTCTAAGAATTTCCTACAACCATTCACCACATACTCTTCAAATGGTCCTGTTGAAGTGCTGTTCAAAGCCACACAAGTAAACTGACATAGTGTTAAATGGGACACATCGTAAAAACACCATTATTGTTTCCCCTTCATCACACACTATAGATTCTGGGCTCTTCCAATCATGAAACTTATCATGCTTCAAAAGTCAAACAAAAGCCCTTTATATTTCTGTGAATAACACTGTATTGGAAGCTGTTAAATGAGTTTATTTCAATGGTAATAAATTATAATCAGCTCATTTCAACTGTCAAACAAATGTGAAAGCAAACAAAAAAAGTATATTATAGATATCCCTCCTCAACAGAGGAATTATTGCTCCAATCTATAGAGTAATATTACTTTGCCGCTAACATTTTCTCAGGGGTTCTGAGTTTTAATTTCTTCTCTCCTCATCCCTATTCCCATGTTTGCATCTCTGGTGGTAATTAAAAGGAGGAGAATAACCTAGTCTATACAAAAGCTGATCTATATAGGGGCATCAAACAAATTTTATATTGGTACACACAATTCTATAACTGTAAAACTGACAATGCTATATCAGAGTACAAAGAATTAACAGCACAACAGAATGCTAGCATATTATGTAGTCAACAAGTTGCTTGAAAATTACAGTAGTAGAATTATTTCCCTTGAATTAAACAAACTGTTTTTATTAACATTTTAAACAGTGCATAATTATAACATTAACTGTGCATACCATTTACATGATGTAGATAATTGTGTAATTACATGCCCTTAGAAAATATCTTAAACATTTGCACTAGTCCTTAAGCTAATACAGTAATCAAAAATTCTCTACTTTTCAATATCATGTTTAAGTTACAAGTTATTAGGTTTATGACCTTGTTATATTTTTTGAATAAGACTATGAGATTTTGACAAAATAGTGTGTGTAATTTACATATAATAATTGTTGGCTTTGGAGATGGCATTAAGATTGAATCAATAATTCATAACACTGTGACTGACAATGATGGCCCTGCATTTCAATTATTTCCGAGGGTCAAAACCCACCAGCAGTCACCATACTCTTTAGATGCTGCACTATTCAAATGAGACATCTCAAGATTAAGAGCCCCTTGGTGACAAAAATATTGCCATCAAATCATCCTACATGTTGCCAATACATTTCATAAATTTCAAAAACTGATAAACAATAAAGAAATTATGCTAATGACAGCCATAGTCGTATTTCAAAGCAGTTGATGGAGCTACAGTGTACATTCCTCCATAAATCATTTCATATTGTTTGGATCAATTGGCTTCTGAATTTATTTCTAAAAGTAAAAGGGAAAATTTAAAGTTCATGACAACTAAGAATTCTAACAACAAGCCCATGGGTCACATTGCTCACCTGAGAACATTGGTTGGGAAAAACCACAAAAAGCACAGTGTTGAA